AGAAAAGTCTTTTATGAAAACTTGGCACGTTTGTCTTCTCGTCAACAAAGCTGCAAGCCATCTCGCATGTCACCGTCTACAATAGCAATAAATCACGCAAATGTAAACTGAAAATAATTGTGGTTAGCCCTGGACACAAAGCAAAGGAAAAGTATGACGAATTATCATTGTACGTGACGTATTTGCGATTTAGAGGACTTAAGGCGTGACGATACCGATAGTAGAATTAGTAAACTACATGGTCAACTGACTTTCGCACCTGAGTAATGTTGACAACCCTACAGAAAAAGTATCAGAATTTTATCGATGGAAAATGTGGAAATGATAACAATAAAATCTTATAAAAAAATCATAACGGATGATCTTATAAGAATAGATATATGGAAAGGCAAAATAATTCTAACTGTATCGGAACATTTGGCATTGCGTTCTACCTACCCCAATAGAAGATAAACGTGACGCATGTATAATTCAAAATTAAAACCGACCTCTATTATGACAAGTTGGTGTTTAGGAAAAGTCATTAATTTGTGAACCGTGAAAACCATTAGGCAGACGCCGCGGAGTCTGCGCGGGAGCACTTTCTCTGCGCAAACGCAGATCGTCACAACGTCGATCGTCTGGCCGTGGACGACCGCGGTGTGTCATAGTCCTTCAGACGAGCGAGCCGCCCGCCCGTGTTTCTTTGCACTTCCGCGAATTAATAAAAATATTTTTTGTTTATTTTTACTTTTACTCTTTGTTGATTAAAATATAACAGATAATCGTATTGTACTGAGAATTCAATCCATCAGGATTGACGAAAGAAGGTACTTTATATCAATGAACTGTGTTATTTCGGAAGATTTTTTGCATTTGAAGTAAGGGCAATGCCCTCATCCAGTGTTTGGGTGCAAAATCCTTTAGATTCAGAGTGACAATTGTTGGAAAGGAGTGCATTTGTTGTGTGTGCCAAGTTACGACAATGAGCAAGATAGATTGTGTCCCCACGTGACTGGTGGAGCGTGGCCAAAAGATGACGCTTTGGTACACCGATTTATTGGTGAGTGCTATTATACATTCAAAGACTATATTTCTGAATATAAAACATGGTATGAACATTATGGTCATTTAAAAAAATCTCAAAAATTTTATTTGTGATCAACACAAACTTCCTTTGCCAGTTTAGGTTTTAAAGGGTGCAATGCTCTGCATTTAAAAATAAATGCAATTTTGTTGATGCTAGGTATTGTTGGCACTTGGTGGAATTTGGAATTCTGTGGAAAATCTGTGGAAGTAGTACAAATGTGTTCGATCCAATAAAAATAAAATGGATTGATAAAGCAAGAGTACTCAGTCATTCATTATCTGTACCATCCGTTACGGATACTAACTAAATACAATAGATTCCTTTTTTCAAGCCATGGAGTATTACCTTCTACTACTAATATTTAAAACTCTTTTATTCTGTAATTTTCGTCGACTTTCATGAAAATATATTCATAAATACTGAAAAACATTCTTATCGCGAACGTTTACATGTATTAGTCACAACGCAACCATAAAACGAGGAAAATATACTGATAATAAAAATACTGAAACACTGACAAATTACATTTACGTAATACAATTATATGATTATTAAATAAATAAATAATTGTAAACACGAAATAAATAAAAGATAAAAAATAAACAACATCACAGTAGGTAAACAATAATTCAATGATAAAATTGCAAAATATTCTATTATTGGCTAAATAATTATTATTAGTAAGGCAACATATTGACAAGACAAAAAGTATATTGGTATTCGTAACAACATATTTTCATAGAAACTTTATGTAACTGTACCAGTAACAATAATCGTGAAGGCGAAAGCCGTGAAAACATATTTTGACACTGGCCTTTCTCAATCAACAACCATGACTTACCAATTAATTGATTGAAAATGTCGAGACGTCTTAAACTATAAAGAGCAACTCGCACGACGAGTTGGCAAAGCGAGGGCGTCATAGCACGCCTTGCAATTACGATCATTGGTGCAATTGACCCACAAGTAATACATTATTACCCATTAGGTACTTACACGTCGATAAAGGCGCCGCTGCCTAGATATTTATCGGGTCAATTACTCCGCGGATAGTTTCGAATTTCTTTCGTCTACTTTCTAAACAATCGCCGAGCGTCTCGGCTACCATCAGCTCTAATTCGATAACGAGGCATCCTGGTTGCGCCTGCTTGCTAATTGTTCGTTAGCATAACCTCTGGTACCTATAAGTACACATGCAAGTTACGTCACTGTGCCACTTCTGCGAGACCGTTGACCCGCTAATTGCATTTGATGTGTATAGGTTGCGATCGTCAAATGTTGTCGCCAGACGAACAAACAAGTTTTTTTCGTTGTTACATAGATAGACGGATAACGTCGAATGTAGGTCGGCAATTAATCGACGCGTGCTATCTCAAACCGGTAATTTTCTTTGAAAGCAATATTCACTTTTTCGTATCGAGACAGGTTAAATGATAGTTAATATTATTATAACGATATCTGTTGCATTTGAAATTGTCATCTAGGATCGTGAAGCGTGAACCGTGGTAAAGTGGCACTCGGAAAGCAGCGGAAGATGCGACCGCATTTACACTTTCGATTTCCGCGATGTAACTAGGTATGATGTAGCCGGCGGCTGGTAAACAGATGCTGGATATCAAAACCCACACAAAGCACTTAAGTAGTTCATTTACTTGATGTTGATTCAACTCGAATTTCAAAATATATTTGCTGTTTGCCTGAACTTAATTTCTATACTGATCACGATTTGTTAAATAAACACTTCCATAGCTGCCTTACTAAATCTTACTAATATTATACAAATATGAAAGTGAATCTGTCTGTTTGTATGCAATGCCCATCTATTTGTTATGCTTTCACGATTATGCTACTGCACCGATTTAGATGAATTATGGCGGAGAGAAAGCTCGATGTCAAAGTGATTGTCATCAAAAATTGATCCGCACGAAGTCCCAGACATTATCCGTACCAAACGTCGCATTTTATAAAAGAGCGAAATTATCATTGCAATCTGGTATATAAATATACGGTGTCTATGTACCTGGTGTATCAAGAATGGCAATACATGACGGGTATCATAAGAGATAAAATATAGGCTGTTATGTCCATGGTACTGTTCATATCTATAGGCGATGGTTACCACTTTCTTTGGTATTATGGGCCGTCAGCTTGTTTGCCATTCTAAGTTACATAAAAAAGTGCTGTAAATATCATAATGTCATATCCATGTGTACCTAATTAATTCTCATCATCATCATCATATTAGTCTAAAATTGTCCACTGCTCCATAAGCCTCCCCCTTGGGGGGGTTTTGCCATTAGTTACCACGCTAGACAGGCGGATTGGCAACCGCAGTTAGGCTTTGGAGATATTTTAAGAGAGATGCTACTGGCCTTCCCTCATCTTCCCTTACGCGCCTAATTAATTTCAAATCTTATTGATATAATAAAATTGTAACATAATGAGATGTTTGTACATGGAATATATTTTAGAAAAAAATATATGAGAGGTCTTAATAAGACTAACAGATGCCAAAACAATATTTTTAGGAATGTTGTCAATCTCTATGTTTGTTCCGGCATCACGTAAAAACTGCACCAAATTAAATGTGCTTTCTACAGTTGTGTTCCTAAAGGTCAAACTTAAAATCTTCTGTATGTTTCATCTTGATACGCCATCAAGAATTTTTTTTTCTAAGTCTGAAGTCCACTCGTACGAAGTAACAGGCAAAAAGATACTACTAAATAAAACGCTTTCATAACAATGCACTTATAACAAAGTAGGTAAATAGATTTATTTACTTCCGTATATGATTCAAAAATAAATTTGTGCATAGTATTACGGTGTCTCTAACTCTCATAATTTGTCGTTTACATTGCGGTGTTATTTTTCGGCTAATTTATCACACTTGTAACCCACTTGCGCTTGCGCCGACGCCGGCGCGCCGCGACTCTCAGTCTCTACTCGTTTGATTAATGCTACCTCCGCACAAATAATAGCAGCAAAAACACGAACAATATTTTAAGCACTTGTCTGATTCACGTCTATTCTTTTTTAAAGGTAAGTAATACCTATAATTAGGGGGTGAAAGCTAACCGCCGTTTTATGCTAGTTCCGTGAGCAGTGTCGTTTGGTTCACACGATTTGTCCGACACTGGTTTCGAAATTGTTCCGATAATTGCATTAATTTGCACACGAGCGAAGCATGTTTCGTTTTCTCGTCTCGATTCGATAGAGTGATAGCGAAAGATGATTAGTTTTTATTTTGGTGCATGAGTTATTAGCTAGCCAATTTATTTTTACTTCTAAAACGCATACACCCATCTATATTTTGTACACAATTTTGCCTCTCGTGAAAACTTAATAATATAGCTAGGACTTGTTTAAAATTTTGTAATCACGTTTTTTTACGGAGTTCATTAGGTTTCTTACTATAATACTTCTTAACTTTTTATGAGTACTTACATTGTACTAGGTTTATGCTCTTTTTTTTTTTACTATAATGCCATGCAATCACTCTAGATAACTCCTAATTCTTAACTTAGGATATATTGTTTAGTAGAAACAAAACTACGAACATCATCTTATTTAGAAGAGTTCGTTTCTTATGTTTATCCGACCAAGAATAAATAATATATATGCAACTTAAAATGTTAAACAATCAAAATTGTTATAAATAATACATGGACATAGTACTTCTCATACATTACCATATCTGAGGATTATGGTGTTATTACCATTCTGTACCATATAATTTCAGTGTCATATCTCACGATTCCGATCAAAACATAACATACAAACACAATTCTGGCGGCAGAAACGAATGGAATCGAAGTCCATGCCTTTTCTATATATAGTCCGCATTTGGTTAAAAAAAATCTCCCGAAAGCTTATTTATGCAAAACAACGTGTCTATCGTATCATGTAATAAAAATCTATGTATTTGTTACAGAGCCCCGGCGCAGTAAGCGGATCCGGGTCGGAGGCGCAGAGCGGGTCCCGGGACGCGCTCGACGTCCGCCACTCGTTGGCCGTGGTGTTAGCTGATGACTACACCAAGAGGAAACACGTCGTCCGGGTCACCACCGCCACTGATGAGTTCCTCCTCCAGGTTTGTCATAATTCATTTTTATTTAGCTATGTGGTTATTTTTAACTGTTTAACTGTTCTTAATTATGTAACGAGATATCTTCATCAATAATTCCTATTTATAATGATTCTTTTTTAAATGTTTACTTAATGTTTAAGGTTTACTCCCGCACTGGTCCTATTATAGTACAAGATTGTAGTCATTAAATTTTTTTGTGAAATCTTAAATATCTTACTATTGTTCTTTTACCGCGACCTCATTCGTCTTACCTTCTGCTTCTGTAGATAACTATAACTATCTAACTATTCCTCAATATTGACAGTTATATACTTTTTTTAAACAATATTTCCAATTTTCAAATCAAAGTATTACCGTTGGATTATAGTCCCAATTTTTATAAAAGTCACTTCCGCCTAAAATAGGATATAGACAAATACGTGAGTCATTGATAGATCCGTTACAATCAGCATACTATCAATTCATAACCGATTACAGCAACAAACAAGTTCGCCGACTCAATGGATACAAATATCACGGTATCTACTTCCCATCTAAAGGAAGACCGCTCTCGAATTTCTTAACTTTTATTAGAATTGATAATGTTGATAATGCAAACATGCTAATTGAATATTCTGTTTTTAAAGGCGGAAGGTGCCGCGGACGCACAAAGATGGCTCGCTGCTCTGAGAAGACACACAGCGGAACCGCCACCAGCGGATTCTGCGCCTGCGCAGGTCGCGCCTCCATCAACTACCGCCCCCGCCGCAGTGCCCGTCGACTGTCCCTCTCCTCTACCACCACAGCGGAGTAAGAAGATCGGCAGGAATAGATCTCCTACTGGTATATTATCTATATTATATTATCTACCTAAATACTTGATTACAGATTTAAACTTGCTGGTCCATTTTTAGTTAGTTAAGGTAGATTAGTTAAGATACAATTGAGTAAATTAGAGTATGATACGAAACAGCTGACACGCCTAGATAAATTAAAAGACCTTTAGAAAATGTAATGAGTAAGAATTTATTTAGAAAAAAAGACATTAAAAGAACTATCTCCCTATATGCATATATACATATACATTAAGTCATCTCTCGGTAAAAGAAAACAATCAAATGCTAAAGCCTTTTATAAATAAATATATCCAAATAGACTTTAAGATAAGACATTATCAACAAATGCAGATAAGGTAACCATCACATTGGCGCCACTTTTTTGCTTTTGTAAAAATATCTAAAGTAGTTGTCAAATATTTTACGGTCCAATAACGGAATCAAATAAGGTATTTCAGTATTGATCACGCGCTATCATCAACTCTATGTCAGAAGGTAATGATTAAGTCCACGTTTTTCTAAGCACACGTCCAGAAAAACGTGGACTTTACCCTTAGTTCGTTACATAAATGATCACAAAAATATCTCATTCCAAATAAACGTGATGGATTTACGACATTGTAATACTACACTGTTTTTGTCTTTCACGCTTCACGTGAATGCTGTAATTAAAGTTCAAAAGCGTTGCCGATATTACACATTTGCCAAATAATGTACTGCTGCCAAAAGGAGATTATTATATACTTTTTAAACGATCACGCGGACTACAGAGGTTTCTAGAAGCATATTTGGAAACATTTTAAATAATGAAAATTTGCTTTATGGCAATTCAATTTGATGGTATTCGTTATACTTCACAGTTATGTTAGGTGTAATTACGTTTAAAAAAATGATTAAAAGAGTTACCGACCTACGAGTATGACTATGTTGTATGTTGACTATACCAAATGTCAACATGACTGAAACTCAGATCAACTGCTCTTCCCACGTTAGCTTTTAGTTGATAGCTCGTTTCCCACTTCCAGTCCTACGAAAATGTGTCTTGATACATTTTTATATTCTTTTTTCTTATTATTTTATTTTTGATACTTGTATCAATATACATTAATGTATACAAATTATTCTAGGCCCACCAACTCCAACGCTTCCATCGTCTCCCAAGAACAAGACATGGAAGGGCCGCATGGCGAAACAACTGCGGCGAATGCACGGCGGGACGAGTACGACGGCACCGGCGACCGCCACCACGGGCTGGCTCGGGGCACCTTTGGAACGGTGTCCCACGGACCCGGAGCATCCCCTTGTACCTCGCGCGGTCACCCTGCCAGCACATGCAGTTGAGGTAAATTTACGATCTATACATTTGATAATTTATATTTGAATTCCGTTCCATTCTATTTTACGTCATCCTAATTAATTTTTTTTATTAATATAAGGAATTTTATTTATTTTGTAATTACTTTTATCCAAAAACTTTCTAACATATTTAGATTACATCTTATTTAATCATAATCATTATTTTCATTGATAATTTATTTTTATTTGAATGATGTAATAGTTAGTGTTGTAATTGTTTTACTGCTTCTTAATTAACAAATTAATATTAACATATAAACACGTATTACTTGAAAACATACCTAGATGTTGAAGCTTATAATTTTATTATAATACATATAATGTATGCCGTGACGGCTTCATACCAATGACAGCACTTTCGACATATGTCTTAGATATGTAGTTAATTGTCCTTAAAAAATAAATAATAAATTTATCGTAGATCTCTGATGAAAGACCACAAAATTAACTTTGTGATCAATATGCAGGCATACGGTCTACGAACAGTAGGCGTATACCGGGTGCCGGGCAACGCGGCCGGCGTGGCGGCACTCGCAGCGGCGCTGGACCGCGGTGAGCCGCCGCCGGACGGCGATGCGCGCTGGGCCGACGTGCACGTCGCCTCCAGTCTGCTCAAGGCCTACTTGCGCCGACTGCCTGACCCACTCCTCACCGCCGATCTCTATTCCGCCTTTATTGGTTAGTACTAACGCTATCCGACTCGAAGGACCACTTGGTTTTTGTACTTTCTTACAAATTAAATATACATTTTCTGAATGAAACATATTATATTACTTAAATAAAACATTTGCATAGTTTTACTTGACACGTACGGGGTTGTCTAAATTATAGACGAACTAATAGATACCAAGATTTTTAGACTGATTAATAAAGACTACTTGATCAATATTCAAAATATTTCTACAAGTTTGAAGCTAGTTTATGTATGTATATTACAGGTATAGATAGGTATTTGATTTTTTTTTCTACTATCTCACCTAAAAATTTAGAACAGTCATTGAAAGAAATACAGCTATAGACGCTTGCCAAATCTATAAAAATCCATATTTGCCAACTTTATTGGCGTTGTCGTCACATTTAAAATACTTACTCACCAAGAAGACATAAAATGGTGTAAAAACGAATCGATTTCCGCTCATGTGACGAATTCTAATTTTATTTGCAGCGGCCGACCGCTCGGCTGAGAGAGCGAGGGAGCTGCGCCGCCTCGTGCACGCATTACCTGAAGCTCACTACGAAACACTCAAGTACCTGATACAGCATTTGCGGAGGGTGGTGGAGCATTCCGCGTTCAACAAGATGGAAGCCAGGAACCTGGCCATCGTGTTCGGACCGACGCTGGTGCGCGGCGCCAGTGATGATATGCTCGCGATGGTCAATGACATGTCCAGCCAGTGCCGCATTATCGAATCTTTTCTTACACATGTAAGTCAATTTGACTTTGCTCACAGCGGTCTTGATAGTCACAGAGATGGTATTTTGATAACTTTGATGTGCTTGACTATATTATGTAAGGAACATAGTAAATAACTTTTTTTATACATTAGATAGCAAAACGAGCTTATGGCTCTCATAATCAATAGTATATACTGTCATCTATAGATATGAATAGTACCATGGTCGTTATAGAATACTCGGTGACGTCCATGACCCCTCATACATTGTAGTTCATGAGGACTGAAGTGTTATGCCTCCGTACCCTGTAATTTCGTTACCATATCCCACCCTTCTAACATAAACACAATGCAAGTATAGTTGTTTAGCGGCAGAACTACAAATGGAATAGATAATCTTCCGTACCCTTGAGACACATACTGTCTTATATCACGAAGGTAGTTGAAAAAAAAAATTATAAAAAAGGAAAAAATCCGACAGCTGAAAATTTGTGGAGAAGTAGGTTGACTATATGTTGGTCATTATTACCTACGCTATCGAATGCCTTTTTTTTGTCAAAATAAACTGCATCTATTTGGAATCCAGAGTCTACAACCTCTGTGACATATCTCCAAAAAGACTAACATGTTCGTCATCATAAATCCTCCCTAATCGGTCGATCAATCGATCAATCAATTAAACGGTCGATCAATTGATCGATCAATCGCTCGATCAATCGATGAATTAATCGATCGATCAATCAATCAATCGGTCAATCGATTAATCAGTCGATCGGTCAAACCACCTAGAAGTCGAAATAAAAGCTCTTCTATTCACCAACAGTACATATCTCGGGGAAAGGGATTGTTAGCAATGGAGACTCGTGGCCCCATTGCTAACAAGCCCTGTCAGGTCAACCTCCACGCGGTTTCCTCTGGAAACCATCGTGATTAATAGTTATTTCGTCACAATGGCCTAACTGACTTGCTTTCATGCTCATCACCCGTCACTGGTACCCAGCCATTGTATACCGATAGCGCAGGCGAAGTTACCATTTCATTATCACCCATTAAAAAAATAAATCCTAAATCATAAATAAACTGTATGAGCAATTATATTTACATTGAAAATAAACATTCTAGTACGATTGGTATTTCGAAGAAGAGGAAGGTGAGCCCCCTGTGGACCCTCCCCCTACTGCTGAGGAGTTGTCCCCTGCGCCGGCGCCATCACGCGACCTGCTCATACACAATGTCAAGAAGATTGAAGGTAATTAAAACTCCGGATAGTTAAAAATAACACCAAACCTTACTTTTATTTTTAACTTCCGGCGTAAAGAGTGAACGTTTGGAGGTTTTGTATATTTGTGCATCTTGTAACTCCCAAAATGATGAATAAATGTCATTTAAGGTTTAATCTAAATAGTTCTTAAATATTTCTACCTTTATTAACATTTTACTTCTGAGCACGAGTTCTTCTTACCATGGTGTTAATTTTTTTTATTTGTCATTTAATACTAAAAATTTTTTTTTAATAACACAAAAGCGACTATCATGCCCGTCTGATGGTAAACGGTGGACGCCTACAACACTAGGGGTGTCACGTGCTCGTTGCCGACCCTGAAGATCTTACCTTCATTTTTGTTTAATACAAACATTTTTCGTAGGTAAAGACGTCACAACCCGCGATATAGTGTCATCAATAATATCGGCGGCAAACCGCAAGATACAACGCAAGCCGCGGTCGAAGCCGTCCGCAGATAAGAAGTGGATGGAAGCGGACAAAAGGACGGAAGCGTCCCCTGGCGGATCGCCGCCCAACTCGCCCCTCACGTCGCCGCCCGCGCACCTCACCACCTCCCTGGCCGACTACGACGGACTGCCCGAGAGATTCAGCAGACACGATGGAGTCAATAAGTAAGATTCTTTATTTTAATATCTGTACTGTATTTTGCTAATTAATCTTTTAATCGACATTCTTATTGTATTTTAGAGTGCAATAAAAAATATTTATTTAATTTTGATTTTATCTACAGAATTGAAATTGAAACCATGGCAGCGCTGGGCCGCGGTCGCCAAGAGCTCTCGCGGCATACACATGCGCTGAACAACTTCTCTATCGATGGTATGTATTTATCTATATTTGTAATAATTGTTTATCAGTGTAGTCTATGGTTTCACTATAAACAAAAATGCTACTTGTGAAACCATAAATGATGCTGGCCATTTCTCTAATAAGATCTCATTACATTTTCTTGAACCATAGACAAATACTGTGTATTTTAAAAAGGTGTCTACTTATTTGCTCCACTAGGTGTCCGGTTCTGACGTCAGAGAATAGGCACAGCAATCCCTTTCTTTTGTCCACATAAAAGGTATAGGAATGAGAGCGTGCGTGTTGCAAGTGTGTGCGTGTACGCAACGGCTCTGTTAACATGGCCGCTTTATTTGTTTACATGTGTTACAGTTTGACTTGTCGTAACCTGTACTGTAGGGGCTTTAACAATAGAAACGATGACCAAATAAGTACAGTTTATCACAAGTCAGTTCAGATATTTGTCTAATAGCAATCACTTGATCCATAGATTGAACAATTAAAAATCTGCTATGAAAACGAATAAATTTCAATTTTTAATAACAATTCAGTATAATGAGATGTAAGTATTTATAAATATTATTGAATGTCGTTAGACAGGTAAAAATAAATGTGAACAAATACAGCAGTTCCGAACAACTAACGCTTTGAACCGGCGGCTGCTGACAGCACGGCTTCCTCGCTCGTGCATCGTCTAGTAGGTCCGAGCCGACATCATCGCATTCGCCTACTGTACATACCATTCTACTCATCGATCGTCAGTTTACTTGTCACCTAACGATGCAAAACAATTAACACGCTTGCGTATTCGTGTCTGACGCTCACCGAGCGAGTTTCGCGTACTGAAAACCACGTCACTTGTTTTAGGAACCGGGGACTTGGTGTCCTCTCTGACCAGCACCTTCGACCAGAAACTGCGCACGCTGAACAACTCGTCGCCGCTCGATGACGGCAGCATCCCGTACGCGGATGAGTGCCAGGACGAACACGAGGAGGGCAAGTCGAGCGGCAGCTCGCCGTCCAGCGGCAGCCTGCGCAGCGCGCGCGGAGAGCGCGTGTCGCCGGCCGCGCGCGCGCACGAGCTGAAGGCGGCCTGGCTCGCGCGCGACCTGCGCCACTCCTCCTCCAGCAGCGCCGACGAGGCCGACGGCCGCGCCTGGCCGCGCCGCGCCCGCCGCGCGCCCGCCGCGCCCGCCCGCGACGACACCGACGACTCCGAGAAGGAGAACTGCATCGTCCCCGGCAACACTAGTCACGACCCCGACAAGGACGATGCGCGCTCGCAGGCCTCGAGCGGAGAGGCGATGCCCGCCGACGACGCGGTCGACAGGGCGCTCCGCCCGGCCTACGATGGGCTGCGGCCCTCTAACCCCGAGTGCGGGAAGCGAAACAGCGCCGCGCTCGAGAACGAGCCGGCACCCGGCGACGGAAGCGGCGACGGCGACTGCGCGAAGCTAAAACGTTCCGAGTCGCTGAACAGGGACGGCGAGCGCGGCGAGGCGAGGGTGCTGCGCTCGGAGAGCCTCAACTGCCGCGTCGAGCGACTGCAGCGCTCCGAGTCGCTTAACAAGAGCGAGCGGCCGGGCAAGCTCGACAAGGGAGAGTGGAACGGCGCGAGGCGGCGCGAGAGCGGCGCGTGGCGCTCGACGAAGCTGAAGCGCAAGAACGGCATGCCGGAGCGCGGCATTAAGCGGCGGCACACGGTGGGCGGCACGAAGGACTTCGACAAGGACGGGTGGAGCGCGCGGCACACGCGCACGTCGTCGCCCGACCTGTCGGCGTGCGTGGCGGCCGCCGTGTGGCCCGCGCCGCTCGTGCCGCCGCCGCGGCCGCCGCTCGAGTCGCACGTCTGACCCGCGCACCGCTCCCAACACCACCACTCGCTCTGAGCGCCGCTACCGATACCGCAGCGATTTAACGTAGCCACGAACATTTCCCCTGGAACAATAAACACGATCGCCGGCACGACGCCGGTCGCTCTGGATCCTTCTACTACACATCTCTCCGATGAATGGATCCGTTTCGGTGCCTATCGCACGGTTGGTGCTGTTTAGATATAGTTTCCTTTTGTGCTACTACGAGACGAACGCTGTTTACCGTAAGTTAAAATTTTTACCGAGAATCGAATATAGAATATGTATGTATTATCTATCTAAAAATATTTAAAGTCTGATTTACCCAGGTACCTATCGAGTCGATACTAACAGTTCAAAGCTTTCATTTTGAGAGAGGCTATTAATTTGATTCGATTCAATTGACTGAATAGATTATTAGAGCGTAAATAGCTAACTGTATTATTCTATTAAATACTCATTCGTAAGACAGTGCAGCATGGTGAGGATTTAAAAATCCATAAGACTTAACAAAATTCACATAACTTCACATTTATCTAATATATAGGTTAATATTTTATTATTATACACATTATGTGAGAATAAACAGAGTAAACGATTCAATAAAATATTAATATTTGAACAGTGCAATACAAGTAGTGAAGGAGGACTGGGTGGATATGTTTTTGAAATGAAAACAATTAGTGAAAGCCTAAAGAACCAAGCTCACTAAACAATGCCAAAGAATGATGATGTAACTGATTAACTTGAGAATAGATGTATGCGCGGAGCGTACCAGAATGAAAGAACGATTCGGTGACCGGAATGAAAGGGTTAGGATTGTACTATCAACGATACAACCATATCATGGACATGAAATATGCACTTTCACATTATATTAAAATACTATTTGTACATAAGGTACTATTATCGTTGTGTTCCACAGTCTACAAACATGACTTGTAGTAAAACTCCCTTTGTAGATATTGTACTACTTATAACAGAGTTAAAGTGGGACTTGATAATTTAAAAGTGCAAAATAATGAGCATAATATTGATTGATAAAATTAGTGCTACTAGTTTAAATTTAGTATATACACCTACAGACAATGAAATTTTATATAATATAAATCGCCTGTAGGTTTAAAATTGTTTAGTTGTATACCCGGGAAGATAAGGGGGTATACATATAATGACCAGATCGACGTGACACCACTTAATTGTAAGAATTTGTGCTTAGGAATATATTGTAGGCCCTAGCCATAGAATTTTCATAATACTATCTATTGATGATACATTAAAAAAGTGTACCTCACCTACTTGCCTTTGCAATAGTCGTAGCTGATTCGAATTTTATGCACAATTTTAAATTAATACTTATATGTATCTTACATATTAAAGTTACCTTGTCTCCTTATTAAAATATATTATAAAATGATACTATGATTAATGTTAATGAAATGAAATGATTTTAATTGAATAATGAAAGATATAATGCTGAAGATTTTGCTTGTGAAGGCTTTGATTTAACATTGCAAAGTACGAATGATAAATTGTAAATATTGAATGCAATACAATCAATTTAATTATAATAATAATTATTAGGCATATATAATTAATTATTCACTATAATGACTACGATATGTTTATTCAGTGACGTCTTTTAATTGCAACTAACTGACGTTAACAATACATTACAGTGATAATAATGAAAGTGATCCCCTTAGCTTTGTAAAAACTGTACATTTCTTTTAAGATTAATTTATATTAAATTTGTTATTGTAGCTTTGTTGAATGCAATTATTTTTTATTGTTTTGTTTATCAAAGAGAAGTATTTTAGGCTAAATTCGATTGTTATTTATTTTCGAAAACTGTAAAATGTGATTTGGAACAATTTCTTTTTTAAAATTGTAATTATATATTGTATTCTTGTAAATATGTCGTCAGCAAAATAATGTTTGACTTTCGTTCTTTAACTTTTAAAAAATTTTATACCATCTTTACGTTAAGACGATCTCAAGTTTGTTGGATGTTTGCAAAGCGTTCCTTTAAAGTTTTATTTGTAAATATATAATTTAGTGTAGAAAGTGAATTTAATAATTTTACATTATAATGTATGTAGAGGGTAGGTGAGTAGTGAATGCGCGCAACTCGGCGCTAGATTAATATAAAAGACACGTCTCCGTATGAGAGCCCGCTCGTGTGTCTGCTTACAGAGTATTCAAATATATATATTCATGTTCTTCGTGTAATCAGCTATGAAATTTAAATAACCACCTTAAAGACATTTTGCAAATGTGGTAATATCCAGATTTACAATACTTGTCATTGTGTATATTTTGGAGCAATGAAAATAAAATATTGAATCAAGATATTTTTGTCGTATTATTACATCCTTGTAACAGCAGTAGGGTCGATCTCTTCGACCTTACCTACCGTTCTATTCCCACAACCTAATGTATTCTCTATATCTTAATATACAGAATACGTTACATACATATATACACGGGTGAAACCGCTTGTTACAACTAGTCTTTATGTAGTTAAGTGTTTGTTAATGCAACAAGTTATATATAGAAGATTATTTATTATTATTTTATTATATATTTACCAGAGGGAGACTTTGTACAAAAGTCGATTGCTTGGGTACTTCTGTCCTATTCGTGTTTAAACCGTGAAGCAGCTATGTTTGCATGGCTGTGTTTCTGTTTGAAGGGTGGGATATGGCGTGAATTTAGGCGACGGTTACCACTTTCCATCAGGTGGACCGTCAGCTTGTTTGCCATTCTAAGTTGTAAAAAAAAAGATTTTACATAACCGTAATAAACTTTATAGGATTGGATTTTTTAGGATTTTCCATTTGGTTTCATATTTATAAATATGAACACAAAAAAACGACTCGTAAATTTCATTATGTTTATTCGATAACTAAATAAAAACCTCATTCAATCAGTTTCATCAATACAAATTCGAAAATAGAACATCTGCTATAAAATAAAAATTACATCCATTTATAATATGCGATAGCGATGTTAATCAATATTACCCTTTTATGAATTTGCATTTCAGTCTATGTCTAATACGAAAAACTAACATGACTCAGTACTCAAGCCTTATTTAAAGCAGATCACACGCGTTTGAACTTTCAGTCGAACATCCTATCTAAATGTTGAAATATAAATACGTGCACGACTATGGACTAACTTTGCTACAATCACATTTAACACCAATTTGAACTAATTCAACGAATATTATGGAAAGCTTACACAGATACAGAAACAAGCGTGTATAATATTTAGTCGTAGATTAAGAAAGAGGTACTGCTATGACAGTGAATAAAAATAATAATTGCACTAAATTATAATGAATCAATTGTAGCAATAATTTCCATGCCTATTCTCGTATTAATAGTTACTATAGAGATGAATCATCGAAGAACCTTCATACCCCGACAAGTGGTAGGCAATATAATATCATATATGTTAGAACTTTAGGATTAGCAAAAAGGGTAAATATAAAACTACCATTTCAATGAGTTACTAGCAGCGCCTCTTTCTAAATACGACTTTTAATCTTCCGAAGAGTTTATCGGAATAACGTATAAATTATTATTCCAAAAACAACTACCAGATTTCTATTAATATATTATAATATATATGATTAGAAACCTACGAAAAATTTGGCTCGATTCTGAGGAGCCATCTCTCAAAACTTATCTCTATAATTAAATATTTAATTTGATATCACAGTGAAATTTTTATTGTAAGGACCAATATAAACTATTTTTTTAATTGATTTAGAAAAATTTGAATTTTAGTTGATCCATAAAATATTTATTTCGCGAAATTATCAAATTAAAATATTAGTTGAAGAGGTAAATAGTAAAAAATGGCGTCACAGAACGGCCTCATTGTTATTTTGAAAGAAGGCACGGAAAAGTGTGAATTCTTACAAAATCTCAAAAGATCGTAGGATCTAAAAATTAAATTTGCGCATTACAGACATGATGCTTTTAGTATCGCCAAACGACGAGTTTACGATTATTCCATGCAATCATGCAATTTTAAGAATCGATCATTGTGTCGAAAACACATATTTTAGCGAACGCTGTATAGAAATCACACCCTTTATCAATGATTGTTTTAAGAAACATTGTAGAAATTACCCGATGTACAACTCGTTTTCATGACTACGATAGAGTACAGCGTGACATTATAGAGCATTAAAATCTCAAAAAAACGATTTGATCGTGTCAAATTATGTTTTTACCCGTGTTCATATAATAACTTTAATAATCGTTAACGCTAAAAACATCGTATCTGCTAAGACCCTTAAAGCGGCGATAAAATATCATTGCATTCATCTTTAACCGACAAACTGTTAATTTCTGATCATAAAAGTTAGTTTGTCAGTATTCTGTGAAAGTTATCGTAAATTTTGAGAGGTGTGCGAGAGGTTTTGTTTTATATCAACTACCTTAATACACACACTCAACAAACTATTATAATGTAGAATGACATGAACTTTATAGAAAAAGTTCCTGAGATTCACTAATACGATGTCGTTAAAAAATAATAAATGCGCTAAAAGAAATGCTGTGAAAAAATAAAAGTATTCTCTGAATATACTAGAAAATTATTACTAAATTTAAATACATAGGACAAGGTTACAATATATTATATATTTCAGTTTATATATCTTTTGACAATGCATATTTGTCAAAAAAAATATGAAAGTGACAAAAAGCCGAAATTTTTTTAAACAATTCAATTTAATTCGATTCATAAATATAAATAGTCATGGAATATTTTTTCTCACAAAAATGTCATGAACTTTTGACTAAATTAAAAGGAGATCTTACAATTTTGAAAATTCCTATCTAATGTCATATATTTCATACACTCCCCCACACATACAGCACGCTACACCAAAAAAGAAAACGGCTAGATTTATTTTCTAATATTTAAATAAAATTATCAATTACAATTAATTTAATATCATTAATTAAATATCAAATCGAAAATATTCATGAGCGTTCGTCTGATTGTTGAAGATTAATATAAATAAACCAATATCTAAAGAACTTTCGACTATTTAAAAATATATTATAATTAAATATTAAGGAATACATTGAAAACTATATTTTCCGAGTTCTACTTAAATTATGGAAAATAGCACTTATCTTTAGACAACTGATATCAATTCCTTAAGGTTGTTTCACAGCTGTACCAGCGCCATATCAAGTAAATAAATAATAATAATAAGAAAACACGCTGTCAAGATTACAAAAGAGGCATTTCAATCCAAGAATTCAAATTATCAAAGACATTTAAAACTGTTTAAATTACAAGCAACCGACTCTATTAACAAATCAGATCCTTTGATATATTTTTTAGGAAAATACTGTAACATAACCTGTTTTTGAGGGTTATTACACCATATTGCACGATAAGTGATGTTATTCGTTTACTGCTAAATTATATTAATTATAAAATATTTCACTAATATCCAAAGTGCTTAATGAAATGCTAAATTGATCCTATAATGATAGTGCAATGACCCCCAAAACGATCAAAGATTTAAAGCTAATGCCACATTAAGCTGATATTTGTCTGTCGACTTTCGCCCCAAAAAATATCTGTGCAAATTTTTAATTCACTGAAAATTAATATTTTTAGGGATTCATACCCCAAAAGGAAAAGCGGAACCCTTATAAGATCACTTTATTATCCGAATGTCTGATCGCCTGTCAAGACCCTTTTTCTCAGAAACGAGTAAAGGTATCAAGCTGAAATTAATATCAAATAATAAAGCCTACAAAACCCTTAAAACTGTACAAAATTAACTTCTTAATTAAAAATATCAGCTGTTTGTTGCGTATATTTTGACATTTGCAAAGGATTAAAAACTACTCGTATAGGATATTTCCCATTGACTTACGAATCATGAAATTTATTAAGAAGCAATGTGGTAAAGCACAAGTAAAGGGGAAAATCATTGTTTTTTTTTTCAAATATAATATACACGGAACTGTAGTAATAATTATATACTATATATACTGTATAATATGCACAAGTCTGACTCACTCTTGGCCGATTTTTTAAGCAATTTAGAATGACTAACAAGCTGAACACCTGATGAAAAGTGACAGCCGTCACATATATACAGCATCATGGGGATCCACAGAAGACACAGTAACATCCATGGTTCTCCTCATGAGTTGTCATTCCTGAACACTAAGTTGCTATCCCCGTACCCTACATTTTTAAATGGATTTTAGGCGATCATTATTTTTTTTTCAATTTTAATGAAGACAGAGCGAAACATAGTTGTTGGTCGTATACATTCCTCAAACATAATAAATAATTATATGCCTACTATATACAGTCCTTGCTAATCATCCAGTGAATGTGACGCTTTGTACAAGAAAATTGTAACAAGACATGGCTGACAGTATAGTAAATGTAATAATACGTATTGGTGTTCCGCCAAGGAACCGCGAAGATCGGCTTAATGTGTCATTAGCGAATTCAATGAAAATATTCCCGGCGATACGGGTAGTGCGCGGCACGTAGGTTGTAGTACCGAGCGTGTGGAGCGTGGGGGTCGCGTAGTCAATCCGCGTCGCGGGAGGCGGGGGTCACGTGCGCGGCGGCGGCGGCGGCGGCGGCGGCGGCGGCGGCGGCGGCGGCGGTGGCGGCGGCGGGGGCGGGGGCGGGCGGGCTCCAGGGCTGCACGGGCGGCGTGGGAGGCCGCACGCCCTCCTCGTTCGACTCCCCTGTCGCGCCTGAACTCTCCAGCGACAAACTGTTCAGCAGCATATCGAATAAAGTGTCCTGTGGATATATTTTATTAATTAATATATAATATTTTAACATATATTTGATGTGTTCATTTCTTTTTCAATCCTTTTTATTTTTTAATTTAAACAAACCATTGCTGACATGTCATTTATCTTGGAAGGCATGTTAGTAGTACAGTTTAACAGACCTAGTAGCCATTCCACTAAACTCTACTAATCTAATACCATAATGGGCATAATTGAAAATTCATTCTGATGCCAATTCCGAACAGAAGGAATGATATTTAAATTCAAAAATCGAACAGAGTCTACATTCTTATATTACTTTTGTGTTTTACAGACTGATCGTAATTAATGCTGGTATCTTTAGTTTTTTTCTATATGGATACACAATAGAAGCATTAAAGATTGAAAACTAAACATCTCATTCCTATTTTGTCCAATCAAATATTAAGTAAATAGAGCAGTCAGGTATAAGCTAGTTAGAATTACATTGTAAATAAATATTTCTCAAACATGCTTGGAAATGTGAGCATTATTTTGACAATCTTCTTAGAGATAAATCAAAATTGCCGTACTGGCCGGATACATGCGGGCAGCGGCCGGCAAAAGTTGTATGAAAATCCATATCTGTCGTGTTTTGCGGCCAAATAAATTAATATGTAAACTCATATCTGTCCACATGGCTACCAAGGAGGTAACTAATAAAAGGTTTTATTTAAATTTCGAACTGGCTTGCAAACAAAGCTGTTTATTGAAAAAAAAACAAAGGCACATTACGGCGCGTGAAAACTTATTATTGTTCTTCGTTATTTGTCATTGAACTTAAAAAGTAAAGTTGTGTTTTTGATTTCCGCGCATTGTTTGAGAAAAGTACTATACAAGCCTTGGCCACAACTAGGCATTGATGGGCTCACGTATGTGTGCCTCGGCTACGCCTCGGCCCACATTTGCACGTTCGTCCATCAATGCCTCAGTTGCCAGCCGCTGCAGTAATGTACTATTACCAGCGTCTTTATAATTGTTATAAATTTTAGTGAATAATACGGATACATATTATAAAGCGAGTTAGAAGCGATATATGAAGCTAGCGCCAGCGTTTACTCCGTCACGGATTTTTAGAGGTGACAAGTGACAACAGGCATAAGCGACGAAAGATTTGTTTAATGTAATGTGAACCTTATTGAGAGTATATAATAACATGTATAGACATAGTTACCTTATATGTAAATAAAAATAAATAGGATATAAAGTTAGTTGTATTTACGTTGTAGTCCAAAATGAATTCGACCTCGTCATTGTCAGAGATGGATGAGACAGAGGGCCAGTAGTCGTGCAGGGCGAGGTTCGATACAGGCGACAGGGCTCCCCGCTCCGGTGTGCTGGGCGGCGTCAATCCCATGTGTGGGCCGTGACCTGCAATAAGAACAACAATCATTTCATTTAGTTATTTTGCATTTAAGAATATAATACACTCATTAATTATATGCATATTTAGAGAATATCCATTATATGTTATACTAAAAAAGTAAATTTGGTGATGGACAGTATTAGAATTAAATAATTCAAACTATTTTCTTAATTTAGTCAAGTGGCAAGTAACTTGGTGTGGAAATATTCCACTGAAATAAACTTTTATTGTTTGAACACGTTTAAATTGCTGAATGTTTAAAATGAATTTGTGAAAGTGATCCAAACTAAGATCTGGTCATCTTAGTTTAGTTTATATTTAATATTCACATCTTATATATAATATTCTTGTTTAATATTCTTATATTCATCCACTCACAAAAGCTTATATAAGACATGAAAAATCGAAAATACCGATGAAATGTTGAGCAGAACATCAGAGAATGTACTGGAACACTGAGAGCTCGAATGTGGTATGAGAATATTTCCATACAACATTTTATATAGAAAATTTTTTCCTATTCCTAGAATACTGACAGGGATCGAACCCAGCCTAAATAATTAATACAAATATTTATAGAATCGTTATCACTATTGATTTCACGAGATAAAATGAGATAGCGAATTGCACTAAATTTGTTCCTTCTCATGTGAGCGCTGACGAAGCGCATGTATCGAGAGGTTTGGTTTGTGTCTCATGTAAGGAGTTTGGCTGTGTGATTTCATTTTCTACTGACTTCAAAAAGTAGGAAGCTGTGTTTCTTTTTTTGTTTGTTACCTCATAACTTCGTCAGTTCTAAACTGATCTGGAAAATTCTTTTTATGGCTAAAAAAATAAACTTACAGATTGATCCCATAGGAATTTTATCGAAATCGGTTCAATAACTTAGTTTTTAAATGAAAACAACTAAAAGGTTACACACACAGTTAAAGTAGTTTTTTACGTGTGGGAGTGGGAGCCAATGTTTAGTTACTAGGCAGGCAGGAGCTTACCGGTGGCGGCGTGCGTGTCGGCGCGGCGGCGTAGCTGGCCCGGCGACAGAGGGCGCTGCCGCCGCGCCGCCGCGCCGCCCGCGCGCCGCGCCCTCCCCGCACCACCAGCACCACCAGCACCACCAGCACCGGCCGCCGGGCCGCGGGCCGGCACGCTCTCCAGCGTACTCGACGCCCAGTTGCGTTTAGGACCTGCCGCAACATATATGTTCTTATTATTATAGTTACGTTCTTATTCATAAAAAAATCTCATAAGTCTATTTTCGCTATTGAACTGTTTTGTCTCTTTTATGCTACATTCAAAATTTGAATAAAAAGTGACAAAATAGTTCAATAGCTAAAAAAAGATCGTAGTAGATTTTATGAATAAAGAGGTTAGATTATATAGATAAAGCATCGAGTCTTAAAAACGGATCAACTTTTTGTCAATCGATTATCAAATTAGCCGACTCTTTTTTTTATTAATATTTTATATAGTTACGCACACTACGTATATTTAGAGTATTTGCGTATTAAAAAACTCCAAAAATATATTTTAGTTTGTTTGCCGTTCTAAGTTACAAAAAAATATGTATTAATTATCCACACTTTTATTTTGATAGACTGAATAATAATAAAATAAATGCTAAATAATAAAAATATCCCACAAATGCTAACCGTGCTTGGAATGTTTAGGCGTGAGTCCATTGATGCGCATGAGATTGAGCAGCAGCATGTCGGTGTGCGCGGCGGTGGACATCTGCGGGTCGGCGTGGTCACGCGGCTGCGCGGGCGGTGGCGGCTGCGCGGGCGCACCGTCCGAGCCGGCCGGCGTCACCGCGCGCGACTGCACGGCGCACAGCAGCCGGCTCAGGATGTCGCCCTCGCCGCCCGCGGCCCCCGCGCCGGCCCCTGCAGCCGCCCCAGCCGCCCCACCCGCCCCGCACGACATGCCCCCGCACGCACCCTCGATGTCGTTCTCACCTGCAATCGACGCACACGATCAGTGTTGTAACAGAACTTTAAAATAATCTTAAAGCTAACGACACATTAAGCACGTCTTCTGTCGCGAACACTTAATACAATCATAGACCTAATTGCGCGCGAAAAACCAATTACGCCGTTGTCGAATAATCCATAGTGTCGAAATATCCTGTACGTGACAATTAACGCAGATTTTTCATATTACAAATATTATCGATCAGTCACCGACGGTTTGTAGACATACACAGCATCTTATTTATAAATATGCTTAACGTGACCTTAGCCTTAGAGATACTACTTACTTACAAACCAAATTATTAAAGCAAATGAAAGGACAGTGTATTATGTAATACTATATTGACTTTGACAGTGTTAGTAACAATTAATTACGTAAAATAAAATTTAAAATTACTTTTTAATTGAATCATAAATCATTAACGAATATTTTTTTTTTTACTTATTTTAATTATTCATTAGATTTTCTTTCAACATTTTTTTTCTGTAATTATGTCAGCTGTCGATTATTTCCCTTTCAATTTGTCAATTACATCTTTTATAAACTATTTTTTTATATATAAAAAAATAAGAAAAGTAAAATAATCTAATGTAATGAAAATTAAAATATAATAACACTAATATTACATTTTCGAAATAAAAAAAACTATAGTATATTAAGTGAGATCGAACTCTAAAACTGATGTAAAGTCCTGTTAGTAATGGAATTATATAAAAATTTATTATCGTAAAAGATTTTTACACTACTGCAATTTGGAAATTTAAAAAAAAAAAATATTATGCGAGTATTTCAATTTCGAAACGTAAGTGTGCAACGTGTGTATTTCATATATCGCCGCAACTGTCTCTTGCGGCGGCGGCGGCGGCGGCGGCGGCGGCTGCAGCGGCAGCAGCAGCGTGAATACGCAACGCTGCAGCGTATGGAAGTGGGCGGGACGCGCGAAGTCGACGGGGCGTGTTGACCCGGCGGGGTGGTCGGGGCACGCGGGGCCTGGGTCGGGGGCGAACGGGCCGGTACGAGCAGGAGCGCGATCCGTCCGAGCACAGCGACGCACCCGACTCGCCCAGGCCGCACCACTCGCACGACCCACTCGCGGACGACGCCTCTGCCGCGGAAGGGATAAAGGTAGGTCGGGGGAAAGGATGCAAGCCCGGGACAGGTATAGGAGGTTAATACGTGGATAGGGAACAAACTCACTAACGGGATCAAACGAAAAAATAATATCGGGACATCCTCTTTTTTTATTCATATGAAAATGAGAAATAGGATATTTCTCTCGTTACTGTGCCGCCTTGTTTTTTTTTTATTAAATATAATTGTTTACTTTCAGAACTTGTACCTTTATCAATGAAACTAATGCTCATCACTATAAGACACGCTTCTCAAACCCAAGAATATTTTTTACTTGTTTTAATATTCCTAAACACAACTTTTTAATAAATTTCGAATATCTAATTGTAAACATACCCGACATAGCTTCATCGTCTACGTCGTTCTCCTCGTTGGAGTTCTCATCCACATTGTTAGGGCTGGTCTCGTCTGCAAACACTTCCAATTCGCTGAACATCAGATCCTGTTGGAAAATATTATTCTAGTTTTAATTATATTCAAACTCCACTTTGGGAATTATTTTGATAAATATTTTTTGTTATCAATAACTAACCCCAGTGTCACTGCTGGACTCGGATGCGGCGTGAACGTTCTGTGTAGCGTTGGGGCTGTCGGCCTGGGGGTCGGGCTCGGCCGCCTGCGGCTCAGTGTTGGCCCCTGCCCCCGTCCCTGGCCCCGCGCTCGCCCCCGGTGATACGTTTAGCTCCGGTGATGACACGGACGATAGCAACACCGCGTTACTTGCGACCGGACTCACTTCCGTCACTGGACTACTTGCCACTGCTAATAAATAAAAAATATATTGCTTTGACAGAAACATGTACACTGGATGAGATTTGATAAATTCCAAGCATTTTAGTTCTAAGAATCTCACTAAATTAACATTTATTACAGGATAAGGAGGCAAGACATAATGAGTACACTGTGATGCTCATGGTACTGTTCGTGTCTAAATACGACAGTTACCACTTTCGATTAGGTGGACGGTCAGCTTGTATTTTATTTGTGTATTCATAAGAAAAATCTCAATTACAGATTTTTACCTGTAAATGGATCAGAATGTCTCTACTTGAATAGATGGATAAAGGGAATCAATAAAAATCTGATTTCAACTATTTATACACATTTGAAAAAAGCAAATCACATATAAAGATCTGACTACGTTTCACCAATCAATCCCTTGATTGTTCAAAGTAAAAAACATAATTAAACGTATTAATTATGAAATGAAACAAATATTGATATTAGACCATTTTTAACGTGTTATATAAACAAACATATTAGATAAAATTACACTTACCGGTTAATGTGGAAGAGTCTTTAGCGGGCACGTACTGATGCCTGTCGGGACGCGGCTGTTTGTTCGAGAGCTTGCTCGGCACGCGGCTCGGCGCGTTCGCCGCGCTCAACAGTGTGTGCAGACTCACTAACGCCATATTGTCAGTGCCCGACACGTGAAGTGAATTCGCTGATCTAAAACATTTATTACATTATATAGAATATTAAATTACATAATTCATTTATGAGTAAATAGTGAATGCTGTTTAAATATATATGAAAGTTATGATATTAGTCTGTTGTTAAGTTTCATAAAAAAAATCGAGTTATGACTAGTTTTGTTACAATGTGTTAATATCTTAAGAAAACAACTACACATTATAACAGGGACATACATAACGTTCTGTTGCCGTTCTGTAAGGGATCGTTAGTAATGGAGACTGAGAATCCCATTGCTAGCAATATACCCAACCAGGTCGAGCTCCTCGCGATACCCTCTGGAAACTATCATGGTTTTTTTTTTTTTTGATGGGTGAAAATGGTATGGTAACCCCGCCTGCGCTAACGGGATACGCTGGCGGAGCACCAGTGGAGGGTGATAGATGAGAATGAAAACAGGCCAGTTAGCCCATCATGATGAATTCATCAGGAATTAACCATGATAGTTTCCAGGGGGAACCGCGAGGAGGTCGACCTGGTTGGGTATATTGCTAGCAATGGGATTCTAAGTCTCCATTACTAATAATCCCTTTCCCCCCGGAAACTATCATGGTTAATTCCTGATGAATTTATCATGATGGGCTAACTGGCCTGTTTCAATTCTCATCTATCACCCTTCACTGGTGCTCAGCCAGCGTATCCCGTTGGCGCAGGCGAAGTTACCGTTACCATACTATTTTCTACCATAAAAAAAAATACAGTAGTAAAATCAAACAATTATAAAAAATCTATTCAAAAATTTCATGGTTAACAGTTGAGACTATTTCTATTTTTTAGGTTGATTAATTAAATATGACAAAAATGAAAACTACCTCGAGGTGGAGGGCAGCCCGTAGCCGGCGTCGAGCGCGTGCTGATGCGCAGAGTGTGCGTGCGCGTGCATGTGCGTGGCGTGCGTGGCGTGCGCGGCGTGCGCGGCGTGCGTGTAGTGCGCCAGGCGCCGCTCGAGCGCATCTCCGTACGCAAACGCTCCCGCCGCTGCTGCCGCGCCCGCGCCCGTGCCCGTACCCGTACCCGCGCCCGCGCCGCTTCCGCACACCGATACGCTTGACACCTCGTTGTTGCGACTGTCCTCGCACAGCATCGCCGTATTCAGTATACCTGAAACGGTTTTATTGTCTCGATATACTGCCGTTATATATTATAATTTGCATATTCTCACGCTTCACGTGACATGGAGACAGGAGTGAAAATTAGATGTATCTGTAACTGCCTTGAAACTTAAAGGTTTAATGAAAACTCTTTGTCATATTGTACTAAGATCTTAAAAAGTAACTTTTGACAGACAAAAAAAAACTTTATGGTCCCTGATATCAAATTTGACTTAGAATGGATTGAGCTGTTAAAAAATTAAAATGCTCTTACTTGAATTATTCAGCCGCTGTCCGCTAACCATGTTGTGCGCGGTGGGGAACTTCCACTGCGGGCCGAAGACGGCAGGGTCGCTGAGAGCGCCGTCCACTGGGTTATCCTGGGCCGCCTCGCCGCCCGCCGCACCGCCCGCGCCGGCCGCGCCCGCCGCACGCCGAGCCGACAGCGAATTACGGGACATCTCCAGCGAAAGACGCTGTCACCATCGTGTTTATCTTACTAATGTTGTAAAGGGGAACGTGAACACGTTTCGATAACTCTATTAAAAGACTTGCAAAACGGTAAGTGTGTGGACCTCCCCAAATTAATATACAAGATAGTTTTTATCCCATCATTATCATTTCAGCTATTTATTAACCCACTGTTGAAAATGAACGAAAATCCGCCATAGAACCCTGAGCCACCAACATTCACTGATTTCTCCAACACTGCATTTTCCTGCACTGGGCTCATGTCACGTCAGCTTGCTTATCCTTTAGAATATATCAGTAACTGCTTCTTCATTTAATATACCCTGCTTCAGATAGCTTTCAGATATGGCTTTCTCCATAGTTCACTAAGCAACTTTGAACTTCTGTATACAGCTAGCAGTGTAGGAGCAAGTTTTGATTCCATTGTTCTGTTTTAAGTCTAATTCTTTCTTTTCTTTATTATCACGATAGTGTATTACAATACAATATGTATTATGATTTATGAGACCTTTTCCCCAGCAATTTTTTTTTCTGCTCGTTTTTTAGTCAACTATAAAAATCAATCAACCACAGATTTTACAACTATTGACTACAGATTTCTTATTTTACAAAAAAGTTTAAGCAAGAAAATTTTTTTTATTTTATAATAACATTTATATATTATATAGATCATTATCAAAACGGACTAGTAGTGAGAATTTAGAGTACATATTTTTTTTAATAAATATGAATACTCACTTCTTTGAGATCATTTATTTGCAAGATATGCTGGTTCTGCATTGTTATCAGTTGGTTTATGTACCACTGTTGGTCGCGACAGCGCTGGTAGAACGTGGGCGGACGGACTTGGAACCTTAACAAAAAATAATACATAAATGAAGGTTAAACGAATAATAAATGTATAAATTGTATATCCAGCCAGTATCGACGCAATAGGACACTATCAAAAGTATAAAAACCTAGTCTTTAATTGTACTTAATACATAATTTTTATTTCTAAATAAAATGTAAGTATACAGGTGCCCTAGAGAGTTGTTTTTTATTATACAGGTGCTCCTGTATATAAAAAACAACCCTGTTAATATAAATATCTTTCATATTATTAACATCTGTAAAGCTGTTTGGATAAGAATAACTTATCACAATTTTTTTTTAATATAGATTAATGTAATCATTACTGACATTATGGGAAATTGGGCTTTGAATCAATAAAACAAGCTCTCCAATATTATTTTATATTGGTGTTCTCTACTGTGCTACTAGGAAGTCAATGCAAGTCTGCTCTCAAGCGCATAGAAGTATCGTTCGGAAAAGAGTGGGGCGGTGACGTAGCAAAGTGAAAGTTAAATACATGAGTCATTCAATATCAGTCTTTAGTCAAATGAGAGATTAATTTTTGCACATTAATTTAAATAATATCAACACGCCCCCTCAAAAATTAATCTTTACTTACATTCATTATCATTAACCTTAAATAATCATATACAATCACAATTATATAATATAAACAGATCACATGTAACTTCCTAGTAATTGCTGGGAAAAATACAAAACATGGTCCAACATTTGTTGCTTTGGATTAGGGAAACCCAGAAAAACCTAATCAGACCATTAATATCTTAATAAACAAATTACAATTTATTGTTTATACATTTTACAATAATTATATAATATTATATAAGCCTATTTTGGTTCTCATTTGCTGAAAACTGATCGCTGGCAACGGCTTAGTTAGAACATCAGCTAGTTGTTGACCTGTGGGAATGTAATTTAATTTTATTACATTTTTCTCAATCTGCTCTCTGGAAAAATGATATTTAATGTCAATATGTTTTGACCGTTTATGGTTGGTTGGATTATTTGCAATACTAATGCAACCATTATTATCTTCATAAATAATAATAGGATTTGTGATATTTATATTTATGCTTATTGCCAGAGACTTATATATATATGCCACTGACATTTGTCTCTTTGTATATATATATATATATATATATATATATATATATATATATATATATATATATATATATATATATATATATATATATATATATACCTACTCAATATATTGATACTCGTACTTAAATCTGGACGAGTACATAACATGATATACATCAAACAACCTATAACGTTTCTACAAGGTGCATTATATTTATTTTCACAGTTTAATGCCTCATAATTTAACTTATTTTCCAAAGGTGTACTGACAGGCTTACAATCCTGCATATTAAATTTATTTAAAACTGTGTTAATATATGCACTTTGATCTAACGTTATTTGACCATTGTGCCTAATTATTCTGATGCCTAAAAATAAATTAATTTCATTCAAGTCAGACATTTTAAATTTACTCATTAAATATCTTTTAAATTCATTCATCATTTGAATATCAGAGCACGCTATGACTAGATCATCAACATAAAGCACCACATAAATATTTTTATTAACATTTCCTTTATCTAATACATAAATACACCGGTCGACTGATGAATTTTGAAAACCTTTTTCTTTAAGTGATTGCTCAAATACTTCAAACCAGCAAGCTGCCTGTTTGAGTCCGTACAATGATTTATTTAATTTACAAACGTAATTTTTGTTACAGTTTATACCGTCAGGAATTTCCATATATATTTCTTCCTTTAATTTACCATTTAAAAACGCGGTTTTAACGTCCATATGACGAACTAACAAATTAAATTGATTCGCAAAACTAATTATAAATCTAAAACTAGCAATTCTAGCAACAGGTGCAAAGGTTTCATTATAATCAGTCATATACTGTTGACTGAAACCTCTGGCAACAAGACGCGCACTTATACCTTAAAGGTTTTCCAAATTCATCATTTTTAATTGTAAAAATCCATTTACAATCTATGATATTTTTATTACAAGGCCTAGGAACTAAAGTCCATGTATTATTTGTTTTAAGAGAATTTAATTCATCTTTAATCGCGACTTCCCATTTAAGCCTATCACCACGAGTTTTAATTTCATTAAATGACTTCGGTACCTCGCAAACTATCGATTGCGCACACATTAAATAATCATTGTTGTCGTCATTTTCATTATAGGATACAGGGGTACGATTTTTAAGCCTATCACTCCTCCTAATTTTAGATGTATTATCGGTGTTTTCACTATTTTCGGAACTACTATTAGGTACGTATGGTACATTAATTACCTCATCACTAATTATGTGAATTTTATTAGAATTATGCTCATCAGATTTCAACACATCTGATTTAGGACTGTTGATGATCCCTCAACGACACTGATTTAGACTGTATGTCACTATATAATACTTTAAAATAGGTCTGGAATTAATAAAATTGGTCTCATCCACAATGACATCCCGTACAGTAACATACTTTTCGCATTTTGTATCCCAAACTTTATAACCGTTTGGTTATAACCCACCAGTATACCTTTCCATGATTTGTCATCAAATTTAGTTTTACTGGTTTTACTATGTACAAAAACTGTAGAGCCGAAAACCTTTAAGTATTTTATAGGTTTTTTATTATATCTCGAATGGAGTTTGAGTTTTCTTTAACGATCTAGTATATTAAATAGATCACCCCAGAAAACTTTATCTAATTTAGCGCCATTTAACAAACAACGGGCTTTCTCAGTAATAGTTCTAACCATACGTTCCGATACTCCATTTTGTTGAGGAGTTCTTGGAACTGTTAAATGAAAAGTAATGCCTTTTTCAACACAATAGTTTTTCATGTCGGTAGATAAATATTCTCTACCGTTATCAATATATAAATTAACTATTTTTAAATTATTTTGCCTCAATAGCAACATAATCTTTGAAAACAGTGAACACATCCGATTTATATGTTATTACATAGGTAACACAGTAATGAGTATACTGATCAATAAACAAAACAAAATAGTTTTTGCTGTCTATAGTTGGAGGAGTGATTGGGCCACACACATCTGAATGAACGACAAATAAAGGTCGCTGTATATGACTTTTGTCCTGACTATGATTAAATGGTAGTCGAGTCTGTTTCCCATTTATGATTCACATAAATTATTGTTAGGTATTATCGATTCAATTTCTTTTATGCCTTCAACCATATTATAATCTTTTAATTCCATAAATTTATTTTTACTCATATTAACCGTTGGTGCCATAAATTATAATTATTATTTTGTGCATTGCATATTTGAGAAACAAAATTATTTACTTTTGCAGGTATTATAAAATCTAAGGCAATTAAATTATTTAAAAAATTTCATTAGAGTCTTACCATCCTTATATATTTGGGTACCATCATTATCGAAAATAATTGTCAACCCGGCTTGTTGCATTTTTGAAACAGATAGTAAATTGTATGGAACTTCACGACAATAGAGTACATCTTCTAAAATGCCTGAAATACTCATATTACTGGTAACCTGCATAGTACCTTTCTTCGTAGCTGAAATAAATTCACCATTTTTAGCAATCGAAATTTTATGAGGTGGACATAAATATGTAAAATTAACAAAAAGATCATCCCTGTTAATAATATGGTCCGATGCACCAGAATCCAATAGAAATGTGATTTTGTTATTTTCTTCATAATTATTATAATCGGCGGTCATAAAAGCAAAACTAGAAAAACTTGATGAGGGTACTTGATTTAATTCTACCGCCTGAATTGTTCTAGTTCTTTTTACATCCGATGTTTTCTCTTGATTCATCCTTTTAAAATAATAACAATCCTTTTTTACATGTCCTTTGCGTCCACAATGAAAACACTTTATGAATTGAAACTTATTATTCCTTTGTATTTTATGTTTGTATAATGATTTTGTATTCTCAATTTTCCGTTTTTTATTATATTCTGATTTATTCTCAATTTGTAGCACTTTAACACTTGTATCGCAACTTTCATTTTTCAATTTTACTTCATGATCTAAAAGTCTTGTTTTCACGAATGCCAAAGTTAAATTATCCTCCGACAATGTCTCAATAGCAGTTATAACACCATCATATGATGCGGGTAGTGTAAGCAACAAATGTGCTATTCTATCAGTTTCTTCTAATTTAGCGCCTGCTGTTTAATGAGATCATCAAATACAGCAAAATGTTTAATTAATGTCATATCACCTTGTAGCTTTAATCCCAATAATTTTTTTCTTAAGGCTAATTGCGTAGCAATACTTTTGCGTTCATAAAGTGAATCTAAACTATTTAAAATTTCCTTAGCCGTCGTATCTTCTTTTGCAAAACAGAGATAGGAATCACATAAATATTCAACAATTATACTTTTCGCAATTCGATTATTTTTCTCCCACTCGCTGCATCGATATTCCGGTTCTTCGTCAATAACTTTTATTACATCCATTTCACTTAATAAAGCACGAATTCTGAATTTCCATATACTGTACTTCTCCCCATTAAAAGGTTTGATATTTCGTTTCATCTTCAAATTTTCCATTATAAACGATATGAATAAAAGTAACTTTTTGATAATAGACTGAGGGTACTTTTATACGATTTTTTTTTTTTAAACTTACTTTTAATTTAACACATATTATTTTAATATCAAAATAATTTAAAGACGTTAACTGGGCCCATAACCTATGGGAAATTGGGCTTTGAATCAATAAAACAAGCTCTCCAATATTATTTTATATTGGTGTTCTCTACTGTGCTACTAGGAAGTCAATGCAAGTCTGCTCTCAAGCGCATAGAAGTATCGTTCGGAAAAGAGTGGGGCGGTGACGTAGCAAAGTGAAAGTTAAATACATGAGTCATTCAATATCAGTCTTTAGTCAAATGAGAGATTAATTTTTGCACATTAATTTAAATAATATCAACAGACATAAAAGTACAGTTGATAAAAAAATATAATTAGGGGTCTAGAAAATTCGATTTAATAAAAATGCTTATTCTTTATTAAGCATAATATAAAATTATATATATATATATATATATATATATATATATATATATATATATATATATACTGAGCTATTTAGTTATGAAGCTCCGAGCATATACGTACCGCAGTATGAGTGTATCCATATCAGGGTTGTGGTAACCCTCGCTGGCCAGTAAGTCGAGCCTGAAGAACCGGTTGTAGCCCCAGCACTCGCCCACTTCGAAGTCGGACGCGAACTCGCGCACGATGTTCTTGGACGGGTCCCGCGACACTTGGTGTAGCATTTCCACGCGGTACTCGTATCTAGTGAAAACTCGGCCTTAGACTTTGGACGACGTCTTCTGTTTGATTTGATGATTGTATAAATACATTTAAATATTCTTGTAATAGAAAATAAGGCTATTGTACTGTTTTAGACTATAGAAAAAAGGAAGATAATTATATTCATGGTACTTATATTTAATCCATTTCTTAGATTCAGTTCACATTGAAGTGCTGCCCACGAAATATCGAATTATTAAATATAAAATAAAGCTCTTAAGAGACGCTCACTGTATGTAAATTGGATAGATGTTATGACTTCAATGATAGGGTTTCAAACTTGGACATTTAAATAAGCCTCTATGACGTTGTTAATACTTTAATAATTTTACATATTCCTATAAGTACTTTTAATAAACCGCATTTTTATCATAAATCTATAGGCGACGATTACCACTTTCCATCAGGTAAGCCGTCAACTTGTTTGCTACTCTAAGTTGCATAAAAAAAAGTCCACAAAAAAAAAATTGCCAGCACTTACATGTTACTCATACTGCAACAAAAGGTTTTATGTTTATATAATCAAGAAATACCACGTTATCCGATTTTCTATAGTCTAAAAATTTTAAACACTGTTTTAGTATATAAATAGCCATTCTCATATTTATTCATAATCTCCTTAATCTCAAAATTGGATTTGATTAAAAGTAATTTTTATACCTACATACAGTTTTGTATAATATTTTTAATTATAAAATAACAGGTTAAGGTAAAACATTATACAAAACCGTTATTATTAAATTACATATATGTTTTTTCAGTTACATTACATATATGTTATACATGGCATATATGTTTTTTCAATTGATATTGAATTAAAAACATTCTAACAGTTAAGTAACTGTGTATGTCGTTGCAGCTTAGAATTAAGGCAAGAATGTTACTGATGGACACTGAAATGTATATTTGCTCTTTTTTGTTCTAATTGCGAACACTGCATTGCTCATAGTTTAGAGATAAATAAAAAAAAGTAAAATAAATAATCAAAGATGCTTTTTATTGGAGAAGAATCAAAAAGACTACTTTTTTGTTCTTTTTTATAAGCCCTCAACTAAAAAAAAAACTTCTATTATTATTTCTATTTTTTTTTTTTTTACTTATAAAAAGCCTGCACATCGCGACACAGAACTTATTTAATTTATGTATGTAACATCCAGATTTAAAGACAGGAATTCAAAAATTCAATTATCTACAATAAAAAGCATAAAAAAAACTTACATCCTAATTTTATACACATATCAAATTTTATAAATGACAAAATTGAATTTATATTATCATACACAATGTAAATAAAGAATTATTTAACAATACGACAAAAATAACAGAGTGGGGAAATATAACAAAATCCATAGAAGGTGATTAATTCTAAGCAATAATAAGCGTGAATATGATAGCAAGAGCAATATGCTGAGTGTAAGTGTAAACCTTATAATTTAGAAATCAGTCTAGCTTTTATTATTATTATGGTTTTGCAGACTCGAAGGAGGAACCATCAAGAAAATAATATTACAAGGATTAAACGTCTAAAATTAGGAGTAAGCAATAAGTATTATTATTTCGAGAGACCTAATAACATTTAAGGATGAAATTGCATTAAAAAAAAATTTGACGTAAACAATGTAGAAACTAAACACTGTTTAATAATGAGAATTCTAACAGTTGGAGAACGACTCAAGCTTTAAGGAATTACAAAATGCTATTAGCATGCTTTCATATAGATTAATTGTACTACAATCAACTAAAATTCCATCTAGCCGGCGATAACTTACCTTTTACCTACCCTTAACTTAGCAGTGCTTGCAATAACGAAATACCATGTTAGCTATATTGTGTACTATAAATATTTCATTTAAATTTTCAACATGGTGAATGTGCTAAAATAGTGCCAAAATTCTACACTAGTTTCACGACACTACAAAGTTGTTAAAACATTTCATAATAACCCAACCAGTTACTTATCTATAATCTGTTTTATATGTATAAATCTATATTCTATACTTATAATAATTCTGTACATAAAATATATTTCCAAAATAACTATCAGGGGGTGATTAGTGATCGATACTGATGTCAAAAATGCAATCAATAAAAATTTTGTCTGTCTATCTGTATGTTCGTTATAGAAACAAAAACTATTCGACGGATTTTAACGAAGCTTAATACAATTATTTTTCATACTCCTGGGCAGGTTATATTATACTTTTCATCACGCTACGATCAATAGGAGCAGAGCAGTGAAGGGAAATGTTGGGAAAACGGGAGAAGTTATTCCATTTTTAAGTTTCCGTCGCGTGTGCAGCCTTTATGGCCACTTTTTAAAATGTAAAAATGTCCACCTGTACGAAGCCGAGACAGGCCGCTAGTAAAAAATAAAATCATAATGCCTTGTGTATATGTAGATATATAAATACAAGGCACTATAATTAAACGATCTTGACATGTTTTTGTATCGAAATATCAGTACAGTATAAGTGGGGTATAAATTCTGAGCAGAAACCCTGAATATGTAAAGCTGAACCACTTATACAGCGGCGACAACATTTGACAAAATACTTTAGGCATAGTTTTAATAAGGGTCATTTTACTTTTTTATTAGTCCATTTGTCGACATGTTTACAAGGGATACTGAATCCTTTTTATTTATATGTACTGATTAGATTTGCGGATAAATAAATCTTGAGCCGTTAATATAGAAATTGGATCGAAATTTTTTAATCCGCGGATAGTGAAAACGCGAACAAAGGAAGCGTGAATTTTACTGTATATAAAATAAACAAATAATAGTTAGAAGGCTATATTAAGTCATTATAAATACTTTTGTTTGTTTTATTTTTAAACGACTAATTAAACGACATGTTTAGATTGTTAACACATAATTCTGTCAAGTATATAAAAAAGATGCATATTTTTTGTATTTTTTTTCCAATTCGAATGTTTAACATTTTATACTGGTTAGGTTATATGAAAACTGTGTGCTTAACATTTCACTATTCAATTGTGATTTTTTTATATCTTACATTGGACACCTTTATAATAGCAAATATATTAAGTACTTGTTTTAAAATAGCATTATTTGCAATATATTAAAAGTACTATCTACTCACCTATAATTATATATTATTATTAAAAGTACAATATTAACAAAAGTCACTTATTGGATGACAACTTACTACATTAGTGTAGTGAGTTGTCATCTTATTTGTCTTCAACTACTCTTGTCATAGGTCTACAAATGACACCAATTTGTTACTTAAGGTCAAACTATTACTATCTTTAGTGGCCAAGTTATCAACAATAGGGAGTATCCCTATTGTCCTTATTGCCTGTCCAAGCTCTCATGTCGTTTATAGACAATATATACCAGGGCAAGGCATAAATACAGAACTCACTTGGAAGTCTCTGGGAGGCCGGCGCTAAGTTCGAGAAAGACGGAGAGATAGTTGCCTCGCACGACCCCGTTCCCGTCGGGATAGACCTTGAGGCGCCAACAGAGTCCGTTGACGTGCAGCGGCGCCGAGTACACGGGCGCGGCCGCGTGCCGCAACTGGGTGAAATTAGTCAGCGGAAAAGTGCTGCTGTCGTAGCTCGGCACGATTTCGCTGTACACATAATATATCTTGTGTTTTCATGGGTGTCAAATAAATTATAAAAGACTGATCCGCTAAGAAAAAAAAAACAAATATTTGGGGTCAAACAACAGAATTTACTACTGAATGGCAAAATTAATTAAGACCCAGCACAAAGTAACCAAACTCAATTGCTTTAAAAAAAATATACACAATATACAAGCAAACTGAGAACCACTTCCTTTTTTAGTCACTTTTATAAAGTGACTAAAAAAGGTGTGGTCCTGATAGAAAATCATATCTATCGTCAATAGAAATAATGTATATTTTTATGTATAAGGTGGAATAATGAGTTAAATAAATAATGACATGAACAACAATAACAATGATGTTCGCATGACCATTGATTTGATCGTATCAGAAATTATATTACCGGCAAAACTAGACATTTCTACTGATGATTTTCTATTTTACCAACATTTATTAATAAGTTACAAACTACATTTATTACCTGTGAAAATCGGCCGGTACCGGGGCAGTCACAAAACTAGCCATTGGCTTTTTGCGGACTTGATGAATCATTTTTAATAACTCACCACTCCTTGCTATTAGTTCAGATCTGTAAATTAATAAACATTATTAAACATCTTACGATGACCAATAAGACAACATAGTTTTATATGAATGAAGGAAAATAAATTTATTTTATACAAAATCCCATTTGATGGAAGTTCTTTGGCATAAAAAGAGATCTTATCCTGAATTATCATAAAATGTACAAGGTTAATGCAGACAAAGTCAGGGCCATTCGTTAATATTCAAATAATCACCTAGTACTAGTGTGCAGTTGCCGTTCAATCTCTTGCAACAAATGCTCAAGTTGCTCAGTCTCTTGTGTCAGACTATTCTTCTGTCCCATCAAAGTAAGAAGTTTGGCCTTTAGTGCAGAATCCAAGCGAGATATCATAAGCTCAACAGCATTTCTTATCTCGCGGACACGTTCATCTTTAGCCGCCCGAACAGATTCTACATTACGTTCCTGTAAATTGAATATTATGATCTTAAATTATGTAGTGTCTCCATGTACAAATATTTCGCCAAAAATAGGTCAAGTTTTTTATCCAATTTTGCGTAAATCGGGTTACCAGTACAGTTGATATAGTTTTAACTGGGGAAATTTATATTAATAGATAAAATTTTGAAAAATAAAAACTATAAAAAATTTTTATAAATATATTTGAAAGAATAAGATATATAGTGCATAATGATACATAATGATGCTTATCTTTATTTATAAACTTTGATTTATATCAGAGTGTAAACATAAAATATATTTTTGATTTTAAATCATTGAAAATATCCACCTTTCTAATTAACACATGTATTATAATTTATAAGTAACACATACATATGTCTATTTAAATTATTGCAGAATAGAGCAAAATTCAAATTTAACCCTAAATTACTTGCAACACTAAAAAACAACATTTTGTTTTGATTTAACAAAAAAAGTCAGTCAATTAGTTGACTAAAATATGACACGTTTTTTAATACTCTATGCTCTATCTATATAATCTAAGATTATGGTATTTTATATAAAAATCTAGATAATTCTACCTATTATCTAATATAAAAGTGGAACACCACTTATTGTTAACTGAAAAATTAATAATATTTTCTAATACCAAAATCTCTAGAATTTACTTTTGTGTTGCTAAAAAAATATACAATGTTAACAAAAACTCATGAAAGTGGATTCAGATATAAAAATAAAGAATTAAAACTCAGAACAAAGAACCAACCAAAAAGTATAGTAATTGAATCTATTGATACACATTTTTGCTAATATATGCATAATAGAATAAGACTTTAACATCATGCATATTGTAAAGAAAATTTATTTTGTTTACCAATAGATAGAACTAAGGTAACTTGTCTTAAAAGTAAAAAAAAATGTTAATAAACATATTTTAGTAAATAAACAATGCTCTTAACATATAAATGAATAATATATTTTTATTTGCATTATACAAAGTAGAGAATATAAGAATATAAGCAATAAATACAATTAATATTTTTTTATAAGTACAATAAGGATTTATCACTATCATATCATATATACAAATAATTATGAATGAAGAATTTGTAAACATCTTACCACATCCTGTACCAAGCTGATCAGTTCCATCAGTCGTCTCCTAAGTTGGGAGACCTCATCACGTATCTGTGTCACATGCTGCTCGTACACCTCTTCAAGTGGCTTGAATGTGTGACCCGAGTGGGTACCACCCCACAGAGCACAGCGGTGGCAGATACAGCGGCGACATGTCCAACAGTAAACAGTCAACTTCTCTTGATGCGTAGGACATCTGTGAAAAATAGAAAAATGTTGGAGATTTATAACAATACAAATCCCAAAGATGAAAGTATTTCATTGGAACATGTATTTTTAATATTAAGCACTAATCTATTTGGAATGTGTAATAGTATTGGTAGTTTTACAGACTTCTAATACTTATATTTCAGGAGATGAATTCTGTAGCATTGATATAATTTAGTATAAAAATTTTCCTTTGAACATTAATCTAAAAATGGATTTATCAAATTTTATTTAGCTGTTTAAGTGTGATATATTAATAAATATTACAAATAATTACTAACAAAAATTATTGGATTGCATTTTTAAAGTAACAACAAAACCCATAATTTAATAGAATCATATTGATTGATATTATTATTTGAATTAATATTCCATATTCATATACAATTTCTAATTATGAATTGTATCATAGTGTAATATTAATAAAGTCTTATTAAGTACATGAAAGTATTGTATAAAAATTTTTATTAAAACATTTTTAAAGTAACTAACAACTATGATATACAATAATAACAACTAACAAATATGACAGAATAATGTAAAGTAGCAGTAATTTACAGCATCCACATAGTTTAACCCTTTATAGATATCATTTGAATAAAGCTAACCAGAACTGTTTACTTTTTTCAAGGTTTTAATGTAAACAAAATAGGATGATTTAATATCTTATCATTTCTTTCTAGCTGGTAGTTTAAACTGCTATTTAGGATTTAAATTCTGAAGCATAATTGTCAATCCTACTTATATATGTATATGAAAGTTTGCATAAATGTTTAGATATTTAGTTATTTAGATGTTTGTTACTGAATTCTGCTTAAACAGGTGAACAAATATGAATAAAATTTGATACATTGGTAGATTATATCCTAACCATTATAATCACATAGAAAAACATATATACTTATAAAAACAATATGAAATTAATATAGACCATTAACTTTGTGTGAGATAGAATGAAATGTGTGACAGAGGTGCCCGAGCAATCTACTTTTCTAATTTTCTTTTAATCTTTTTTTAAATTGAGCAGAATACTTTTGTACAAAAGATTAAACATCTATTACAAATGATGGCTAGATAATGTAATGGGGAAATGAAGCACACCAGCTGACCATATAGCCTTCCCATACATTTGTCACTCGGCACAAGGATCACTCACAAAGTTGGCGGTCTATTAAACGCATACTGAAGGCATAACTGGACATGTTGCTGTTGCATAGTCTCTATCTGTTGGGTGACTTCCTCCACCCAGCGGCAGTTGACGAGCTCGTGTAAGTGCAGGGCCGCTCGACAGTGGGGACACTGTGACCTCTGTTCCGTTAGCCATCGTCTCACACACGCATAACAGCATAACTTCGAGCAATGAGGACATAAGTGTGCATCGACCAGCTTCTCCATACAGATGAAGCAACGGAACACCTCCGCTAATGTCTGGAACCATCATTCCATTAAAATCCATAAATCACGCAGGGCATTATTTATAATTATCAAAAAAATTTAGGCCACATCGATTTACCTCTACGATTTGCTCTTCGCCATTACCGTTTCCTTTGTCACCTCTCGAGGCCATATTTAAGGATTGGTTTAATTATCACGGCACCGAGGTATCATTCACCATAATTTAGACATTTTTATTATTTCTGAAAAGCGATAGAAAACGTTTCGCAACTCGAGTATCAACATACAAACCAAGACAACTTCCGTATTCGATTATTATACGAAAACGAACGAATCAAAACAAAAAACAAAAAAAAGTATTGCCCTCTACCAAAGTTCTCTGCAAGTATTATTATTCTTAATCTATGGGTACCTTATCTTAAGGTTTTAACTATTATAATTATATATATTAAATTATTAGGACTATTATAAGCTAAGAACAAGTAACTTTGTAGGTATAGTACGACGTAGTAGTAGTAGTAGTAACGATCCGTTGTTCAAGTATAATAATAAAAAAATTAAAAATAAAATAAAAAGTAAAATCAATACGTTGTGTAAGTATGGCTCAGCTGAATTCTTTACTAGCTCTGCGAACAAATTTACCATGAAAACAACCATTTACAAAAACTAATATTATCCTTCTCACTGATTACTAAATATGAAACTAAGTTTGTTTTGCTAATATCTCCTCGTGCTTAAACAGTTTAACCGAACGTCATGAAATTTGATATACAGTTCTATGTGGGATTAAAGAAGATGAGATGATAAGAGCAATTTTTTACCTTAATCGCGCAAACAGATTACGCCGACCCCAAATAATAGTTAGGATAAGGGTAAGAATATGATAATGATCGCGCGAACAGATTCTCGAAAAGATACAATATACTCTATATAGTTTTAAAAGTAAATGTTAAGATTTTATTTTACTTTTAAAAATAGATAATTGTTCTCTCAATCCTTATTGTTAGAAACATAATAAAGATTTTCATTAGAATATTCCATATACATATGTATTATACTAGAAAAAATATAGTACAAGTGTTTTTAGTTATTTCTATTTTTTATTGTTTTACCCAAAGATTTCTTAAAGAAAAAAAATTGTAGCGTTATTACGTTAATTCACAATGTAATGTCAGCAGTGTAAATTTATTGAAAAATTTAATTTTGACTTCACTTTAACCCTAAGAACAAGGTTCAATTACGGTAGCCTCAACTTGACATATGTTGACATAGACATAGTGTCTCTCTCCAATCTGTGTTTGACATTTCTCAATGAGCTAAATAAAATAACCTCTTATTATTTCTCTTCTGTTATAACTTTTATCTCTTAAATGTATAAATGCTCATAGCAGGAAAGAATATTGTCTATTGTTTTCTATAATAAGTATATTTATATGTAAGTACGAATTTTTTTCTAACTATAGATATGCTAAATTTTGGTGTTTTTTGCTCGCACGGATTCAGACTGCTAACAAATTGTCATATTTGTTAAAATTTAAAAAAATGCCTCTTATGTAATAGCCGCATTGTTATTATTAAATTTTGTAAATAGAATATGATAGCAGTTTATAAAGGTTTTGGGTAATTCTAAAACGTATTTTCTTTTTTTATCAGTTAAAGTAAAGGTGGTAATCGTCCATATAATTGATTACATTAATATGTTTCTATCATAATAAACTTATTTGTTTATTATAATTATGACAAATGATTTATATAATAATTAATATAATTGAAACAGAAATTAATTAATCTAAGAATTGAAGGTTCTATCTATCTATCTATATTTATACCAGTAACAAGTTTTATGTTATTAATCAAATAGGTATTACTTTACAATTACTGATGTGCCAGATCATCTATAATGTATATTTGTCAATATGATACTATGAATATAGATCATTAGAGCTTACATCTACAAATACAGATATCTATGGACCTCAACTTTTAAACATAAAATGTTGTAATATATAGAAAAGTAATAGAGACAGACATATTTTGTCTCTCATATATCTGCAAATATGTATACAAATATGGATATCTGGCACATCAGTACTTATTATCATTATGTATAAGAGAATTTTTTATTGTACGTTTCACAATTATTGATTAAAGTTGTAGATGGTTTTAAATATAATTTTACTAATACATATAATAAAAATTTAACTAGACAATAGTTGCACATTGGATTGCACATTTAAGAAAAATTAATATGAGTGGTAAGACAGTAAGAGTGATATGATAAGAGCAATAGAAGCTAAAGCAATAATTTTCAAAAATTTTAATTGTTTTTTCCAGTAATTTTTACATGGTGACTGTACAAATTGGATTTGGTATTTGAAGGTTCAACCTAAAATCTTAGTCTTTCATCATAATACATAATCTAGAAGATTTCTAATTGATTTTCCTATTTCTAAAATCCATATGCACCTTTAAAAAATCATGCAGAAATCCCAATGTAAAATAAATTAAAATATTAGTTATCTTCCAAATCCTATTTTTTCAGATTTATCTCAAGATGTTAACTTAAGCAGTTGTGTTTTAAAGCAATATGTCCTATATAAAGGTGCTTCATTGCACCTTATGTTTAAAACATGGAACTATAGGGCTTTCTACAAAATCAGTGGTGTTGAAAATTGGGGTAAGTCTGCTTTTGTTACCTTATATCTTAACAAGTGGGATAAGAGATATTATTTACAAGTCTTTCTCCATCCATATCCAACCCACACCTTATATGCCATGCTGATGCCAGTGCTCTAACCAGTTGAGCTACCGCATCACTGGATTCCAGTTCAAAACTAATAACTATTATTATTATTTCTATCATATATATATCATCAACTCACAATTAGTAAATTTCCGAATATCTAATCATATATAAAAAATGTTTAATATTTTACAATGATTTTAATTTTATTATTCTTACTATATTAATAAGTAATGCACTTAAAATATAGTAAGGATGTTATTTTTTATTATATTTCCAATATTTTAATTTTTATAGTAAATCTGTGTGTCCATCTGTCTTAGGAATCCGACTTCAATCTGTATTTATTTAAAAGAAAATATTTTTCTAAATTCTCTTTATCATTTTAAATGTGTTTTCAGAATGGCACTGTTGCACAGCAAATCGCTAGAATATCAACATCACATAATTGGAGGAGTCAGTTACCTCTCACTACACAATCACAGACATTACCCTCCACGAAGAAAACAAAAAATGTGCTGCAAGACACAAGGGTTTGGAAGGAAACCCCCTCGCTTGATAGAAAAGAAAATTTTGGACAATACTGTATGATGCTATCCAAATTTAGATTGACTTGTAAGTACACATAAAAAACTTAAATGTAAAGAATACCTATAATATCAATTATATGTATGTATAATTAATATTATAGGTATTCTGTGGGAGAATGATGTAATGATCATGCAAATAACACATTATCTAATACTATAAAGAGATAATCCTGTTTGAGTCATCATAGCCTGAACTTAGTAGTTTTGTTGCTAAAATCTAAGAATTCATTTTCATAGTACATTAATTATATATAAAAGGGTATCAATGAAAGAAAGGAAATAGATGTTTGACAGTTACTGTAGAAATCTATTAATTTTGAAATTAATATTATTAGATATTGCTTCTGAGCAAAATCAGCTTCTACATTTTTCTACATTTTCAAATTACAAATTTTTTATGATACCAACAAAAGAATAAACTCTACTAATTAAAAAAAAATTAAATAATGTTAAAAATTACTAGAAAATGAAATGTAAAGTGCTAATAAAAATATATATGGTAAGTAAATTTTTAAAAATTACACACATACATTACAACCAAATGGAAAATCTCATTTTGTAACTTGCCATAAAATTAATATTTAGGTTTCTGATATATTATAAACATATTTTAATTAATATTAAACATTTCAGCTTTAGTAGTAATGACATCGATGGCGGGTTACGCGCTAGCACCAGCTCCATTCTGCCTCACCACATTTGCACTTTGCGCTGCCGGCACGGGCCTAGTGTCGGCTGCGGCGAACTCTATTAACCAGTACCACGAAGTCCCCTTTGATGCTCAGATGTCTAGAACAAAAAATCGCGTACTTGTGAAAGGCCTCTTAGAGTAAGTATATTAAAGATTACTTTAAAAAAAATATTTTACTGGTATTCTTCTATATACTTTAAAAATTAACTTACCTTAGCTTGTCTGTGTGAATTATGGTAAAAACATTTAAACCAGTAAATTTTATTCAGATCTATTAAACTATTTAAGTGTAATTGATTAACAAGATATGCTGCGAATGGTAGAGATCTTGGTAGTGTTCTTGTTGATAGGTGGAAAAACCTAGAGGAGCTCAATGGATATACAAAATAAAATATAATAGAAAAAAGGTATATAAATTTAGTTTTATATAATATTAGTTTCCTGCTTGGACTTTACACAAGTGTACTTATGAAGATTCAAATCTTCCCCCTCGCCCACTCTCTTTTTATATTTTTTTTTAACTTATTTTTTTATTCAGTTATCTTTCATACAAACCTTATCCTGACAATTATAAACACAATAAAAAAGAATTAACCATATAGGTGCAGTGGTTCTGAAGTAACATGTTTACATACATTCGACAATTGATTTTTATTAATATCGATTTCTTTTGTTTTAGGCCTGTCCATGCAATAAGCTTCGCGGGAGTGACGAGCGCGACTGGTTTAAGTATACTATATTTCGGAGTGAATCCACTGACCGCAGGGCTCGGTGCAGCCAATCTTTTCCTTTACACGTCAGTATACACTCCTATGAAAAGAATGTCTATACTGAACACTTGGTTGGGATCTGTGGGTACGTACATTGATCTAGTATAATTATGTTATTTTCAAAACGTCTATATAGTCATATGTCTATATAGGACGGACGTCTATATAGTTTATGTAACAGAAAAATAATGAACTCTGTGTTTTTTTCCCGTTTGCGGCAATTGTGTCAACTTCATCCGGAAATATATGTATATAGACATAGAATAATCATGTTTGTCTTTTATACTTCACATATTGAGTAACAATAATAATATAAATGTGCGTTTTTTATAATGAAATTGAAAGCTGTTGAGATAATATTTGTACAAATCAATAAAATTAAAAACTTTGTAGTTTTTAATTTTGTAATGAAAAATTATATGAATGCCCCAATATCGTTTAGTTACAATTTTATTGTATTAGGTTATTATTACTAATAAATATTTCTATTGTTCCAGTGGGAGCCATACCTCCATTAATGGGGTGGGCGGGTTGCACGGGTAACTTGGACGTGGGTGCATTAGTGCTGGGCGCTATACTGTACTCCTGGCAGTTTCCGCATTTCAACGCGCTGTCGTGGAACCTACGGCCAGACTACTCGCGCGCCGGCTATAGAATGATGGCTGTCACTGACCCAGGTATATATAAAAACTCTTATTCTCACCTGGAGTTTATCAATCCTTATTACAAGTCCTTGTTCCCCAAAAAATTAACCACCAACTTCAGTCATGACAAAACCAGTTAATTTGATTTAAAAATTAAACTACTGAATTTTTAAATGATGGAGTTCTGAACTAACAAACAAAAACAATAACCAAATTAAGAATCTCCTCCTCCTTTTTTGAAGTTGGTTGGAAGTTTTGAGTCACAGTATTTTATATATAAATAGTACTAATAAATAGTTCACTCTACAAATGTTTTAAAGAAACTGTTAAGTATGACAGTGGACAGATGTAAAGGAAGGGAACGGCCGAAGAAAAAATGGATGGCTTGTGTGAAAGATGATATGCATAAAAAAGGAGTTAGCTCAAAAATAACGGTTGATAGGGATTTGTTGAAGAGAGAATGAGAAAAGGCAATGCAATAATGATGATATGTCTCGCCCTTTAAATTGGAATACAAGGTCGATTTTAAGATGCAATTTCTCTAAACATATCTCTTTTAATTTGAATTACAATGAAATCTTTATTTCAAGGACCAAAATGAACTAAATTTGCAATAGATTTGCGTCAAAATTATTGTAACTTTAATTCATGACGGTCCATAAACAGTTTTTTTTTATATTAGTTGTTAACTGTCCATTGCTGAACATGGGCGTCCCCCATGAAGGGGGTTTCTGCCAGTAGTTGCCACGCTTGGCAGGCCGTAAAACAGTAATTTGCCGAAACTGTTAAATTAAAACATTAGGATAAGAGATAGGTTCAGGGAACTGGCTTGATCCACTGAAACTGCGCAGAGATGTTGCATCTCTGTGCATCTTCTACCGAATTTATCATGGGGAGTGTTCTGAGGAATGTTCGGATTGATACCTGCTGCTGATTTTCACCACCGTACAACCCGCCACAAACTAAAGTTTCATCCCAATCATCTGGACGAGTGGCGGTCTTCCACCGTGCGTTTTTCAAGGCACTTTTTTCCACGCACAACCATTCTTTGGAATCAACTTCCAGCAGCAGTATTTCCGAACCGATACGACAACATAACCTTCAAGAAAAGAGTATATTCCTTTTTAAAAGGCCGGCAGCACACCTGCAATGCCGCTGGTGTTGTGGGTGATCATGGGCGGCGGTAGTCACTTACCATCAGGTGAGCCGCATGCTCGTTTGCCCCCTGTGTTGTAAAAAAAAAAAAAAAAAGCCGGCTCCTCAAAATCGACGATATTATATAGTATTTATATATAAAGCTATATTATTATATTATGTAATAATAATTATTTTTTCAGCTCTATGTAGGAGAGTCGCTCTCAGGCATACAGGAATAATTACCGCAACTTGCTTAGCGTCACCATACCTCGATGTTACTAATATGTGGTTTGCGCTTGAATCACTACCTCTAAATATTTATTTTATGTACTTAGGTATGTATATTTTTGTTTCTGATGCATTATTCTTTACTTTGTCATTGGATATCAGATAAATAATGGAGAACAGTTAAAATATTGAAAGAATTTAAGTAACAAAATAAGAATAATAAAAAAAGCTCCCAGTCGGAAATTGATGAATATAAAAAAGAAAATAAAACTTTTTTTTAATTTTATAGGAATTCTGAATTGTACTCTCTTGTGCTAACATTGTGTTTCTCGTACCTTACAAATACGTTGATACTACTTGGTATAGCTTAGCATTTATTTTATAATTACTTTTTGCAGCGTGGCAATTCTACAAGAAATCGGACAGTGGCAGTTCGAGAAAATTATTTAGATTTTCTCTGATACATCTACCTCTGTTGATGGTATTAATGTTAGTCAATAAGAAATATTGGAGTTCAGCCGATATTCAAGATCAGAAGGACTCTCTCAAGTCACAGGACCTGAGTAAGGTCCCTGAAGCTAGGATAACAGTATTGCTGAGAGGGCCCGTGGTCGCCGCGCAAGAAAATCAGTCCTAGATAATCTACATACCTGTAGATTTAGTATATTTTATTTTGTAAATAGTGTACAATTTAATTATGTGATGATTCGAAAGTGAGTGAAGAATTTGGTATAGTCCAATAAAGTCTGCTTTTAATTCTATAGTTTAGGATTTATTATTTTCCTACTGTGCAGAATGTACTATAATAGTCTAAAATCTAACAATATTGAAGGAATTAAAAAACTTTTTAAGGAACATATATCAGGATGTAGTAGTACCATTAAGATGAGACTCTCTTCATTGAAACTTATGACCAGATACATAAAAAATATGCAGTCGAAAATATAACCTCTTCCATTTTCGAAGTTGGTTAAAACGTGAATTTGCGAGCCAAACAATGGTAGAAAATATTTTTAAATATAAAGATTCTAAGAATTTCAAACTTTATGGTATTATCTATAATACTAAATAGACATAAAAGTGGAAATTATCGGACTATACTAATAATTATGTTATAATCACAGAACATTTTTTTTTTTAGTATTGTGTGACCAATTATTATGTAAATTGCTAAGGATTTCTTTTTAATGTTTATTTATTATTTTTTATCTTTAAATTACGCAGCAATCTATTGTAAAAAATAATGGTTAGAACAGTACAAGAGTGGGATATCTAAAAAGAAAACTATAAAGAAATCGCCTGGGCGTGATAATAGGTGCTTACTATCCCCCTTCTAACATTTAATATTGTCTTATTTAAATAAGTTTTTGACCTAAATGTCTACAACTCACACAGTACATATTACCACATTTTGTTCTGTGATTAATTAAAAACACATTTAGATAATATTTATTTTGCATAGTCGAATGTTAACTTATGAAGATAACTCAGGAATAAATGAAAAGTGCAAACAATAAATCCTTACATTTATTTTGTTGCTTTAATTAAATTACAATTATCGTTGGAATTCAAAATCACTCTACATACATATAAACATTCAGGCAATCAGATTTGAACATTATGCAGACGGACATTGGATAGGAATTAACTCGTTATGGAACTGTCTCTCGAGCCGCGTGTAGAGATTGGAACCCGTATATAATCCAAACAAATTATTTCAGCTGTTTATTTCCTGAAACAATAAGAAATTTGGTGAACAAAGGCTGTAAAACTTTGAAAACTTTTTTGACATTAAACATTTAATACAACAATGAATCTTTCAAATATTATGTTTTGATATAAGACAATATCATATTATCATAATCATATCAGCTATTATCTGTCCACTGCTGAACATAAACCTCCCCCTTGAGGGGTTTTGCTAGTAGTTGCCGCGTTTGGCAACCGCAGTTAGACTTTAAAGATGTTTTAAGAGAGACGTTGCTGCCCATCCCTCGCTCTTGTTATATATTAATAATATAAATATGGTATGTTTTATCACAAAACTTTTTTAAAAAGTATAAAATAGTACATGCCCCTCTAAACTAAACGCATTCGATAATATACGGAACAAACTTATCAGTCATGACCACTATTACATACATAACCTATGTATCATATGTGTGTCCCACATGTGGTAGTATAATCTGGGTAATCATATATGGTAACCGACGTACTTTGCTTTCTTGGGGCTGCGGCCGTGTTCCCGGCTGTCGTCGCGGGAGCGCTTGTGAGATTTCTGATCGCTTGAATGCTTCTTGTGGTCCCCATTAGACTTGCTATGTGATGACTTGTGGTCGCTTGAGTGATGAGATTTGTGGTGCTTATCGCGATTCTTTGAGGGACTGAAATAAATTTAGAATATTTCATAAAACCCAACTCTATTTATACAGAGTAAAATTGAAATCGTAAGCATCCTTCCAAGGTAGTATTTTTTTTTACTTTAATAGGGGAAACATACAATACCTAAAATATAGAAATGATTAATATGAAAAAAATAATAAATAAATGACATTACTAAAAAAAGAAAAAAATAACAATTTTTAAATTATTTTTTCCTCTTTAATTAAACATATTCTACTAGTAAAACATTTTTACTAAAGAAACATGGATTGAAAAACGACACAGTCTCGAGTCTTCCATAATAACGCGGCGCGTCTAGATTATTAGTATAGAAAGCTAGGACAATTTAGTTACATTTGTTTCACAAAATTTCTCTCCTGATATATTCCATAGCATGGGTAGATTTTCAGTTTTACGAACTGCTAACAATTTCGACTGTATAATTTTTTTTTATACAACTTAGAATAGCAAACAAGCTGACGGCCCACCTGATGGAAAGTGGTAACCGTCGCCTATAGACATGAGCAGTACCATGGACATAACAGAGTATACTGTTTCGCTCATAATACCCCCCCATCCGTTGCCATTCCTGAGGACTCAAGTGTTATTCCTCCGTACCCTGTAAATTCACACCTTATCCCACTCTTCAAACCGAAACACAGCCATGCAAACACAACTGCTTCACGGTTGAAACACGAATAGGACAGAGGTACCCAAGCAATCGACTTTTGTACAAAGTCTCCCTCTGGTAAATATTATTACCTGCTGCTACTATGTTTAGATGGGCTCTTATGACTCGAACTCTTATGACTGGAACTTTTGTGTTTGTCATGTTTGTCGTGTTTGCTCTTCTTTCTATTTCCCTCATCCGAGCCGTACGAGCGAGGATGGTCGCGACCGCCCTTGCGTTTGCGGTCGAAGTCCTCCCGGTCGTAGTTACGTTCCTTCTTGTCTTCTTCGGCCGCCTCGCGCTCTAAATCTGACCAATCCTTACCGGATTCCTCATCTTCCTCTGTAAAATAGAATTAGTAAGTTTTTATTTCTATTTGGTCAATAACAACCAGGAATAATGATAATTTAAAATACAATAGTGGGTAATTGTGTAAGTAATAATGATTACACGTTGCATATTTATATTCATATTGTTGAATGGAAAAACGCTCGTTATGTCTAAATATAATAACATTCGGTCTTCTTGCTAAGTCTAGGTTCTTTGTAAGTTATGCAGAATAAACTAAGTGCCAAAGAGTCCTTTGAGAGGGTATTAAACACAATACGACTATGAAAATTTCATAATTCGTGTTTTTATTCAATTGCACGTGCCAATCTTAATATATAAAAATCCCGTGTCATGATGTCCGTTAACTCCAATTTTGGAAGAAGCTCAATCTAATTAACAAATTTTTAAGATAGAACAAAAAAGAACTTTAACTTGAGAAATTTTTTCCATACAAGAAAAAATGATTCACCTTCACTATCGCCTGAACCAGCAGACTCGTCAGAAGCCTCCGAATCATACTCTGAATCGTCGTCGGACTCCTCCTCCGACTCGGCGTCCGTCGGCTCATAAGCATCGTCTTCCTCCTCCGAATCTTCCTCCTGCGAACGATAAAGTCATGATCGCATCTATACTACTATTATAAAGAGAAAAAGTTTTATTGTTTGTAATTGAGTTTGTCAAAAACTAATAAAACGATTTTTAAAATTCTTTCATCTATAGTAAACCAAAATAGTGAGTGACATATGCTGTTATTATTTTCTATCTACTTATGCGAAACCAGGGCGAATCAGTAGTCACTACCTCACTAGACAGTATAAAACAAAGTCGATTCCTGTCTGTCTGTCCCTATGTATGCTTAGATTTTTACAACTACACAACGGATTTTAATGCATTTTTTTAATAGATAGAGTGATTCAAGAGGAAGGTTATATGTATAATATATGCATAATATAGTAGAGAAACACTTATAATTTTAGAGGTTTCTAATGTAATGGGAAGCCGACGGCGATATTTAGTATCAGCATTGCACCCGTGTGAAGCCAGGGCGAATCACTAGTTAGTAATAAAATCACTCGAATCGTAAACTTACTGCCATTTCTACGTATTTATTAATATAAAATGGTTCAGGCAATAATACACCTAAGGTCAAAGTCAAAACCGAAATTTCTACTAACCTGTTCAGCATTTTCAGCATCAGATTCCGGGTCTAAGAATGACCAGCCACCGTTGTCAAAGAAGCCTTCAATGTCGTCGGTGATGGTCTTCATGACTTTCGTCCAGTTCAAAGACTGTATACCTTCAGAGTAGCGGATGTCGCACGAACTGTAAACGAAGTATTATTACTGTGCTATTTACTATTATCAAAATATTGCACATATAAAAAAGTAATTGTTTGCTAAATATCCCGAACAAGTTTTTTTTTTTTTATTATTATATCGAAAACGAAAATTTCATATTATAATTCATACAGTAAACTGTATTTAAATATATCCTCTGCTCATAATATAAATGTAATACGAAGATTTAAGTCCCAGTAAGCAGTAACACACCTTTCAGATCAGAATATAAGTTTTTTACTATTGATGGGCTCCGAGATTGATCACTATCTCACCTGATGGAAAGTGATGAATTGTTCTAAGGCGGAGCTCACGGGTCTATGCGAAAAGACATATAGGGACTATCAGATAATGTACTCTGTAAATAGCTGAAAGCTGTCGCTCGCATCCTGGAGTGGGCATCAGAAAACTCTAGAGTACGCGCAGCCCACCCGACCCCCATCCCCCTTAAATATACCTATGGCAAGCAGATAAGTCAAAAGAGCCTGTGCAGATTTTAATAGTAACTCCTGAAGTGAATTGATGTGATTGTTGCCTTTTTGTGCCTTGACTTTGGTATGGGGAAGGACATGATTAACTTTTTACCTTGATTATATCGTCATAGTCGTAGAATACTGACGGATCTATATATGTAATATTCGTCAAATCCGTCAGTATTCTACGACTATGACGCTAATAATATATTCATGTAATCAAGAAAGTAATAAACTCACTTGAGCCATTCTTTGACGTGATCCAACATATTCATAGGGACAGCGTTTACCATTGCGACTTTCTTTGCATAATCTTTGAACACAAACACCATATCGAAATTTTTGAGGTGGAATTGTACTCTCTCGAAATGAACCAGTTCTACATCTTCGAGCGCTATGACAAATGGCGGCCACTCGGTTAGGTTGACGAGTGCGCCTGATGTAGGTTGCAAGAGGACTGTGCTGCGGAATGGTGCACCGGGGAAGCCTAGCTCTCTGTAAAACAAACCAAACTTAGTGCTTAATTAATATTTCTTTTTTATACTACTTTGAATGGCAAACAAGCTGACGGCCCACCTGATGGAAAGTGGTAACCGTCGCCTATAGACATGAGCATTACCATAGACATAACAGAGTATATTGTTTCGCCCATGATACCCCCCATGCGTTGCCATTCCTGAAGACTAAGGTGTTATTCCTCTGTACCCAGTAAATTCACGCCATATCCCACCCTTCAAACCGAAACACAGCCATGCAAACACAACTGCTTCACGGTAGAAACACGAATGGGAAAGAGGTACCCAAGCAATCGACTTTTGTACAAAGTCTCCCTCTGGTATACAAATCACGTGTCAATATGCACAATTACCATAAACACTAAAAAAAAACAATATATTTTTTTCCTTTTTATAATCTCAGTATATCTATACTAATATTATAAAGAGGAAAGATTTTATTATTTGTTTGTTTGTAATAGATAAACTCAAAAACTATTCAACCGATTTTTAAAATTCTCTCACCTATAAAAAGTTATATTATCAGTTAGTAACATAAGCTACTTTCCACAATTGTTTCTACCCATGCGAAGCTGGGTTGGACCGCTAACTAAAGAATAAAATAACAGCAGAATAAATACAATAAAAAGATGTCTCAAAATACAATCAAATCAAAAACATTTCAACAAACGATTGAAAAAATGTTCATCTATCACATATTTATTCATTTATTAGTATAAGCAATTTATAAAATAAGTTTCATGGATCCTAAGTATTGAGGGGAAGTGAATTAACCTGAAGGGTGTGTCGAACTCCACTTCTTGCTTGGTCATGTTCTCGACACGCTCACAGAAACTCTTAAAGGCGACCTTCAGCTTGTGACGCAGCTCACGCTCGCTCTGTTCGGCTGCCAGGTCGTCGCGGTCGTGCATGTGCTGGTGTTTGCCTAAATCTGTCGTAATCTCACCCACTTCTGTATAAAACTGCACGTCTACGTGTTTCTTTTTACCTGAAATTGGAATATACGTTAAGTGACCATAATAATCATTTATTTCGAATTACAATCCATATCGTAACACGATATGAACTATGAATAAGACTTACAAAACTGTGTTGGTAAAAGACAATGATTATCTAGTTCATGTAACTTTGTCCAATTCCAGTTGCACTATTGTGAAAGGCATAAAATTGAGATATTAAAAAACACTTACAACATTAAAGAATATATAGTTGTTAAACTTCATTATTTTCGTTATTTATATATATCATTACGACGTATTAACAACAGACGAAAATATTAGCTATTTCCTAATATGTTTATAATTAACATACCATTTCGATACTTAGTTAATATAAAACATGGTGTTATTTAAAAAATAATATATGATGTTTTTTTGCATATTCCTTCTCTTGTATTTTTACCCCATCGCTTCACAAAAATCAAATTCCCCTTGATGGGAATTTAATTTAGACTCACAATATTTTATTCAATAAAAGATAATCTTACCAAACATAATAGCATGCTTCAAATGAAAATGCAACAATATAATCATTTCTCCATCACACGGCTGGAAGAATGCGTTCTTTATATTGTTGTACAGGATATCGACTTTGTCGCCTCTGACTGACGTGAACCGGAATCCGTTCGAATGTGCCTCTAAAGAACCACTCATTCTCTTTGTGACAATATTGGGTCTGATGTACAGATCTTTCAGTTTCGGGTTGCCTTTGCTTTGTGAGAGAACCAAAGTGTCTTGTTTCACTAAATCTTCTTTCTCTCTTTCCTCTGCCTCTCGCGTTTTAAACTTTTTCTGTACTTCTTTGATGAGTCTAAAGCCTGTGTTGAGATTCGAGGACGGCGGCGATATCTCGCCTGGTTCTTTAGTGTTTGTACTTCGGTATGTGCTAAACAACAAAAAGATAATTATAACATTTTATTAAAATTTATATCTTTAATAATTTTAAATATTTTATTTTAAATATTTTATAATTAATTTAGTTAAATTATATTAAATATTTTATTTTAATTTATCTTTAAGTGCCTTCACATAGATTTTCTAGAGTCAAATAGAATAAAATTATTAAATAGAATAGAATTGTACAATATTTAATATACAATTTTTTAATAAATTTTATATTTTGTAAATAACTCTAAAGAAAAGCAATATGATACAGTATGCAATCATAAAGCAATATGATACAATATGAATAATATATAAATAATATATGAATAATAACGCATTTAAAAACTACTTACACTTCTTTTACAAAAGTAGCATCTGGTTGTGCATAGTTTCCTTCGTTTCTCCCCATTGTTGCTCCAGGGTGGAAAAAATTAATCCTGAGGTACGTGTAATCGCCTTCTACCGATTGCGATATGTTTTTTATCGTTGAAATATGGAATGGTACTGGTACGCCGAATATCGGCAGAATCACTGTCTCATACTTTCGATCTGAAAATTTTACATTTCGTGATCATAATGAAATATTATAAATTCATATATTACTTCAATTTTCAGAAAACATGACAGTAAGCACTACTGTAACACTCATTTAATTATACATATAAACTAATATTATAAAGAGTAAAGATTTTATTTTTTGTTTATTATATTTTTTTATTTCAATAAATTCAAATAATATACAACCAATTTTAAAAAGTCTATTATATATAGAAAGCTATGTTAAAATGGATAGTATTAAAAAAAAAAAACTATACAACACTTGACTCGATCGCTAGTTTCTATATAATAATCTATTAAGACTAAAAATCCACTCACCAACATACAATTTAAGTTCCTTCACTTCATTCTCTCTGGGCATTTGACTGACACTCTTATATGAAATTGTACTTTTCCTAATCTTTTCTCCATCTTTCCCACTGGACTGCTTGGCCAAACGTTCCTTAGCTTTTTCGTTCAATGCTATGGCGAGTTCCCTTTGGTGCTCCTTGCGTTTCTCCTCTGATGAATGCTCTGTGCGAAGCTTCGATTCGATAACAGCTGTCCTTTTGCCTCTTCCTACAATTTTATATATTATTAAAAAGATTGAATTAAAGCTAAGAATAATATATATAAAAAACTAAATTTAAATGCGCGCGTTATAGAATAAAGATAATAAAGTTAAATGTCCTCTATTCAAATAATTTGTAAATTGATGAAAATGATTTGAATAGGACCAAATCATATTATTACTCCATCTGATAGTATAACAACACGACTTATAAATTTTTTGATGAAAATAATACATGAACATGTTCAATTTTATAATGGTTTTTAGGCGTATATTCATATATGAGTTACAATTCGTTACTCGTATTTCTATGACAATATGTATTCAGACAGACATTGAACTTTATTTATATAAACATTAGTACTTAATTTTAATCTACAATAGCAAATAAATTGTTGCACACATGTAGCATTACAATTAAAACTCACTACATGCAATTAGTCGCCAATCTAATACAATAGAACTCACCTCCATTCTCTATCCGTCCACGATTGCATGTAAGTAAAAAATACATAAATAACTGACAACATCTTCAATATTTCAAATAATCAGTAAGTTTCACCTAAAATCTTTTCCTTGGTATAGGTGAAGTATACTATTAGAAAATGAAAACTGAATCACATAAATTATAAAGTACTAGTCATTCAACTGGTACTGTAAACTAAATAAACACTGACTCGAGAGTCAACATTTGGAGTTTTATAACAAATGTGATTAAGTTTATAAATGCACAATTAAATAAAATTATCAAATCTATTTAGCTTTACATGAATATTGAAGAAAGAGTACATTGTTCATTAAAAGGAGAATGAGACAAATTACTAACAAGTTTGCATATAGATTTAGACCTCGAGTATTATAGTTTGTCAACAGTTTAAGTGGCACTCCTGTGCAGTGAAAGACATGCGGGGTACGAGGTAAATGGGTAGGTTTGCACTTCCCTTTTCCATTACACTAATTTTACTTTTATTTTCTATTTTATTTTTTAACACTCCGTCGTCTTTTAGACTTGATTTGGAGTACCGCATATAAAGTTAACGGATTATAAGGGAAGGCTGGGAACCACACGAGTTTGTAATCTGTACCATCTCCCGAAATATACAATAGTGTTTTTCTACATCTTTACTACATCTATAAAAAAAATATTGGGTACAGTCAACTGAATATTATTACAATTTATATTTATATTAAGACAGATTAAAAAATATTGAACAGAAATCTAGCTTAGTATTCAGTTCTGTAATTGTGTCTCAAATTATTTCCACTTTAATACAGACAAAGTACTAGGAAAGCAAAAAGTATAGGTGATAAATACTTTATCACTTCTTTCTGCTTCCGCTTTCCTTGTAGCTATAATTACTATCAGTCATACGCTATTGTGAAGGGCCAAAAATCCCTAGTATGACTACGGTATTCAATAATTACGTTGGTCATAATTCATATATCCTCTTATTTGAACCACTATATATTAAAAAGCTATGGCTGTTTTCTTAGAACTAAAGAAATAATGGTTTACTGTATTGTTTCTTTTATTATTACTACCATTATCATTAAGTTTTTTATACCACTGATATGGTAAATAAGCATACAGCCAACATGATGTGTAAGCAGTTACCATAGCCTATGAACGCCTGCAATACCAGGAACATTACACACACGTTGCCGACCCTGAAGAAACCTCTTTACCCCTTTTTTGAAGAACCTTTTTTATTGATGTAGTAAAAATGCATTTTCTGATTAAACATAGTAAAAAAGATAAATCTTTATTTAAATTTTAAACCATGCTTTACAACTTCTATAACGACATGAGAAATATTTTTTATTATTTTTTTTTCTATTAGTCATATTATTGATTAAAAAAAGGACTCAAAGTTGGCATGTTAACTGAAATCTATATATCTATTGATTTCTGTTAAATTAAGCTTCAATCACTTGCAACCACAATCTTTACAACAGCAATAGTCTTTGCCATTGGATTTTTTATTTTTAATCCTGAAGCAAAAAAGTCAAATTAGCTTTTAAGTCGCAACATATACATAGGACTCAGCACTTACCAAGTATCTCAGTCTTGTTTTCCTTTTCTTCCTCTTCTTCTTCATCATCATCCTTTAAGAATATACCAATATTCTTGATCTTCTTTTTAGACTGTGTGAGAAGGGAAGCAGGCTGTTCCTCATTTACCAACACTGTGTCACCAATGAATAGTGCATATGTCTGGAACGTAACATTTCATTATCACTAATTATCAATTAATCAATTTTTTAAAACGTCTACAAAGTCACTTTCACATTTATAACATTTGTGAAGGTAAAGGATATAAAAAATATACAGTTATACTTCAATCCTTTTAGGATAGTAAGCATTTCTCAGTGAGAATATTATATAATAGAAAAATATGGGAATAGCTCCATGCTATTAATAAAATATTAATAAAAGTGAAAGTTTGTAATAATGATTGGATGGATAGATGGACAAATGAACAGATAGATGGATGTTTCACACAAATTTACTGAACAGATTTGAATGAAATTTGGTAAACAGATATGTTATATCTTAACATAGCACATAGGATACTTTAATAACTGATTCACGCGGGCGGAGTCGCGGGATACAGCTTGTAAAGAATAAATTAACTATACATTACTTAGATACCCACTATGGTGAAACAAACATACTGACCTTTCCTTCCTTATCAGTAGCTACGCTGTTTTGCAAGTTAGCCAAGCCAATGTTAATGTTAAACACCATGCCCTTCTTAGCAACAATTGAAGTTTTTGGCCCAATCACAATTGAGCTTTCCCGAAACTCTATGCCCATGGCAAATCTGAAGTAAAAAATAAATAAAATAAAATAAAATGAAGAATTGCAACCAATTGCAAACATTGCAAATGCATTGAATAAAACTTTTGTATTATTTGAAGATATTGAAAAAATATTTAATTATAATTTAAAACATATAAGAACTTACCCAAATGTTTTTGTAAGATTATCCACCAGATTAGGTTTTTCTTTCTTTGCTAGTGCCAAACCTGCCTCATACACTGCTGACAGTTTTGTACCAGCCACAAGGTGTTTCATAACCTCTTCTTCCAAATTCAAGAGGAAATTGTAATTACTCTGAACTTCGTCAGTAGGATTGACCAGCAATGTACGAACAATGTTAGAACAATATGACTTGTATCTTGCTCCTAGAGAACACACTATAGCACCAAAATGCAAATGATTTTTATCGGATACAGCACTGAACTTGAGACTATAATTTCCCCCTGACTGTATAATTGGTGGATAACACATATCAACTTGACTTGTATCTACCCCTGTGACATATTTCTTATCTGATATCGCAGCTTCAACTCCCTCCGCAAGTTTTGAATGTTTCACTTTCTGTTGATATGAAATTAGTACTTTTAATAAAAATTCTGTAAGCATATAGCACCTAATAAAACAGGTAATAAATAATAACATCTAAATATTTATAGATAATATAATATAGTAGCTTACACTTATCCACAATTTTATACATTAAAAATATTTAATAAAATAAAAAAAAAAATTAAATGCTCATAGAGGACATAAACATTTGTATGTGCATGTGCACAATATAATAGATATAAAATGTATAAATTTTCTATTTTACTAAACATACCTTATCTGAATCAATGATTTCCATAATTTGGTCTTTTAAATATTTTGTAAAAACATCAACAGTCACCAAGCAAGCCTTTTTCACTGTGATTACTTCTGGATCTTCTTTGGGTGCCATAAGAAGAGCAACTGATGAACTGATATCAATATTTTCAAATTTTTCACCCTTCATCGCTGTCTTCCAACTTTCACAGAATTCACCAGGATAATTATCTTTAGCAAATACACCTAGAGACTTTCCTGATTTTGATTTTTTAATTTCTTGTATAAGTTTATTGAAGTTCTCTTTATCTTTGTCATTCTAGAAAAAAATTATATAATCGTTGAATAGTAATTAATTTTTAATAAAGATTTTAATAAGGAGGGGAAATTTATAATTTTTTATGTAACTTAGAATGGCAAATCAAGCGGATGCCCCATGTGATGGAAACTGATAACCGTTGCCTATAGACATGAGCAGTATCATGCACATAACAGAAATTACTGTTTCACCAATGATACCCGCCATGAGTTGTCATTCTGGAGGACTAAGATGTTATGCCCCTATGTATATTTAAAAATACTTACTCTATCCCTAATAAGAAGTTTTGCTGGAGGTAATTCTGTTTCATCTTTTCCATTCTCAATTTGTCGAAGAAATTCAATTTTCTTTTTACTGGCAAGGAAACACATGCTGTGCTCTGTGAGGACTGTTATTGTATCTGGTAACTCATACCCAAATAGCCATGTCTATAAAAAAAATACAGATACAGAATACATTTATTTAATCTTATAGATAAACTAGAGGGAAAGGCATTACATTTGGGGTCTAACAGCCTCATTGTCAACAATATACCCTATCAGGTCAACCTCCATGCTGTTCACCCTGTTACTTTTTTGAATTCATCATGATGGGCTCATCAGATTTAGTCACTTAGCTCACTGACTTACTAGGTCAGTCGGCTGACTGACATTTTTCATTCTTGTCTTTTATTTCTCAATGGTGCTCCACTGGTGTGATGGCACAGGCCATTCCATTTTCACCCACAAAAAATATATATAACAAAGTTTTTATTACTTATAATAGAATTGTAATTCCATCTACTCTAATGGTATATGCTGGTGTGGTACCAGTGAGGGATAATAGGTGGGAATGAAAAGGTCAGTTAGCCCATTGTGATGAATACACTTAAAATTTAACATGATATTTTCCAGGAAGACCACAAGGGTCTGATAGGACCTGATAGGGTATATTGCTAGCAATGGGACTGGCAGACCACATTACTAACAATTCCTTCTTCCTTTATATAACAAAGTTGTAATTAGGTGGTCTGTATGTTAAACAAAAATTCAAATGAGGGTGATAACAACAAAATCTTTTATTTTTTATTTTTCTTTGTCTACCTGTATATTTATTCTGATTTGATGCAAAAACTACTTGACTAAATTAAATGTAGATTTCAGTTGTATTTCTGAAGATGTAACTTATAATGTTTATTTTAACATAGGATTTATAAGTAGATATCTACTTCCAAAATACACACATACAAAGTTACAGACAAAATCTAGGTATAAATAATAAAGGAATTAACAAAACATATTGTTTAAGAATTTGGTTGGTTGGAAACACATTGGTTGATTTCAGTATAGTCACAGATTGCTTTAAGACATATATAAAAAGTCAAAAAAGTATTCAAAAGTCATTTTGAAATCGTATTAAATGTAAAGCGTAATATATAACATAATACTATAGGTATAATTATAAAATAACACTGATGAAACAACAAAAATGCTAAAAATTACTTTTTATTATTCAAACAAGGATTTCTGAGTAAATAATTACCAACATAATGATTATATTTCATGCATATTATTACTACGCAGAAAATATACTTCTGTTTCAATATGAAACGCTAAAAACACGTTTCTATGCATGTAAAAATAACGAACCTGTAGTGCTGTTGATTTGCTGTAAAGAGTATCTTCATCCACACCAACACACGATACAAGACAATCGGCTTTGGCCAAAGCATCCTCGCTTTTGGGATCAGCTGCAGCAGCCTGAAAATAAACCTTATTAATTAAAAATATCAATGAGATCTTCAAAAAGCACGAACACAACCAACCTTCCATGCTGCATACAGCTTTTTCATGCGACGGTAGAAAGTTTCCTTATCAAGTGATATATTTGACATTTTTTAAAGTAAAAGAAATTAAAATTACTAACAATATCTTATTAAACGACTCCTCAAATAAGAAAACTTATGTATAATTTAACATTACAGCTTTTGACAGCAAACAAGAATGGCGGGCGTCAGTCTCAGTGTGACCAGATGTAATAAATTGAATTATTGTGTTTTGCTTTCTATGTAGTTACTAAAAACTACCACAATATCTTTATAGTAGTTTTTAATTTTAATTGTAATATAGATGGAGCATAGTTTGTACATAATATTTTATTAATTGTATTTACAAAATTATCAGTGTATTAGAAAGAGATAAACATATAAAAACAAACTCATTTACCGTGCGTATAGATAAACCACACTGTTGGTATTTTTATCTGTGCGAAACTGTCTGTCACATCAAATTAATCTACAGTTTTCAAACTGTTTTCATGTTTCTTAAAATTTTTATTGCAATTTAACTTTATTATTTTTGTTTATCCGACTTTCAGATATAAGTGCTGAGACGACTAAATTAAATCCAATGCAACAATTAAAATCAATAGAACTAATTTATTTAAACAAAAATGTGTTGAAGAGTCTTACGCAAAATAGAATTACCACTATTAAGGATTTCCTTCATGAAGACCCCGAAAAGATAGCTCTACTTACTAAGTTAACGTTCGCCCAAGTTTTAGAAATTAGAAATGATATATATAAAAAATTTTCCGCAGTGTTAATTACTGGCGAAAAATTACTTGAGAAAATAATAAGAAATAAAAAGTTATGCATTGGTATTAAAAGGTACAACAATACAAATTTTAATTTAATTTGCAATTAAAATACAAAGTTTTAAAAAAGCTAAAGTATGAAATTAATTGTCAATATTATCTCTTTTAACTATATTAATCAATAATATTTTTTAACTAAATAATTTTAGTTTAGATGAAATACTCGATGGAGGGATTCCTGTGGGCATAACTGAATTTTGTGGACTTGCTGAATCAGGAAAAACCCAATTATGTTTTCAAATCGCCATTAATTGTGTGAAAAATTCTGAAAACAATGTACTATATATTGATACAAAAGGAGATTTTTCTGCATTGAGGATACAAAAAATATTAGACACAAATGGGTTCTCTCATAAGGTTTTTATTTTTATAATTATGTATTAATATTAAAATTTGTGACATCATTTTCTTATTATTTAATTATTTACTTTCAGGATATGGCACTAGTATTAACTAAAATAAAAGTTATACGTATATGGAGCATGGAAGAATTGATTGAGTTATTAAAAAAAATAAAAAACAAGCAATGTTGTATTGAGAAATTAGCTTTAATAATAATAGATTCACTTCCTTGTTTGATGTTTCAACACTTAGGCGACTCAAATAAATTGGGTAAATATTCACTATTACCTGTAGGTAGTATAAATCTTTACCAAATTTTATTCAACTCCATTTAGTAGTTTTTGTGTGATAGAAAAACAATGTGTTAAAAATACTTTAGCATTATTTACATTTATATCTTCTATTTGGTCATACTATAAAGTTATTAATATCAGTTTAACTATAAATATAGATATAGTATGTTTCATAATAAAACTGTTATTCATTGTGATATTCTATAGTTGTACATTCATGTAATATATAACTTTTGTTTTGTTGATATTTTTATTAAAAAAAAAATATTTTAATTACAGGTTTGACATATCTAAACACAATGGTAAATTACAGCAGATATTTGTACAATGAGTTTAATTTATCCATAATATGTGTTAATATACAAACACGATGGATAGATCAAGATGTTTCTGATCTTGAAGGTCTCCGTATTCATTATTTAAATATACATATACTAAATAATGATATTTTAAGCTACTTACATTTCAACTAAAATATTATATAAAACAAAATTATTATTTTTAATGTTACAGATGATGGAGAAATTAGTTCTATCTTAAAAGAGCCTGGTTTTGTTGAGAAGCGTAATCGCTGTCTTGGAAAATACTGGAAGCACATTCCTACAACAGTTGTTCTATTAGAAAAGTCACAAATGAGTACTGTAGACAATACAAGTGATTTAAATGTAACAGTTATAAAATGTTGCAATATAGAATGTGATCGCTATTGTACACTAAAACTTGGTGACTTTGGTGTAACTTAAAATTTATAGGCTTCTTATCTGAAATAGCTGTAAATCTATAATATTAACTCTTAGACAGGTCATATGTATAGATTAAAATAAACTGTTCACTCTTTTTTCTTTTCAGAATAAAATTCTTTACTAAATATTTGTTAGTTGAGATTGGTCATAAGTAATTTTTTTTTTGTTAGATTGAAAATGGAATGGTGAACCACCTACCCTATCACTATATACTGGCGAGATAGCAATGAATAATTATGTTTCCAAGGAGACCGCGTGAATCTCCCTGACAGAGTACAAAGGCCTTTGACCCAATTAACAATATCCTCATCCCCTTCTTGTAAAGGGATAAAACAGATAAGAGGAAAGAGAAATTTTTGCTAACAACTACAGTCCACTGTGTAATAGTGGGTACCTACAACTGTGAAGAGGCTAATTCAAAAAAGGTTTATTAGTGAGCAGAGCTAAGATACTTAAAGCTAAAAGAAAATATTTTAGAAATGGATTTTGGAAATGTAAGAGAAGTACCTTAGTACTATTGTGTAAGGACGAAAGCTCCTGCTGTTTTCTAACCAAAAACTGAATAAGATTACTTTCAAATGTGCTATTAGTTGCCATCCTACATAGATTAAGAATTTATTTGACGATGTTCCAGTTGCATTGTCATAGTCTACCATAAAATATTTTACGAAAATTCGGGATCGAACTATTAAAAATGTTGAAATATCTTTGCTTCGAACTATTACAGTAGGACTTGTGTCAAACAAAATATTAATTTCCATTTACTGGCCCGATTTTGATATATACAAAAACACGAAATTAAGTTCGGAATTTCATTTCATGGTGGACCCGCAGAGGTCCCCAGTTTTTTTTCATAAACCTTAAAAATTTATCCGGTTCCGATAGAGTGGCAACTACATTTTCATTACCATATTCCCAAAACTCGACAAAAAATGTGAAGATTTTTTTTTTTAATGTATGATTATGGAATGGTAACCCCGGCTGCGCTAACGGTATACGCTGGCGGGGCACCAGTGATAGATGATAGGTGAGGATGAAAAGGCAGGTCAGTTAGTCCATCGTGATGAATACACTTGGAATTCAGCACGATGGTTTCCACAGGGAGGTCGACCTGTTAGGGTATATTATTAGCAATGGAACTGATAATTCGCATTGCTAACAATCCCTTCTCCCCCAAAATGTGAAGATTAGATCTAATTATGGAAATTTGCGTAGCGGCTGAGTTCCAACCACAATAGATTTCGAAATAAAAAAGTATGAATTGATTGCTTAATTAATTGTACTGTGAGTGGATGTCAAAAAAGTGATTACATTCAACTTTATTTATTTGACTTACACGGCCGTATAACCCTATCAAATTCAGATTCAACCTGTTTGCGTATTTTGTACATAAACTGTGTCAAATATATAATCTAGTAATATAAAGTTTTTTATTGACAAATAATTGGCATATTAAAATTTGTCTATACACTAACCTACTATAAATTAAAAAAAAAAAATAGGAACGTATGAACAATATATAATTTTATAATGACGGGGTCACAAGACTTTTATTTAATTTTTTGGTTTTTTCGTGGATCGCAACATTAAAGTCATCGAGAAATACACAAGAAATAATGTTTTATATTATTAGTGTATTAAATGTATGGTTCACCCTTCGAGTATAATTTAACAATGGATATTATTTTTTTATGTAATCCTCAAATCCCCTTCTCTTTTGGGGCTTTGACAGTTTTGGAAAATGGTCACACTACTTTTCAATATTATCTGTGGTTTCATAAGATTTCATTCAACCAATCTTAAATGAATTCAATTTCAATCTTTCATTTCGATTCGACGCACGCCTGTGGGCGATGCGATCATTGTGATGGCACTTTTTATCACTTTTGTAAATTTAACATTTTTATGATATTTATGTTCTTTGTAAGTTTGCTAGTGTAATTCAATTATAATTTATATTTTTGCGTTTATTTAAAAATGGCTAATCAATCTCAGAAAACTGTTTATAAGCTTGTTCTTACGGGCGGTGAGTATTTTATTATATATTACGTGTCGGTGACTTTTGATTTTGCTTCGTTTTTCAGCGATATATTATTTAATGTTTTAACATTTATTGTTATCTTGTATTTTACTAAAGTATAAGTAATTGTTATTTTATTTGGAACACATAATTCATTATATTGATAAGAAAAATAGGCTAGAAAAAGCAACACGTGGAGACCACTTACATTTTTTTCAATCTAAATCCAGGTCCTTGTGGTGGCAAAACAACTGGACAGTCTCGTCTTAGCACTTTCTTTGAGAATTTGGGATGGAAGGTAAGAAATGCCTTTTCTATGTGTATATTTGTACGTTAAGTTGAGCTTTAATATATTTTAAAATTGTGTTATATTAGAAATATTTATCAAACTAATTCTAAGTTATCTATTTTACTGCAGCTATATTTTTATTATTTAATGCAGTTCAAATAATTATAAATTTTACATTTTTTAAGATTTCATGACTCAGTGAATAATTTTATTTTAAAAACATTGAAATTAAAGGACAAAGTAAATATGCATTCTGATTACTATAAAAAATATCTGTGTTATTACAAATTCAAAAGTGAGTTGCGTTTAGACATTTAATATTTCGATAGATGTAATAATTCATTCATTAGGATGTTTCAGACTCTTTTGTCAAGGTTTTTTCAAATTGGCACCCTATTTAGAAAAGTTTCTATCTATCTATATCTTTATTTATTAAGTACCTCAGTGTCCACAGATAAATCAGTCTATCCTTAGGTATAATTACTTACTGTATAATTGTATGCTATATTGTAATGCACTTATATGTACAATAACAAATATACAACATACAAAAAAACACCATAACTAGATGTTAGAAGTAGACAATTTGTATTTGTGATGACTGTTTATTAATTAACAATCTTATTATATAAATTACAATTATTATATAAATTATTAATAAATTTGCTCCTCTAATAGTTTAATTTAATACTATATTGTCCTTTTTTTTCATTACTCTTTGTGTTAGAAATTTATTAAATAAAATACCTCTATAAAATTGCTATGGTTAGGATCTATGGTTTTCTGTGGTTATGGTTTCTCCATTTGGAGATCCAATAAGACATCGTTCCACATTGTGTTTATTTCCAGGTGTTCCGGGTGCCGGAAACGGCTACCGTGCTCCTCAGGTACGAAGTGAATCTACATTGATTGGGTGCATGTTAAATATTCAGTTTTATTTTACACTAAATTGATTTTAAAACAATAGAAAAAAATCTGTTTCATTGAATCAATACATCAAATATCTATTTTATTGCTATTTATAAGTAGCTATTTTGTATCATATTTTGTCTTCTTTCATGTTAAAAGATGTAAAGTAAGAATTAAAGTTTTGAAGGGTAATAAAAATATTTTAAAATTTGTAGTATTAGTAATGATAAGGTAATGTTTGTTCTATAATTATTGTAGAATAAATAATAATAATATAATTAATTTTTATGAAGAAAAAAACATTTTTTTTTTTTATATCTACTAATTATAAAGTGTTTACAAACACAAATTTTTTATGCTTTAAATTCAATTTGTTGTATAATAAACCTGATATAATTTTAATAAGCACCCGTAAAAAAAAATAGAATTTGAAATTGGAATTTGCTCCATACAGTTATGGGTGATTGTAAGGGGTGCCTCTACATAAACTCATATACTGTATGTTTGAAATTGTAAAGAACTATTAGTAATTAGTCAAATTTTATACAATATTGAAATTATTAGTGTGTGTAAGTACAATACTGCAATTCATGAATTTTCTTTTACAGTGGTGGTGTGAAGTTTGCAGATCTCAGCCCAGATGAAGGTGAGTTTAATTATAATAATATTATAATTAATATAACCATAATAAGGGGTTAATAATGTGGGTTTAATATCAATTTATTATTCTTTTTTTATTTCACTGTTTAAAATTTCACATAGAAAGAAAGAAAGGCAAAGTCTCCAAAATCTCATTAAGGAGGTCCTTGGTGAATTGGGAGATGAGATTTTTAAATATCATCTCATTGTGTATGTCCCCAAATAATAACACAATTGATACAGTAATTTTACCAAGTAGAATAACTATGTATCAAAGAGAAGAAATAACTTTATTTAAATAGACTTGTTTACAAGTTCTTAAATTGTCACTTTTTTTTTATTATCTACTTACCTATCTATTTATCTTTCCTAAGTAAAACAAACTTGAACTTTAGGTTTATAAAGTAAATTAAAAAAAAACTTTTTTTATTGATGTCTTCATAAAATGTGAAATTATTGTCTACCACTATGTTCATATCAAATTTCGTTGGGGTATTGTTAAGGTCTGAAAGGTTATGAATATAGCTGGTACATCCTCTAATCCACGAAATAGAACACTTCAATTCTCTAAAAGAACAATGCATGATCGGTACCCATGATTGGTACTGTATATACTGTGACGTCCATAGTATTGTTTAACAATTGGTAGTAACTACTACTCTCTATTAAATGTGTTGTCTGTTTGTTTATTCAGTTATATAAAAACAATTATTCTTGGGCTTTATTTATTATTAGACGTATACTATAAGTTTAGTTTAAATTTTAGACCTGTAATTCCAATATAATTGAATTACCAGTATTGCATTGTAAGGAAACAATGGGATTATCAATAATTCCACAAAACGATCTTCGTATACAGTTAGTTTCCTAAGTATGATACTGTGAGCAGAGATTGTTAAGCGTTGAATGTTGGTAAACAAAATCTGTCTACGACAAAACCGCGACTCCTTGCAAATTATATGTAACATATAGGTATAATCGTGCTACATACTTTGTTTTGCTTAAAAAATGTATAATTTCTGCACGTAGAAGAAGTTATCACATTGGCTGTAGAATTTTGTATGTTTGGTAATATCGTCATAGTAGTAGAATACTGACGGATCTGACAAACATTAGATATACATATCCGTCAGTATTCTACGACTATGACGATATATTAACATATTCTGGGCGATTTTAATACTTCTTTTCGATTTATATATTGTTAACATATATATTAAACAACCGATATTTCAATCGATTTCAAAAAAGATGGGGTTCTCATTTCGATTGCATTTTGTCAAAGATCGGAGTCGCCATTTTCTTGCAAAGCACAATCTCTTCTCTACCCAAAAAGTGTAATATTTTTGAGTGTATATTTGCCCGGATTATTTACATAGACAGAACACCATCATGGACATCAGATAATACTTATATAGTATGTTCATAGTATTTCTCATGCGTTTCCGCTCTCTAGGAGATGTGGCTCTTTGTTAGAAATTGCATTGAACATATGCCAACGGCAGTTTAGCGCTTGAGTACTTATCTCCATATTATAAAATATACTAAACAAATAAGATCAAGCCTTATTGTGCTAATATTTAGAATCTGTTTTGGTAATCACTCAATTGTAACTGGAGTATTTACAATAAAAAATCTCAGAGTCGGTTTGTGATATGCCTATCGCACAGACGGGGTTATAACCGACCTTCTAAAAGGAAAAGTTTCTCGTTCTTTTTTATGTTTGTTCAGAACTCCGTCATTTATATTCCGATTAGATTTTTTTTTTTATTATTTGAAAGAATAATATTTCGGATTAGTCCTATAGAATTTTTTTATTAATAAATAAAAAATGGTTTATGGTTGTGCATATTACTTTTAAAATAGGAACAGTGAAGTGGGTATTTTCTTGTGGGGCAAAATGTACTGGAGTTTTCCTCTTCAACTAATCTTTATATAGCACGTGGGCACGTGATAATGAATATTGATTTGATTTATACTAACTTAATGTAAATAAAATTTTAATCACATTAGTCGGCAGAAAATAAATAGGTACCGTCTTATCAGAGGTTCATTAGTAATGTTTTTTTTTTTAATAAGTAAATAAAATGTGTTATATTTAATTTCTTGTTTACAGTGAAAAACTAATTTGCAAAGAAATCTATTTATTAATGCATTAGGGAATTTTAAATAAATTTAAAATATAATATATCTAGGCCAATCATGTTGTATTAAATTTTCCGTATTAAATATTATATAAAACAAATCCGTTGCCGTGTCCGTCTGTTTCTCCACTTCTAAACCACGTATTTCTATTCGGGGTTCATTGTCATTTACCTCTTTTTTTACTAAAGATTTGTAATAATTTATATTTATAATGTACGAAAATATTCATATCCATGTGAAGCTGGGCGAATTGTTAATTTAAGTATAAAATTAGTAAATTATCTATTTTTTTTTTATTTTAGTAAAAACCGTTTTAAAAAAATACAGTTAATTTTTGTTATATAAAAATAGACAATGAGTACTGAAATATGTACAACAGTAGGAGTTTATATAGTTGGTTGACCAAAATTAACCATACTTATATACAGTGATGAAAAAAGAGAAAACTTACACTAAAGTGATATACTAAACACATGGATACACACAGAGTTGTTAATAATGAATATATAGTTTAGCAACAAAAATATCTATTGCCCCGATTGTAATTCTTATGCAGGAATTAACTTTATTTATTATTTAGATAAAGCCGTGCCCGTTTGACGTGGGTGACACGTGAGGTAGGTCATCGCTACTATTTGCTTGCCAAGTGGATTCTTAATGAGGGGTGCTCATCTATTCTCGGCAATTAGCTCGTGAGGCTTCCAGAAGACCCTTTTTATTGTTTTATCTACGATCGACTCAAAAGAAGAGTAGTTTGCAAAGTCGATTATATGCATTTTTAACAGAATCAAAATAGAAAGAGGTTCTCAATTCGTTTGTATTTTACTTGTTTGTTACCTCGTAACTCCGTCAGTTGTGAATTGATTTGGAAAATTTTGGTTTTTTTTTTTCTATAAAGACATATTGTTTATTTCTATAAGGACAGATTGTTCCCATACAAATTTTATTAAAATCAGTTCAGTACTTTAGTTTTTAAATCAAAATAACTGATTATATCACAATTGAAATCACCTTTTTTCGTATATTCTTATTACGCAGTATTCATTTCTGATTTTGATCATTATTTTATCATATCTTTATTTACATAATTCGAATAGTTTAATCCTGTGTACCTCTCATTCCGATTTTTTCAACATTATATTATTTTATTTTTTAGAGAAAAATATAATTTTAAATAATTATTTACTTTTTATTGATAAGTTAGAATACTTGTAAAAACTTTATGTTATGGTACTTAAAATCTTATATTAGCCGAAATATAAGGTTATCTCACTGTGGACCCTTTATTGTTCGTTGTAAGTAGGTATATAATTTTTATCTCGTATGTCATAAATAACGGAGCACGACTCTAGGATATGGCCGTTTTTTATTCAAATGACGTTCTTTTTAGATATTAACACATATGGTAGTGTGAAATATATCGATCTCTAATACTTTACGTAGATAAATTTGAACAGTGATATCGCTCATTGCCAAATTGCCAATCATACAGCACCGATGATGTCGTTTTCAACTATCCTACTACAAATTATACACGTTTGTAAGGATGTATGAATGGATATTTGTTACTCTTTCATGCAAATATAATGGAATTGGTTTGAATGAAATTTAATACACGTGTAGGTTATATCCTAATATAACAGAGGATGCGTTATATACTGATTCGTGCAAAACCATGGGATACGGCTAGTTCATTATAAAGTGAGATATATGTATATAATTAAATTGCGCAACACAAAATGAGCATTTGTACTCGGTTACTTTATTTTAGTTCGTTTCTGCTACTGTAACTCGTCACGTGCTAACGTTTATTTTTGTTTGGAAGCAATCCTGGCTCTGAGCTTTTTATTGGCGTCACGTGGGTCAATTTGTTGTTTTAATTTTTTTTTATAGTGTAAAGAGGTAACCTCAATGTCGCTGAGAATAGTTTTTTCTTTTTATTGATTTAGTTCAGGGGTGTGTATTTAATGAAATATCTTTATGAGTCTGTCCCATTGTATCTGCATTACGTCAGGCCATAATGGGTGAGAATGGAATGATAATTCCCACTTGCGCTAATGGTATACGGTGGCGGAGCACCAGCGAGATGATAGGTGAGGATGAAAGCAAGTATCGAACGAATACCACAATAAATAACCACGATGGTTTCCAGTCGACCTGATCGGGTATATTGCCAGTAATGGAGCTGTTGTTAGACCCATTACTAACAATCCCTTTCTCCCACTACCGCCAGGCAGGCAGTCATAAAACCTAATTCCAAAATCTTGATTAATATGAATAAAATTATATTACGCCAACACCATACGTAATTGGGGCAAGGGCAGGAAGATGAAGTATCTGCTCTAAAAGTTTAATAAAACTATTAACAGTCATTCAATTATAACAAACAGTACACTGTATTTTATCATCCAGCATTTTGGAAGCATTTGATATTATTAGGTTTGACTAAGAAACTTAGAAGTACTTCGACGTTCATGATATAAATATGGATATAAATAACCATATCTTGTCGTTATTTTTAGTAAACTAACACTGCTACTGGTACTCGTGTGAAGATGGAGCCCTCTGGTTTCAAGAGTTCATTATACATAAAACCTCTGACACAACTTATTGGACGACGACTTTACGTGTCTTTTACAAGTCGCGTAAAGTTGTCGTTCAGTAAGTTAAAAGACTAAGCAAGCGACAATATGTTTTAAATAATACAAACATAAATTCGATAAATTGGACGTTTTTATCAACCGTTAACTGTCCACTGCTGAACATAGGCCTCTTTTGTCAATAGTTGCCACGCTTGGCAGGCGGCTTGGTAACCGCAGTTAGGCTTTGATGGTATTTTATGTGAAATGCTGTTGCCCCTCATTTAACAATTCCAAAATTCCTTTAGTCGCCTCTTACGTACGACACTGACGGGAAAGGAAGGGGTAGCTATGTCGGGACCACACGGCGATCTGAAAAGAAAAAGCTGACATTTAAATTGGCTTTATCTTTGATGTTACATAAAACCTTTTTTGCATACAATATTATTATCTCTTGTTTAGAAACACGAAAAGAAATTGTTTTCAACGAAACATAAAATACGTTCAAACCATTGTAGCGTATCGTTTAAATACCCCTATACAGTATAATATCTACCTCAACCGTAAATTCCATTAAGGGCAAGGACGCTCAGGTAACTCTCATTGAATAGCAGATTCCCCATCCATCCGTATAATCTACTTATAAAAATAGAATTAACTGTTTGAATAGAGGAGACGGTGCGATGTAGAAGGTTCTTCAGGTTGCGGGGCTTCACTGGGATTGGTATATACATAAACACCCTGTTAACGTCCGGTACGTTAAGTCTTAGTTCGTTCACGGTCACGTTCACGATGCTATAGAAATGTTTTCATGTAGCTATTGCATAAGCTACATCGTTATCCCTAGGAAAGTACATAACATTTATTAATGTTCTGAAATGAATGGGCGGTGTGTTATTATGTATGGTGTAAGTTGTGATTTTAATGGGAAGATAAATCTCACGACTAGTTATTGTTAAAATTGTGGATATTTTTAGTGCGCTAAAATATTTTACGATGTTTACTTTTAATATTTAGAATTGCAGGCTAGAGTTTATCACTGCGATTTTTATATTTGTTACCAACGACTAATTATAATATAAACATGAACTAAATTTCTTCCGTTTTATATAAATTGCGTGATACTGTCACACCGTACAACTTTGACTGTACATTAAATATTTGATTTTTATATTGTTTCTAAACAAAAATAAAGGGATGACAGTTGTCATGAAACCTTCAAGTTAATTTCATGTCATAAATATAAAAAAAATATAGACTACTTTTATTTTCAATCAAAAGACCATCAGCTTTTTTGACTTTCCTTTTATTATATAAAAACGCAACGAATAGTTAGTAGGTACTTATATATTATATTTAACTGATTTATCGATAGTTACCTACATATCTTATCAAAATAGTCAGCCATGGTTTTTTGTGAACCATCATTTCGTCCATATGCCGACATAATGCTATTTCAGATTAATCACAAAATTTTTATATCAATAAAATGCATTGTGTTTAACGACAACAGGCTTGGCTGTGTAATCTGTATAGATTAGCTTAGATTTTATATTATTTTTGTTTTTATATAAAACGCGTGATTCGGCTGATGTTATTGTAATTATTTATTTACGTGCTACGACCGCGACATCGCGTGATAGGTGGACGTCCAATTTTTTTTGACGATTCCTATACGACGTGACAGAAAAGAGATATTTAAATAATCTAATAGATTTATTGATGTATTTTGCTTCATAATAAGCTTTAGTAATGAAACCTACGTTACATTTTCTGTGAAATAATAGAACAAAGAGTTGACCTGAGATTTTCATTAACAACAGTTTCTTTTTGAAATTAAAATGTGAAAACCATGAAATGCTAGCTAAAATTAAATAAACACGTATCTGCCTAGCTAATCATAATCACAATTAGATATTATAATATCAAAAGGTTTTAAACGAGTCACGTTTGTAAACACCTGAGTACTTGAAAATATCTGTATAACTTTAGTGTAGGTAATAATATTTCAATCTTGAGAGTTCTCAATAATTTATCGTATTTATTACGATATAGACAATCATTTGCGAATATTTACGAGTGCATTGATACATTTCTGTCCCCTTTTGTAACTATAGACGGAGAAGGAGAGACGATACTGTTACATAATTCATAATTCAAACTACAATAATAATTTATATTGGAATAAAACTTACCTAATCTTATCAGTCAAATTTTAAGTTTTATATAGAAATATATTACATACTAGCGGCCCGTCCCGGTTTCGCATAGGTGGACATTTTTACATTTTAAAAAGTGGCCATTAAGGCTACACACGCGACGGAAGCTTAAACATGGAGTAACTTCTCCCGTTTTCCCAACATTTCCCTTCACTGCTCTACTCCTATTGATCGTAGCGTAATGAAAAGTATACTATAACCTGTCCAGGAGTATGAAGAATAATTGTACCAAGTTTCGTTAAAATCCGTCGAATAGTTTTTGTTTCTATAACGAACATGCAGACAGACGACAGACACAAAAATTTTACTGATTGCATTTTTGGCATCAGTATCGATCACTAATCACCCCCTGATAGTTATTTTGGAAATATATTTCATGTACAGAATTGATCTCTCTACAGATTTATTATAAGTATAGATATGCTTTACTATTTACAACCCGTGTTAGGGCCAGAGGACAACCTCTGATATCAAGAGTTTCTAGGCCGATTTAGTGACGTGTTGTCTGAAGGCAAATTCAAACGTGAATTTGAAAAACGAGTAATTTTAGCAATTGATAGGTTTTTCATTTTTTTTTTTTTTGCGAAATAAAATTATAATTTATTTAAGAGACAAATTTTACTATATTCCGTCAGAATAAATACTACATAGATTAGAATAGGGGCCATTCGTCACCACAATGATGCAGCAGGCACACTAGTGCAAATATGGCAGATAATCGAATTGTACTTAGTCTCGTCCTGCAATTTACAGATAATAATATGTATATCTTCCGAATAGTCTACGATACATATGACGTCAAGTTCGGTTTACATTTTAAATTCACGTGTAGGCGTTATATTGTTTGCATCTGCTTTGTATATCTTATCGCAATCTCCTAAGAAAACGTTGGTTGTTATGGTACACTAAGTAATTTACGTTGTTAACATTACAAAGAATATAATCGTAATTGTTAGTGTATTGTAATTTTTCACTGACAGTTTACTCGCTAGCTACCATTGAAGTATACGGCCAACCACAAAATACATAAATTTACAAAAAAAAGACATCATTCTTATAAAATACTAGAAGATATTTTTGGAAACAGATATTTTTAAGTTGTGTGATCACATCATAGATATAACATAAGTTTAGATACTGTCATAATATCAGACTTCAGTAATGTCATTTAAAAAATATAAAGAGATTACTATCTCAATTTAAAAGAGCTCAGACAAACCATATTCATTATCTTAAATTCTCGATATCATAGCTTCGACCTTCTTGTATTGTTATGTAGTTACTGTAAACGTCAATAATAAAACAGCATAGGTTTTTCCATGTCATAAAAACTTATTAGGCAAAATATAATAGAAGTATTGTATTGTTACAATTTGTTACGAAATTTAATTTCTTAGCGAATATAGTGACCTCGCACCAAATCTAATTTTAATATTTTAATGACCCACAAATAGATGAATGTAGATCAAATAGTTTCACTAAATCAAGTTGAGGCCCTTATTGAGTTCTTTGTTACGAATTATTAATTTAATTCACATTGATATAGGCTTAATTAACACACTTTAAATTCAGACAGACATATTAACATTCTAATTTCAAATCTGTTTCAAATAACTCGTATTTTTTTTTGTATCTACAATATAATGAGATAAAACATATAATTGACATAACTTTTATTTTGTTTTATCTATTCATTTAAAAAGTTTTATCGCTTAAAACATTCCCTTCATTTCATTGAGAACTCTCCATTTCTAGTCATATAACATTTTCTGAAAATGAACAGGATACTTGTTATATATTTCTGAACTGTGATTAATATTTAGATGTATAATTTTCTAAAATGTAGCGGAATCGTCAAGTGTTACAGGCGACTTGTGCAACTCTGATTGTAAACGTTGCGCTGCTGCTGCCGTCGCTATGGCGTGGGAAGGTAACGGTGGTGAGTCTTCAGTGTTGTCCATAGACAACCAGCTGTCAGTACAAATCGCCACCTACTATAGCGTAAAGCTAATGTTTTCTATCTTGGCATCAGTACGGTCATTCGCTTGTCATCACGTCTCCGTTATCAACACGTAAACATCTTTTGTAACACTTTTAGTGTTACGCTACTGCTACAGTTTTCTATTGTAATATTTATTTCATTCATATTGTCATATTTGATGCCAGATTGGGCAAGATGCGTATTGCAAAGTGATATTATTGTTTTGTTTGCGTAATAGACTATTTGGCTAGCCGTGTAAGAGGTCAAAGAACATACACTTATGTGTATGATAAGGGCGCCCTTTTTCTCGTAATCTCGATTAAACTAATTTAGTAAATATAAAAAAAAGAGTTGCTAAGAAACAGATTTATTGAGGAATTCTTTATTAATTAAAAAAAGAAGTTTCTTAAAATGTTGTGAGAGGATAACGTGATAATGGAATTATCGCGATAAATACCGCGAGAAACAGTTTTATATTGTACTCTGTTTTCTGATAATATGCCAATTTAGCAACTAATGAAGCTCAACAACAAATTGTTTCTGGCATGTATACCTATCACATTCGAAATTTTAATAATTATCTGAATGAACTCGCAATTGGTTGGGTACAACTCAATGACACCCAGCTTTGGTTGGTCTGTACTAGTTCCTTCTTGAAAACATATTATTCACATGGGCATTTGTAGCACGCAAATTGATATGTCAGAAGTCAATTGTGACTGCTGTATGCTGTAGACATTTTCAATAGAATTTGTTTTTATTGGCGATAGGGTAATTTATATTGTTTCACATGGCAAAAAGCCATGCTTTCCTATATTTTTATTTCTCATTTTTTTTCCTCTTTTGGAGATTGCTATATCAAAAAGTGTACGATCTATTTGGTCTTTTCATGGATAGGTCAATCTGTCTCCCTGGTACCTAATATCTTGTATATGGTACATCGTATGTTCCATTTATTACATTGTAATTGGTCAAATCTTATGTCGCATTTCGTTTATGTAAAATCATAATGTAATATAAACAATAATCATAGACTAAATTAACTTTACCTACTGAATTTGTTATCATCTTCATTTTAATTATAGACTACGTTCTAGAATATAAAATGTTGCTTTTTTATATTAATTTTCTATATGCCAATTAACCTATTTCATAAGGTTTCAATTAATAGCTACCTAAGTATTATTTTTAATAATTGACTACAGTTTTTTTTGTCGTATAAAATACACAGATAAAGATAATGGGTTGGGTCGTTCGATGACGAAACAACTATAAAACAATAGTATTTTTCTGTAGATCATTACGCGAACAAGACGTTAAATGATTCTTAGCATTGACGTCACAAGAGGCGTGTTGGGCAATGTCCACACATACACCTGCCAAAAGCCAAAATATATGTAGGTATCATAATATATTTTGAACTTTAACGTAATATCGTATACTCCATATCACCTAATAAAGATATTGCTATGAAAGATTCATTGTACTTTTTAAATTTGTGAAAACAATAAATAGTACTAATGTTATTATAGAATTCGTATTACAATACGAGGTCTGTCCGGAAAGTTCGTATAAAAGTGTTCTGGAATGCGAGAAAATATAAGGTAAGCGCAGGACCCCTTTTTTATATTAACAATTTTCAGTTCTGGTCTGATTAACTGGCTTGTCACGCCATCTGTGAAGGCTTAACGAAACCCCGTAATGGAGCCCGCTTCCGTTGAAGAGCAGCGCGTATTATTTCTTCGGCAAGAATAATTGAAATTTTTGCCGATCTCAGTTTTTTTATGGGGATGATGCTGTGAAGGAAAACCGTCCACAAGTGGCTAAAAAGATTCAGAGAGGGCCGAGAAAGCGTTGATTGTTTTTTTCGATGTTCGGGATTGTCCATCAATTCGTCCCTCCAGGCCAGACAGTTGATGGAAAATTCTACGTCGATGTGCTCAGACGCCTCAAAGCTCGTGTGGCACGAGTTCGTCCAGAATTAAATGATTCTTCACCACGACAATGACGCCCACACCTCTCTTGTTGTCCGTGAGTTTTTGAGTAAAAATTCCATTACGGTGACCGAACACCCCCCCTATTCGCCGGATTTGGCCCCGTGTGACTTCTTCTTGTTCCCAAAAACCAAATTGGTACTTCGGGGGCGGCATTTGGGGGACATAAATGAGATAAAAAAAGCTATGACGGGGCAGCTGAGAAACCTACAACCAGAGGACTTTCAAGGAGCCTTCTCACAGTGGAAACGTCGTTGGCACAAGTGCATTATGTCACAGGGGGAGTACTTTGAAGGGGATAAAATTGATTTACCTGAATAATTGTAAAATAAAATTTTTAAAAAACTTTTATACGTACTTTCCGGACAAACCTCGTATTCCTCCATTACCCTCTTATCTTAATCGATAAAAGTTTGAAGGAAAATTGTAAGTCTACTCCTAAGCCTGAAGTGTTTACGTAAAATGCTTACGATTCGTGTCTATAATGTGTTCTGTTTAATAAATATGTACTTACAAATAAATGATATCAAATCCCCTTATAGGCAGATGTTAAAACTCAATACAACTGTCCAATATATATTTTTTTTATTAACACGAATTGAAAAATGTAACAAACAGATGTTTATTCCTCATTGAATCAAGTATGGACAAAAAAAAATAAATAATAAAAATTTTAATTTACGTGGGTTTTATCTGTTGTGGTTTGTGTACTTGTACTTGAAATGATATTGTTCGACCAAATTTTTACCTTCAAAAAAAAAATACAGTGGAATATATATAGCATGACAAAGATATTATTTTAATTATAGTATTATAGCTGATCATGGCTTTTAAATAAACAGTCTAAATTCGTAAATTCAAAATGTATTGAAGTTGTTTACTACAACTAAGTGAAGCCCCGTGTGCAATATGTTAATGGCAGTCTGTTGTTATCGACGGTAGTTGTTTCTAAAATAATAGCTATGTACTGTAGTCTCATCATGTAACCGCTATAAATATTTCTATAGTCAACGATTTGTCTTGTAATGACGAACAATGCAAATTTGTACAGCGCACGAAAGTTCAATTTGATGTCGGAATAAAACACGCGACGTCCTCATTATCGGGATATAATTTACGATTTGTAATATCATAAAGTTACTTCTGCATGGATGGATTTCTTTCATTTTATTGGTATAAGTTCACGAAATACTGTCAACAATCCCATTATAACTAAATAGCAGGAATTTGTAGTTTTGAATATGGAGTCCTAAATTAAACATTTATAACACTACATTTATGGATGTTTTTATTAATGTCCGTAAGAATTTATAATATTATTTCCTTTTTAAACTATAGACAAAACATGCAAATATATCAATGAATAATATACATGGAGATTAACATACGTTAAACCAGTTTTATCCAAGTTTTGCGATAGCGTATACTATATGATTGTTATGAAACATACAAAATCAATAACTACGCTCTAATATTATTATATGTAATTTACCTAATGATACAAGCACGAGGCCCAAAGGGAATTATTAACAACTACAAATCTTTATAAGTTGCGTATCGCCCTTGATAGGAAAGCAATGGCCTCGACCTTTATGAATTCAATTACATTTAGTATCCAAATTCAATTTAGTATCCAATCTATTTAATATATTAATGTCAGAATTACTATATTGATTAGACTTGTTAAATCAATTCACTATTTATTGAATAAAAATGTTTTGTTTACTTATTTGTTTTTTTGTTCTCGTTAATTTTATAATGTTATTGCTTTTATTTACATTTCAATAGTAAAATTAAAATAAAACCTATTAAGTTCAGCGACACTGTGTGCATGCTCCTAATCGGAATTATTTAGAATTCTTTTGAGGAGAAGGACAATGTTTAGTTATATATCACTTCCGTATTTATCGTCTAGCAGGTAGTTGAGGAATCAAAGTAAGTAATTTCCTTAATTATACAATTAAGCCCAAGGCGTTTTGTCTGGTAACAATGATGAAGAACGGCCTTTGCAGTCACAATCCGAGCCTAAGTCTTACTCTATAAACATTAAAATATAACTTTTCATTGTGATTAAAATACCACAATGTTATATTATATGTTGTATCTATTATATGTGCAATGAATAAATAAGTAAACACTGCAATGACGTCTAACATGCTATTATAATTGGCTACATTATCATCCAAATTCCAATCCATCATCGCTTTGGACACCGGTAGTTGACAGTGACTAGGTAATATTATTGTTATGGCAAAACGTTTACATAGGTTGTTACATTTTAGATTGCGAGTTCAATCTAATAATATCCGCCTGTTTTGATAATAGGTTTGCGTGTCAGAACAACGTTTATTTGTTGATGTTAAATTATACGCGACAGGTTCAAAGGAAACTGACAAGACTGAATAATGAAATATTAATGTCACTCCTGAACTTGCATAAATCTCCGTATTAAACGTTATCGATTTTTACACGATCTAACATTATATGTTTGACTAATTCTTTTCAATTTGGATGATGTAAATAATATTAAAGAATGGGTAAAATAGTGAAACATTTAATACAATTTTTAAATGGTATTACCTTTCACTTCTGCCTCTCTAATTAAAGTGAATCTGTTTGATTCGACCTAGTAAATTAGTTATTACTATTTTTTTTATTTCTTTCACATGCTAAGACTGTTCTTTCGAATATTCTGTACATTGCTCTTGCAGTTTTTTCTTTCAAACTAAAGGTCTTGTGAATTATTTTCATCAATTATTTCGTCTCCTAATAAATTATTTGTTGCACGAAATTGTCCGCTCGTGATATATTTTTTCCGTCGCATTACAAATACTCCGTCAACGTCTGACTTTTTATTATATTGCAATTTATTCTGATTTTATTGCTCGCAAAAAATAATGAAGTAGTCCATTGGCAAGCGTCTGAAAATAAAATCCAACGAGAATCGACAACGTCGCTCGGCCTGGTACCGATGAAAGTACTGAAATACTTTAATTTTAAATAAAGCATCAAGGCAAAACCCTTCATTTACAACACAACACGTGTCACTCATATGTCGGACTGTCTGTTTGTCTGCCTTTAACGTAAAATAATAATAAAAGTATTTAATATATCGTAACAGGATATTTCTGCACGAATTTCTAATCTATAAAGGCAATCTTAAGTATATACAACCATATTATTTGTCATTAGAAATAGGCAATTGAATGAAACCTTTATAAAAAAGAAAATTATTATGTTAAAAGTTTAATATGCAATTTTTTTCGTATTTTGTATGAACAAATAGTAATTATATGAAACTATAAATGCCGCGGAGAAAAAACACTCGTGAAAATAACCTCTATACTTAATCCAAGTATTTGTCCAACCTACTTATACTGTTTACTAACTCTGGCGACATCTACGAGTATTAATAAACTTTAGTTCGATGCTGAAAGTAAAAACTAAGATTTGCTTTTAATCATCTGTTATACTACTAGTTTAGGATTTAAAATACTTTTAGGTATGTATATTTGCTAGTCATTATTTAGTAATTTGTGATTCTGGATCGTTTTCCGCATCCATGGTCGTTGTGTTACGCGTCGCTGATTCTAAGTAGTTTTAGCTTAGATGTTAGAACGTGATTTCATATAATTATTTTACTAGCTTTAAAGACGTGTTTGCCCAAGTGAATTAGAAATAAAACCACCATCCAATGTGTTAATCCTAGATGTATTCCATTTGTTTACCAAATTTCATTTGAATCCATGTGATTAAGTAACGAATATCTAAAACATTTTTCCAAATTTTCACATTTGTAAAAATTGGTAGGTATAATCAGTCGATTTTAAATTCAGTATAAATCCCTATACCAAACCATATGATAATAATGTTACTTTTGTTATAATTGTATAAATAGCCTTAAAATATTTAAAAATCAATAATTTTGTATTAGTTAAACTAAGTTTGTTATGCATATCACACCACGTATGTAAAATGCAAAAAGTTCGATATTGTAAACGTTTTGTTTAAATTATCATCACTTGAGTAAACATTTCTTATATTTTTCCATTCATTAAGTTTTGTTACTGGCTACTGAGCACATTTTCGCTAATTCATTTCCGCCAGAAACCTTCACGACTTCCCTTTGTCATTATACCAGCGTGGCTATATTTGAAAACGTACTTAGATTCATCATTTACTAAGTACGTCTGCGTAGTTATAAATTTAGGATAAGTCTACTAATGGAAAAGTGTTATTTTTATACGCATTAATGTGCCGCTACTGAATATGTAGTAGCTGCAAACTGACTAGTGTCTAGCGCTCGCGTGAATTAGAATGTTAAAATAATAACCTATGTTTTCATTCAGGATATAAATGGTAAACTATGTATTAAAATATACAATATACAGTAAATATATACCTCAGCATTGGGCAATAAATAAAGATGGCTGTGATAATGACTCTTCTAAATTTAGGATAAAACTTTCATCACAAGTAATACCATACCATTGCTCGTCTGTCTCATTCACTTAGTTACTTCTACAGTAATGCCATTATCCTGGGAAATGGGATAGGATCCTAATGATAGTAATTTAGTAGATTTGTGTAAATGGCCATTTGTTGTCATCGTCCTCGACAAAATAATAAAAATTCCCATTTAAGCCGCCTCACTCTGGCACCGCGAATTTTTGGCGGCAATTCAATTTAACTAATACTAGGTTATTGTTCTAGAAAACTCTGCCGTATGTTCCATGTGATTTGACTATCATTAGGTGTGCGTTTTTTTTTTTATTTAAATATCTTGTTATTTTTTGGCAGTTAACTATTATTACAAGTGGGCGAAAAAATGAATGAAGTTGTAAACAGACGTACTTACCAATTTGCTAACGTGACTTCTCAGAGGGCCTGGAGAGGTGGCAAATGATTCTATTACGTATATATTGTAGCGAAGTAAAATGACCATTAATTTCTGTAGTGCTAGAAATTAAACAATCTACCGGCTTTTTTAAAAACAGCATGACGATTTTTTTTTACGTCTAGTGATAGATACTTGCATAGATTTGTAGACGTACTTTCGTATGGTAAAGTAACAGCCTATTTAAGTTGGAAAACAGAAGCACCCCGATTTTATGGCTTAAAAATGATTCTTAAAAAGTAGATATACTTGTAAACAACAAAACCATTACCTACTTAAAAAAAAAAAAAAAAAACTAAATATAAGATACCAGATTGCACACTTCTTAGGCTACAATTGATGTAGTCAGTCAATTGATTCTATACTTACTTCAATAAAGAAATCATTATCGGTGTAGGCACTAAATTATTGCGTAGAATTTGAATGGATATGTACTTGTATGAAGTCGTATGTGCCCCGGCATAGACTAGGCCACCCCTTCCTTTCCCGTGGGCGTCGTAAGAGACCACTATGAAAGAGCCAGGGATAGACAACAGTGTCCCTTATAAAACGTCTCTAAAAGCTTAACTGCGATTGCCGACTCGCCTGCCAAGCGTGGCAACTACTGACAAAACTTATGAGATAGGCTTATGTTCAGCAATGAACAGTTAACGGCTGAAATAATAATAATTATTATTATTATTATTATTTCAGAAGTCACAACTGTTTGTGATTGTTTTAAGTAATGTCTTTAAATGACAATGTAAACTTGTACCAATTGTTTAAACAGTGATAAATCACTCTCACTTGCCGACATTTCAAAGAAAATTAACAAGCGCTCTTGAAATTCTCGATTCAAGAATACAAAACTTTCTCTTAAAGCAAAGTGTTTCTCTTGTTCCAGCTTCAAAATTTCAAGAGAACCTCTTGAAGACTATGATACAGATCGAGAACACATTTTTCGAACTGGGAAGGACATGCCAAAGGAATTGTCTTATAATATGTGATCGCGGGGCGATGGACGCCAGTGCATGTAAGTATTAAAATCAACAGCATTGATTGACTGAATCATCATTATTTTGATATCATTATAACATTGTGAATTCGTGATGCGTCATGTTATATTTTTTCCAGTAATTCTATATGTATAGTACGCTCGAATACGAATGTTTATTGTACTCAATAGAAATAATTTCAATACAAATATGACAAAGTAAAAATTGAAATGTTTCTTTTGCTTTTTTCCATAATATTTTTAAATATTAACTTTGGTATTTTTTTTATGAATATAAAGGTTGATGATGAAGTTATATTGTCATTGAAATACAAGTTACTTACATTTCCATAACAATACCTATAATATTTTGAACGCCAAAGTTTTGAAATAATAATTATCTTAAATATGCTACGATAATATAACAATACGAAACACGATCTCGAGGATGGCAAAATGGTAACATTCCGGTCGTTCAGAAACGTGATAATATTTATTACGAATAAATTACTATCTATCTATCTGTGCATCAAATTTCAGTATAAATGTATGTTACACACATGCATGAAATTTGACTCTATTGAGCATGTAATCTCTGCAATTTATTTGGGCGGAAAAATCAAAACTAGTTCTATGGTAGACTCCCAATTTTCTCACAGTACAATTCCGGAAATTGTAATTATACTAATCCCTATTCGAATTATTATTTTTTTTTTTTGCTATGACGTACAGTTATTTCAGTTTAATTGGAATTTGGCATGTACAAATACCTAATGTAATAAACACTGTTGTCATCTAGACTTAAATAAAATTGAAATATGTGTTATCTATGGATCATGATGACGTTAGCCCCTTTCCATTAGGAAGTGGACCATTCAGCTCGTTTCTAAAAAAATATGTTAAAATAAAATATTTTGTTTTTGATTTCAAACACGAATCTTAAATTTAATTTCCTAGTTTGAGATATTGAGTCATTGGGTAAATGCATTGAGTATATATTTACATAGTATATTTATTTATACAAGTGGTACATATTTATAGTATTATTACTTTGGAACTAACATGTTTCAGCGGAGTATTATATGTAATCTATTTATAGAGACTACAACATCTACATATACTAATCTGAATGATTACACCTCTGTCTTAATAACTTTGATGCCGAGAAGCATCCTGTATTAAGGATCATAATCACAAGGGCCAACGCGTGACTGATACCTTTGGTATTTTTTTTAATGGAATGATAAGCTAGCCGCCAAAATGGTGAGGTACCAATGACGGGTGATATGCGAGGATGAAAGCAGGCCAGTTAGCCCGTCGTAACGAATTTCATAAAAAATAAACCATGTTGGTTTACAGGAGAAACCACGTGGAGATTGACCTGATAGACCTGATGCAACGGGCTTGCAACACCAGAGATATAGTAATGGAAATAACACCATTACTATGCCTGGTGTTGTAAACTCTGCGATAGCAGCTTCATTATGTTCGTAATTCTGTGATAAAAATAGAAATCACAAACAGACAATGTGGTAGCAACTAAACAGTAAAATTATAATGTTCTGTTTACAGTTATATCAAAGGAAAAGTGGGAAGCAATGATGGCGGCAAACAACTGGAACAGTGTGGAACTGCGTGATAACAGATATAACCACATCGTGCATATGGTGTCGGCGGCCAACGGCGCTGAAGACTTCTACTCCACAGAAGTAAGTCACAAATTCATTACTCGTCCTTAGCATTATTCATGTTATGTGTAAGAGATTGCTTTTAGCGATTCTAAATGTACATCTTATATCAACATTCTACGCGTACTTTTATTTTGTGCACAATAAAGGATATTATCTCAAATTCATTATCAAATTTTGATATTACAAAATTGTCTTCCAAATCTATTTATATTTTTTTTTTCTATGGTAAAAAATAGATACTTGATAGCAATATTTTCGTATATATTTGAGTTTGTGGTTTACCCATCTAGTAATCTACGATGTAGACCACATCTTTTTGCCATATTTCCTTAGAATCCGATTACAGTTTAAAATGTGATTGAGGAGTAACAAACATCGATACATATTCACAAAATTGGAATGTATATATATATGAAGAAGTCAGATAACATTTTTTATAAAAAAGTAAACAATACTAAAGATAGAGTAATAAAGAAGTTTATTTACCTCTTATTTTCGATACTGAGTAGGTACGAATGGTAAGATTATGTATTTACGAAACTAATTTTTATTTGTACTGCCTACTGTTGATTTTACCAACAATACGTGTTTTATCTTGTAATGATATATAATGTTATATTATTATTCATTTATTACCGAAGTAAAATTGTTTATTCAATAAAAAAAAGCAGTTTTAAAAGAAGCGTCGAAAGTTTGCTCGAGTCTTTGACAATGTTGACTAATGTTTTACATTTAAACACCGCTGTATTGTTTAATTTATTAATAGATTAAAACTATCACCTCCGATAATAACAAGATACATAACGGTATAAAAAGCGATATAATGTTACAACAACACGACACGTGGATTAAGATAACACGTCAATTATTACGCAACACTAATTAAATATTATTATATCAAATGGTGAATGCGATAAGAAAAAATGCGGTCAAATGCGAGTAGACACTAGCAATTAGCACTACATACTAACAGTTGTTTTTGAATGATTATCACCACTATTTGTATATTTTGTTACCTAACTAAATTTATAATAAGCTAACCTGTTTTTCACTAATACCACACACTAACATTAGATACAAAATTTTACCGATAAAACGAGCAAAAAAGTCTAAAATAATTTAAAAACAAATTGTAACATTCAATAGCACTACAATAGTTTAAATTGTGCTAAAAGAATGGCAATAATAAATAAGAATTATAACAAAAAAAAAAAACATGTCAGTCAATCCGGCATTTCTTAAAGTATAATTATGAATAAGATTCATCCTGATAACAAGCAACCATCAAGTACAAGTACATGAATGTTTGTAACACGAGAGACATAATCATTACTGCGGTACCGACACTTATGTCTTACAACGTGAAGTACTATATGTACGCAAATATTTCATTCCTATATATCATCTTTTAAACCATAATACGGTTTGTAAGCATGTTGCTTTGTGGCGAAATAAGTGAGATTAAAATATGCCTTTGTTACGGTCATTATCTTGTGGTAAAAAGAAACATTTTTAGGTATATGAGATAAGATAGAAGATAACATTAAATTATTTAATAGTACCACGTCATAATTGCACGTAAATAATGTTATAGTGCTTTGAGAATGCCATGGCGAAACCGGCCAAGTATTGTATAAAAATAACATTAATGGAATAGTACAAGGTACAAGTGTTTCTTATAATGAATAGACAATAATAATAATCATCTTTATTTACACTTGTTTACAAATTCTTATAAAAACACATTTTTCTCATCATTTATTCTGGCGTGAGAAATCTAACAATAAAATATCCAAAGAGGATCCAATCCCATAATTTTCCTTTAATCTACACATCATTTCATATGGCATGTTTATTGTAAAATTTGGCTACGTATAGGCTTAGTTTTAAAATACTTTTTTTTTTATTAATTCATAATATAAATGGGCCTATTTATTATTTTCTAATGCCAAGTTTCGACATCCTGTTGTCTGTGAGACGAACGTGTAACGGACGAATGGAGAGACGCCGTTATTTTAGTGTTGCCAATTTTATAGCACGGTACACTTAAGTTATCTCAAAATTACATCGAACAGAATTATTTTTGTATATGTCAGTATAGTAATAATAGTAAATATTAATGTTCGAAACTGAACTACTTTCTAGTCATAGTTCCTAAATTTTTCTTTCGACTAATTATATGAAGAAAATTGTCATGTTGCCAGAATCCAGGCCTCAGCTGTTTGTGTGGATAATGAATGTAAAATGAAGCAATATCAACATGACAAAATGCATTTAAATTCACTTTCAGTATCACATGTAACCTATTTATCTATTGGCTACAATTAACCGCAATACTTGATAATAGTACTAATAATAAAACGGTAGAGAATCAGCAAGCAAAAAAATTATGTTACATTTATGTGATTGTGGTGAATTAATTGGTAGACTGACTATGTATAACTTAATTTTCCATGGGTGTCGTAAGAGGCGTATAAGGGAATTTAATGGTTAAGAGATAGGCAGCAGCGTCCCTCTTAAAACATCACCAAAGCCTAATTACGGTTGCCAATCCACCTGCCAAGAGTGGCAACTACTGGTAAAACCATGTTCTGCAGTGGACAGTTAACGGCTGATATGATGACGATAAATCTAGAAAAATAAATGCAAACAATATTTTATACTCGAAGTATATCTGTTTGTATCGGTTTAGGCGAGATTATTACGTTGTTCTGCCATATAAATATATTTTTTTTTCTAGATAAGTACACTCTAATCACCTAGCAGCATGAAATATACTTTACGACCTATTCTGATATCTACCAAATATACATAAAAAAAATCATAAAAATCGGTTGAACCGATTCGGGAGAGTTCGACCACAAACACCATGACACGGGATTTTTATATATAAAATAAAAAAAAAAGTAATTAAAAACAAAAGTGAGGCGTAATTAAGGAATTGCGAACAAGTTGAATTGAATTTATAGATATTTAATAAAAAAAAATTACAAATTTTCCGAGATACCAAATAGTGGATTATGGACTAAGTAATCTCTAAAACGATCATATATATCTTTAACACGATCTATATGTAATAATCTATAATTATGTTACATAATATCTAATACTATCACTATTATGATAGTGACTTTGTTGTCTATGAGGCTACTAATACAGATTAGCGTGATATAGTGAATTATTATTATTATTTTTATTATATCTCTCGTTAACAGTCCACGGCTAAACATAGGCCTATAAGGGTTTTTTTTTAATGGTTGATAATGCAATGGTAACTCCGCCCGCGCTATCACTATACACTGGCGAGTCACCAGTGAGGATGATAGGTGAGGATGAATTCAGGTTCGTTGGCCCATAGCGACTAATTGGACAATAATTAATCACAATGGTTTCCAGGGGGAACCGCGTGGAGATCGCAATAGAGATTAAAGTCACCATTACTAACATTCCATCTCCCCCCCTATAAACGGGGTTTTTCCAGTAGTTGCTACGTTTGGCAAGCGAATTGGTAACCGCAGATAGACTTTCATGTTTAAGAGGGACACTGCTGCCTATCCCTCGTCCATTAAGTTCCTTTAGTCGCCTCTTACGACACGGGAAAGGATGAGGTGACCTATTCTATGCCGGCACCATATTGCAGGTAGTAAATTATAATATTCTTTATTTTACACAAACATAATGTCAAGAACAATTAATTTTAAACGTAATGCACAAAGGCGAGCTTATCTCTAATAAGAAATTTCTTCTATATTTTATGTAATTTTTACCTAATCGTTATAAACACGTGCATATTTATGCGAACATATACATAAAGACGTGATACATTGAGACTGGGTGTGTTAGTGCATTGCAGATTGCATTACTACTCAGTTGCACATCACGTGCCTTTATTATAGGCAGTTTATTACAATGTAATGAGTACACCGCAATTAGAGTTGTAGTAAACATTGAGTAATATTTGTATACGTGTCTTATATATTACAATAGGTGAACAAAAAAACTGACAACTGACTGACTGAAAACTGGTGGACTGTATATCCATAGGTCGCGGTTCAGATCTGGCTCGAAGGACCAAATGAACAAAAATAAAATCGAATCTTGATCTTGAATGTGTTTATTAATTTTGTCCAAGAACGTCACAATCGAAAGTGTCAGATAAAAAACATTATTTTTCTTTTTTTGTATAAAGGGCCAACAAAGAGTTTATATACCAGTTATTAATTAAACAATAGATATAATTTAATAAGATAGTAAACGCTAAGACTTAACTTCACATAGAGTGAAAAATCTAATTCCCGCCAATACATTTCTCAATTTCGAGTAAATTTAATTATTTATTACAAAATATTAAAGGTATGATATATCAAGGGATCTGAGAAGTTAGAAAATAAACTAAAATTTAAAAATAATCGACAATAAAATGTATTTAATAAATTTGGCTATAAGATTACTTTCTTGAAATATTGATGTCAAATAAATAAAGGTAAAAATAGAATACAAAATTTTTATAAGAATATTCCAAGAGCAAATAAATAGAGAATTCTAATGAATTACAAAAAAACTAATCAGTAGAAAATTTCTGTGATGTTAATAAAATCACTTCAAACATTAGGTACGGATGTTAAGGAAATACAATCTCATAAAAACAAATACTTAGCTAGTGATATTCCTAATAAAACATCTATACCATAGATATACTGTAACATCCATGGTATAGTTAAGTTTTATCAAGTTATAATAATGTGATGTCTTTGGTGTGCCTCGTATCAGTTTCATTTCATTCTTATACGTTTGTTTACCATTCCCAATAAAATAAAATTATGTAAAACTTATATAAATGAAAACATTAACTATGTTTAAATTATTATCTTTAAAAAAAATTCCACTTTATTTCTAAATCATGACAAATATACAAATGGAATTAATTAATGACGTATATATTTTGTTATCTTTGTTGAATGTAAAGAAAGGATTACTCGAATTTGATTGACTGCTAATTATATTTCATATACCTAAAGTACTCATATTATCCTACATGTGCTAATATAAACATACATTTATATTAGGTATTTATATACCATACATTTATATTCCATATTTACGTTGAAACGCTATCGTATGGAAAATTTTTACAAATCACCTTACAATTGCTGTTTATTATTCTATTTTTATTTTATATACAAATACGAAAATAATTATATGTAATATGTTAAATATATTTGTTCAATTTTTATTATGTATATCGAGGAAAATGGAAATTTACTAAGAAAAGGCCTTCAAGTATTATATGGTACAGGTACAAACAACGGGCTTATCGAAGTTATTGCTAATGCAACCTATACAAGGTTACTCTACATATAGACAACTGATCTATTCTTTTTAATTCAACACGACCGCTGTATATCACTTTATTTTTATAATATCAGAATAAACAAGTTACTTGATCATGAAGGGCTTCATCAAACAAATTTCTCATCATTTTATAGGACCACGCATGCCGTTCCGAGGGCGTCGAACTAGCTCGGGAGTTGGACTACAACGCGGCGGCTGCATGGATCGGCCACCCTTACTTTGATGTCATCGACAACTCGACGGATTTCGATAAAAAGATGAATCGCCTAATCGCCTGCGTCTGCCAGAAGATCGGTATCGACACCGGCGACCGTCTCAACGTGAACTCCAAGAAACGCAAATTCCTCGTCAAATCTCCCATTCCCGCGGACACTGAGTTCCCGCCCTTTCAAGACTTCGACGTCGTACACAACTACTTGCAGAGCGATATGCGTAAAGCCCAGGTCAGACTTCGCAAACGCGGTCAGAAGGGCCACTGGTCGTACATTCATACATTAAGGAAGTTCCACCCGACTAACGGCCAGTCCGTTGAAGTACGGACGCAGCTGACCCACCGCGACTACCTGAATATGCTGCCGCAGCGTGACGACGCCCACTTCACGATATTCAAGAAACGTCGCTGCTTCATCTACAACAACCAGTACTACCAGTTGGACATATATAGGCAGCCCACACATCCCAGGTAATTTGTTTGGAAACATATATATCTATATTATAATCATAAGAAGCCTCCTAGATGAATGGCAAACGAATGTATCTTTCTCTATAAATTTGTTTACTATCCTAGGAACGGGGAAGAACAAGATGCCGAACATGCTATCTCGTTCTATTTCAGGCACCCTATAGCGGTAAAAGTTAGGAAGCAATCCCTTAGGAAGTCAGCAGAATAGCTTACCACTTCTTACATCTGTCTAGATGTAGGTGACATTTCTTATTACATATAGAAATGTTTTTAAGAGATATGAAACATTGTAATAAAGTGGATTTTAACGTAAAATATTCTTAAATTATATTGATTTATTTTTATATAGCAATACTTATTGTATTGCTCGATTAAATTCAGTTGTAGTTAAATAGACATTTATTCAGTGTAATTCAAACGAATACATAATTATTTTTCAGGTGCCGAGGTTTAGTATTGCTCGAAACATATAGCGCTACGTACGATCAAGATACCTTGATACAGTCTTTGCCAAAATTCCTAACCATTGAAAAAGAAGTAACTGGCGATCCAGCATACTCTATGTACAATTTATCCTTGAAAGAAGATTGGAAGACATCAAAAAAGTATTACGCGGGCATTGACAGTAACGGTAAGCGTTTCTTTGCGTATAATACGCTTGGTTATTATAAAAATAGTATTGTTGTCGTTTACTTGATAAATATAGTCTGACCACATAGGTTGAAGGTGTACCATGAAATGTGATTCCGAAGTTTCATACCGAAATGATATGTCGAAATACGTTCATTCATATTGAAGAAGAGTGACGCATCGTGTGTCATATATCTTAGAAATTTCGGATAAACATTCATGGTAAATTGGCTGTACCGCACCTGGGGTGGCAAGTAGGCGAAGCATGGGAGGTTTGCGTGGGGAGAAAAAACGGGACAGATGTTACGATATTATATTATCCGATTATTTTATATTAATATAATGTAAAACAATATTTATATACATTAAATTTATTACAATGTATGTAATATCAGTGAGATTTACGTGATATTTTTTATTAAAAATAATGAAGAAAAAGTATGTGGAGTAAAATACTAAATTTATAATTAAATTCTTCTAATAAAAACGTAGACATGATGCGATAAAGTGTGACCTATACTGTCTTTGGATATATTATCTCATGTACATACGATATATACAGTCCCCACCCACGCTCGTGTATCGCCCTCAATTGCCTATGGTACGATATAGCTCTGGCGGTCAGACTATTAAAATTTGCAAATAAATTATTTCAAATTCAGATACCTCTCCGCATGTAAACTTTTATAAGGATGTTGACACGGGCGTAATTGTGTATGATAGTCTAGTTTAGGCAACCTAGTTTATGTAGTTTTTCCTTTTATAAATGTGTCCTGCTCATTTATGTATGTTTAGATTTGATGTTTTATCACTCTTATGTGTATGTCACGCACTGTAGTCTCTGTCTGCTAGTGGTAGAGTTTATCGGGAATTCGTGAAATATTAAAGTAAACATAATTTTCCAGATTCGAAACCTGTTAAGCTTGGACATAAGTATTCTGAATTGCTTTCTACCGATGATTCCACTAACACGGACTAACACTGTTCAAGATTTATAAAATTATTTTTAATGAACAATTCCCATTTAGTAATTAATTGCGACTAACAACACAATTACGTCAGTGTCGTTTGAAATATAGTGTGTGGGGTTAAATATGTTTTTTTGGTTTATCAGGGCGTTCTAAGTGGTCAATGAATGGGCATAGTGATAGTAAACCTGATCACCGCTGTAAGACAAATGGAGTTCCCGATGAGAAAACAAATGGACACTCTGAAAAAGTCAACGGCTACGCGAGTAAAACTGGGGATTATCCTAATGTCAACGGTCACTGTGGCAGGAACGGCCATGGGCCTGTTAACGGTGCTACCATCCCCAACGGCAAGGCACATAAGGCGGAGCTGCAAAACTTCGAGAGTAACCACAGAATAGATCTCGGATCACCAAAGATTCCTAAGGTTGCTGTTAATATATAAAGGAGTACTAATTTATACTGCTTAGATTAAATATTCCATTTGTAATACCAATATTCACTTTTCAATGTTCACTTAACGTTTTTAAATTAATTTTTTGTGAAATGAACTATACCATAGGACTGTCTTTGCAGATTAATAATTATGTATATTGTGTCATTATTCATACCATACTATGTGAAATCCAAATGAAATCTATTTTTATAATAATTGTGACATAATCTTACTGTACTTATATATTAAAATTATAACTGGACTATGTCTGTACATTCAAGCAAAATTTTATATGAGGCATCTCCGACCGACGAATCTAATTCGGCTGGGCAGCGTTCAGAGAACTACACCACATCTTTTCATCCAAAATACCCTGAGATTTTGAAAAATAGTTCTTTAACAAATGATTGTTGCCAGTGATGATCTACGGAACCGAAACATAGTCCTACATGGTTGGCCGTATGGAGAAGCTTCAAGTTGCTTAGCGAGCTATCGAAAAGGGCTATGCTCAGAGTTTCTTTGTGTGATAAAATCCAAAATTATATCTGCAGAGTAACCGACATAGCCCGAAGTGGTAATTGACTGCTCGCATAGCAATAACCGACAACCGATGCAAAAGGTTCTTAAGTGGCGACTCCGCACAGGCAAACGCAGTGTAGGAAGCACCCTCCTCCTGCACTAGATGGTTTGATGACCTCTAATGCATTGCAGGAAGTCGGTGAATGCAGGTGGCTGAGGATCGTATTTTGCTGCAGTTCATAGAGAGAGGCCTATGTTCAGCAGTGGACAGTGATGATCATGAATATTAGGGGTAATAAGAGCAATGAAAGCCAATATAATAAATCACGCGTACCAAGACGCCAAGCAAAAAGTTAGTATTAAATATGAAAGAATATACTTAATTTAATGTCACTTAATTTTTATTGAACTAACACAAATGTATTAAATAGTTAAATATTGTTTGTGCCTTTACACAGTAATGTATATTTGAATAAATTATATATTTAGTACATGTAATACTTTTTTCACCAAGGGTAAGTACTTAATGAATTGGAATACTTAATTTACATTTATACAGTATATTCTGTATTGTTTTATATCATAAATAAAAAATGATGCACTTTGTATAATGAAATAGGTTGTATTGATGTTATTATTTTTACTTCCAATCTCTGTTATAAATTAGATAATTAGTGTTTTAATCGTGACTACATTGTTTCCACTAACAATACATACATCACATGTAAGATAGAAATTATACGGCTGTTAAACTTTTAAAATTGTAGTGGAGTTGTAAAAGTTTAAAATATCTTGATGTCGTGTCACGTGTCGCCGTAGTAGTTTAATTTAGGGTCCAATTGTAAACAAGTACACATACTTGAACAATGGTCACCCTATTTATTTACAGTACATTTTAGTGGCCTTTTAGTGTTGACTTTTGTGTGCTAAGAAATATATTTTTGATTAAAATATAGAATTCAATGTGCACATTAATGTTGCAATAATTTGTTGTATTAAAATAAAATTCTACTGTAATGTACCCAGCAAAGTATTCAAACCACCGCTAGTGTAATGACACTTGAAGAGAGCTAACATCTATAGATATTTGCTTTTGGCAAAAGTCCATGGTGGCATCATGGCTGTGTACAAATAACAATAAGAGCTATATATCTATATCAACTAAGCATATAGAGTAACACGGAAAATGCCAAATTACTATTTTTAAGGCTAATTGCACCGAAAAGACAAAAGAGAGATATTTTTGGAAATAAGTTACATAAAACCTTTTATGTTTCATTGGACATCTGAAAATACAGATGCTGTTTATCAACTACGTGATATTTATTTGTTTCTTTTAGATTATAACATGAAATATTTGAACTAATAAGCCAGTGCTTACTGATAATGTATGTAAATTTCGAAATACATGTCTCTCAGCATTGTTTCTAATAAAGAAAAATGCATCTACAGAAATAACTTGTTTCATTTATACCAATAATAATAATAATTGTTTATTTAAAACAAAAACATTGATTTAAATATAGAAAAACGATGATACCCGCAGAAGTATAAAACTGATGGAGTGACGACCTGAAAATCATTGCAGGGAGTCAGTGGATGCGGGTAGCTCAGGACCGTTCTCTATGAGTCTATGGGGGAAGCTTATGTCCAGAAGTGGACAAATAATGACTGAAATGATGATAACAAAACTGTGCCGCGAATATCAGCGCCCTCCTCCTCATTGGAAGATTCCAAAGCAAATCAATACGTATATGTTACATCAATGAAGACAAATTTTTTTCTAGCAACTACAATAATTTAAAAAATTTAAATACCTATATATACGGTTATCTTGCTTGATAAATGCTAAATATACTTATATAAATATGCCTTGCCAATATGCAAGGTATATTTTTTACATAATTGGGAATGGCAAACAAACTGACCACCTGATGGAAAGTGGTAAGGCAATGTATAAGTAATCATGACCAATACTAAACTGACATCATAGAATACACTGACGACTCTCATACGATGTCATGAGAGGTATTATGATTCAGATAATAAAGTTGTTACCCAAACCTAGTATTTCTCTGCGTTATCTCACTCTTCAAACTGAAATACACCTATGTATAAGCATGATACAGATGTATTTCACACATGAGACAAAATTGTGTGCGATTAATTTTTTTTTTATTTGATCTGAAAGAGCCTATAAATAGCATTTAGGTACTTAACTTTTACATGATCTAAAGGGTTACAATCGATGAAAGATTATGAAATCAGATATTAGAATTAAATTAATCGATGAAAGTGGAGAAAGCGAGAGGCATGTTTGAATCGGAGTATTTGGCGTGCTATCGTTTCCTCTTACACTAATAAAACACAGGGGTAATATGTGTATGTATGCATGTAGAATAATCTAAAATACAGTTAAGAATAGGATATTTAAATTAGATAATTTCACGAAATTATCAAATAAAAATATTGGTTATATCTCGGGTACATTAATGTTTTTAAGGTTATTTTACTACCTTCTTTTAATAAATATTTAGTCTCGTATAGCGTTGTCATTCATTGATTTTCGCTCCCATCTAAATTCCTAATATAAACTAAATATTATGAAACATATAGCCATGGACAAATAATTAATAGGGACCTGTTGTTCACTCCAAACGAGAATAAAATCGATTCTTTAGTGATTCTATAGCGGCCTTTTTAGTCAGCAGCGTCACTAGAAACAGCCTACCGAGTCTCTCCTTAAAATCAGTACTGTAAGTGAAGAATGAAATGCAGGTGCAAGTAGACCAGCTATTATTCAATTATCTACTTTAACTTTTATAATAAAGTTAGCAAATTCTCAAAAAGGACATTCTTAATTTGCTTGCATTTTTGTGTCTGAACCAACTTGGAATATATAGTGGTTTTCCATGTTAGTCCCATATGAATTTTGTTACAATTGAAGTTGCTGCTTTTTTTTTTAGAGAAGTCTCAAATGAAGATTATTCTTTTTTATAAGGTTTTTTTACATTGTTTTTTTAATAAATTATTTATTATAAATATGAAACATCGTGGGTGAAAATTTGTGTAAAATGAAGTTGTTATATGTTTATTTTTTATTTGAATCTTTAGCTTTCTGTTCCTTATACATTTTCATAACTTTCTTGCCCGGCACCAAAGTCTGACTCAAGCCTGGTCGTTTTAATTTCTTTTTTTCTGGTGTCCCATCCCAAACTGCATCATCAGTGGGTAATACAGAGTCCATAGTTATCTGGGGTGGTGGAGCAGCTGTCATAGTCCCTGCACCCTCGCATACAACTGATTTTAATTTCTGTAAATGTAAAAATTAAAGTCAGTAAATATTAAATTTATTTAATAAATATAATTTAAAATCTGACAAATACATATAAACTTATGGCCTTATTCATAAAAACATTGATGCTCTCATAAACCTATTTTAGCTATGGAAGTGTTTTGTCCCTTTTCTTTCACACTAGTTTTTCAATTTGAAAGAATGATAAAACACTGTAATAGTTAAAATAAGTTTATAGAATGTTTTAGATTTTATGAACAATGAGGAACAGCTATACTTTAAATATTTCTTGAAATATTGTGACAGAGTCAGAAAATATTCCAATTTGAAGATTTATCACACTGTACCTGTTTCTCAGTTTCTAATTCTTCGGCAGACTTCTGAATATCAGAATCATGTGCATATTTACAGTGGTGACCGAATCGACACCTCCCTTTTCTGTAGTTCCAGCAAATTTTCTTCCCGTTGATCATCTGTACATTGTCTTTACCTGGAACCTTACAGTCATTTTCTATGTACTTGACGATAATATGTTAAATTTGATACCTATTTGTTTACATTTACATATATCATATTAAATACCTAAATTGGAAAAATTTAATTAATTAAATAACTCACTGACTAATATTTGTATAGTCTACTGCAAACATGCACATATTAACTTTGAATAGAGTGCAATAAACATTAATATATTTAGTATGAAAAATCACAATGTAATTATAAGAGATAATATAATTCATAAGTTTATACTAATTTAATATCAACTCAACTTTACCATTTTAACGTGTTTCTCTAAAATAGCAGCCTTGGCTAATTCAGCTTCAACAAATGGATTGGAAAATACTGAGGTTTGTAAACTGCTTTCTCCAAGAGCTGGTTTAGGTAATTTGGGCTTTGTACTTTCCTGACATCTGCAAAAATATATACATTATTCAGATTGTTTATAGCGTTGAAATTCGTAAATGAATTCTGTTTTAATACTTGCTTGTCTTTAGTTTCTTGTGCATCTTCTGAATCACTGGAAGACGACGTGCCGTAATCCAATAATGCATTCATTTTGTATTAATTCCAATTTCCATAACACGATAAATCATACAAATATCGAGTCAGGTAAAACTAAAATCAATAACTAAAAATAATGGTACCGTTTCAATTTGTTGACATTAAAAAAATTATAGATAGATATTTAATAGGGCATAGGTAAGTACCAGAGTCAAAGAGTATATAATCAAGGGATAAGAGTATGCACTTCATATAAGCTACGTAAAACGAATTGGTCAGGATTATCTGACCAATCTACACAAAATCCTGCTTTTTCTCGTTATATTGGCCAGCCTGCTGTTTAAAATGGAAACGAATAGGTTATAATTATACTATAGTTTGATAGTAGAAACGCGAATTATGTGACAAAAGATATATATAAATTTTATGTCAAATTGCATGTTCCGATGAACTTTTTTTTAGTATAATATAATAAAATAAAACGAAATGTTCTCCTTCTTAAATATATTTATCACTTTATAAAATATTACCTTGAGATCTCAATTTCGTAATATTATTGATGGTAAACAAGTTCATAACACTTCCCGTAATATCAGGACAATTTCTAGAGTAGACCTCGTAATAGAGTCAATATTAAATATATATAATTGTAATTCCCATTTAAAATAAAAAGAAATATGTAATAGAAAGCTAAAACTGCTCCACAAATAATTTAAAATTACATCCATTTCCATCACAATTGACAGTATTTTTATTAGTTAAGTTGGCACTATTGTGATGTCATCATTTAACTAAACATTGGCATAATGTTTTCTGACCAAATCCATTCATAAAAGCTAGTAAGTAAGTTACGTAAAATTGGTAAATACAATGAAAAGTAGAGGCATCCTATGCATTCTAGTTGTGAATTTGATTTTTACCCAAATGTTAAATATTTTATATTCAATTCGATACAATTTTCAAGATTATTACCAAATCGGAAACTTGTGCCGTTTAACACTACGTTAAGCTATGCATAAAAAGAAAATAACGAAAAAAAAACCACTCCATTTCTTCTACTCTAATATTATTCCAAAAAATGCGGAAAAGTACCCAGTCTGGTAATGCTGGAGCATGGAGGATGTGATGAATTTGGATATCTATGTAAACTCTACTAAGCATAAATACAAAGTTCTTAGCATAAATATGCTTCTGTTACAAATTACTATTTAAATACAAATACAAATTACTAATCGTATTGACATAGATAAATAATAGTATTTGTAATTAAAATTTTTTGTAAGTTCTTATCACACAGCAAGTAATAGTGGTTTATATTTTTAGTGGTATCGATTACCATTGTTTTTTGTCGCTTGTAGGACAAAAACGAAGTTACTCTATTTTCTTTGTAATTATTTACCATTTTTTTACCATTTATTTAAAATTAAGGTATACTGTTAAAAGATTTTTGATTGCTACATTAGTAATTCAATATTTAAAAAAATACATTTAAAATCAATAAAACATATGATCGAAACCAAGGCTAACAGGAAAACACCAATTACACGAATTACTACTATTTGAATATGAATGCGTTAACGAGTTTGTAACGGAGAACACTAGTTATTTCTTTCATGCGTCGTCTCTTTAATCAAAATGTGAGATACCCAAATCGATCTATTATTTTATGCAGATTTAATGTAGGTATTTTCATTTTTATTATGAAACTTAGAAATGCAAACAAGCTGAAGACTCACCTGATGGAAAATTGTAACCGCCGCATGTATACATAAACAATAACGTGGACATAACAAAGTATACTATTTCGCCTATGATATCCCCATGCGTTGTATTTAAGGGTAACAAAGCTTTTATACTTTAGTCCATCAAAATATGGTAGTTGTTTATTAATATTCAAAAACATTTGACCAAACTTTTCAAATTTTTTTTTTTATTAATTATTTAAAAAATACTCATTTGACAAACGTTAAAGTGCCTGTTCTAAACTATGTGATATGTAACATGGCAGCAGTTTGAGAAGCTCATGAATGTTATTTGGTTTCATCACGATGGGCCTCACTAGTCTATCCCTCACCTAAAAACAAGGAATTACATAGAAGAATGATAAAATAAAAACTATAAATCATATGTTAGGCAATCATATTTCTTCTTATGCAAATATATATAGCAAAAAGAGGACAAAAGATACATCATCAGTTGCTATTATTTTTAAATCATAGCGGGCTAGTGTGTAGAAAATTACAATTTTATTACAATTTTATCACTACTTCTGTGTAATTCCTTGTTCTTAATCCCTCACTAGTGATCTGTCAGCGTATACAATTAGAGTTTTTTTTTCCCTTTCTTATGGCACGGCACAAAGTGCATCCGCCAAAAACAAAGTTTAGAAAATAGCATTTTAGGAAAGGAGTTACAATTACGAGTTATACATACGATTAAAGCAAGCAGGGTTACCATTCATTCTATTATTATCCATTAAAAAAACTATTTAGTAGCATTTGAAAATTGCTATCTGTTCACCCTATAATTTCTTTTTTTTTCTTCTATGTGTAAAAGAGATAGCATGTCGGTCTAGTTCTCGGTGACGGCGGCATCAATTTCTGAATTAATTACCATTTGTCGCAAAAACTGCGCGTCCTTTATCTTTTCTAGACCAAAATCTTTCATACTAGTGCTGGTTGTATTAAATAGTCATCTAAATGGCTTCAGATGATGAAGTAGACGGTTCTTTTGCAGGTAAATGATTAATTTGGCTAGTATGTCATAGGTAAAGCCGCGAATAGCGGTATCATGTGTTTACTTGCGGTGTAAGCAATTAGAAGATTAGAAAATTTCGGCTTTCAAAATCTAAAATATTTGCTAAATCGTCATAAACAAGTCAAAATACTACCAGGTATCAGGTTTATCAGTGTTTCAATGACGTATTTGTTGTTTTGTGGTTGTAAATATTTTTAAGTGGCAGTTTGTGACAGAAAAGAACATGCAATATCCCCTCATTACTACTTAACAAAATGGACGCCACCAAACAAAGGGATTAGTGACCTTATCGTGAGGTGTACATGTGTCGCGCTAAAAGGTGTCCCCTCGTGGTTTCCTGGTTCATGGTCAAGTGTAAAGCGTGAGTGTAGTAGTTTGACCAGTTTATTGTGAACTTGCAGGCGACGAGGACGTGGAGGAAGGCGAGGGTCAGAATGAGAACTCTGGAGAAAGTGATGAAGCTCCACCCAAGGTAAGTCAAAACATATTCTAAATTTATCTTTTATACATAATAATTTTATCTTCCTTCTAAAGTGATTTCACTATTCTTTTAATTTTTGGTGTTTATATAATATTCTTCACTGGTCTCTTATTCTTGGTCCAGAGTAAATTAAGAGAGTTAGTTCTAACAGAAATCTGTTAAGTCTACAGTGTGTGCTAATTTCTTAAGATAAACAATTTTCATTATTTTTGAATGATTATTTATAAATTGCTTTAATACCTAATTAACATATTCATTACATTCTGTTTTTGAAATATTAAAATCATTTATTACTATTAAAATTTAAATTATTATTTAATAAAATTCTTATAGATGCATATTAACACTTTTTAAATAATAATTCATATATTATGTATTTATTATTTTTGAGGGGAGCTTACAGCTGTAATAACTTAATTAATATCAATACATTTAATATAATCGTAACAGGTCACTGTCTGTAAATGGTAGATATATAAGAAAAACTATTAAAGGGGACTTTATAAATGCAATAGATTGTCTGTATGTTTGTGCACTCTAATCTCAGAAACGGCTTAACATAGTTTTCTCTAATGTGTTGCGATTTACTGCACTTAACATTTATAGTTTGTTTTATTTTAATCGGTCTATAAATAAAAATGTTATATCAATCTAAAGAATTACATTTAAAATGCTATAAAATAATCCATCAGTTGAATTGGCTGAAACTTTATGAAGGTATTAGTTATGTAATGATCATATAAGTATATAATACAATATAAGATAGGATTCATGAGGGGTTCCAATGGGAATGATATACAGGAACTATATAGAAGTGGGGTGACACTGCCAGAAAAGGCTATTATTAAATATATATGACAACAATTAGCTAATTAAAAGCTACTACACATAGTTAATGGAAATTGGACTAATGACAGTCTAGATAATAAGTGTGCAAACACAAGCTAAACACATTTAAAATCACTGAATGAATAATTTATGATAGTTTTTTTTTTATATAACTGTTGCTACTATTAAATATATGATATGGTGAAATGTGGCAGTGAATTTACAGGGTACATAGGAATAACACTTTAGTCTTCAGGAATGTCAACATTTGGGGGGTATCATGTGCGAAACAGTATACTCTCTTATGTACATGGTACTCATGTCTATAGGCAATGGTTACCTCTTTCCATTAGATGGGCTGTCAGCTTGTTTGCTATTCTAAGTTGCATAAAAAAAATATCCATTGCAATTATCCTTACTACATACATAATTGAAAATAGTGAAAGCTCATGTTATGGAGCAATTGCTTCTGTACTGGGTGCGACACAGTAGAATATTAAAAAGTCTAAAGGGATGCAAGTTAGTATAAGTTATAGATTATATATTGAAATTGATTTTGATATGAATAATAAAATGTATGAATGATAAAATCAACATAGGCAGTAATTCACAATACAGGACCATTACAGAAATCTATAATTATGTTTTAGTTTTCATTATTGATAGTACATAGGAGATGAATGGGAAGAGTGATTATTATGGGATATGAAATGTTAATTTCCTATAACAAATTATGTTTTTGTATTAAAAAATATGTACTATTGTATATGTAATTGACAATTGTTTTTGTATTCTTAAAACAGATTTTATTATTTATGTTCAATCTTCTGATGATCTAGGCAGTATATATTTGGGTCCAAACATAAGGCAAATCAGAGAGTCATCATCATCATCATCATCATCATCATCATATCAGCTGTCTACTGTCTACTGCTGAACATAGGCCTCTCCTAAGAGGGGGTTTTGCTAGTAATTGTCATGCTTGGCATGCAGATTGGCAAGTGCATTTAGACTTTGGTGTTGTTCTAAGAGGAACCCTGCTGCCCATACCTCAACCATTCAGTTCCCTTATTCATCTGTTACAAAGTCCATGAAAAAGGTAGAGGTGGTCTATTCTATGTCGGGACCACACAGTACAACACACATTTGTTTTTATGTTATATTTAATTTTAGATTTTTAACTAGGAAGTTGGAAAATGTATATTTATTTTAATAAATAATTTTTAGGAGGATGAGGATTATTCTCCAGAAGATGGCAGAAAGAAAAAGAAAGGAAAGAAAAGGAAGGCCAGAGGAGAAGATAAAAAAGGCAGAAAGAAAAAGAAGAAAAGAAAAAATGAGAGTGAAGAAGTTAGTATAATATAATGCTTTTAAGTACAGTGACATTAGTTGGAGGTCCGTTAATCAGATTTTATGTAATCTCAGTTTAGAACTATGAACATTATCCCTCAATAGATAGAGATATTTGTGTGTTTCTAACATTGAACTAATTTAGTTTAACTATTAGGTTTATAATTACCCATTTATAAGCATGTAGATATAGCTCTACATGTTCTCACATGTTCATAAGAACATATGGGTAAAACTAGAAAAAAAATTAATACAAGTACATGAAATTTTGAATAGATTTTTTTTGTTTAATTTCTTAGGTGCAATTTAATAAATACTTGCAAAAATTAATAGGTATTGCTTCTTTCACAATATCTTATATATTTTTTTTTTCTTTTGTTAAGGATGATGAGTTTGGCCTTGAGGTTGAGGCTGAGGGTGACAGTGATTATGCCCTCAGTGCAATGTCCTCAGGGAAAAAGTCTCGGAAAGGACGAGGTAGTAAGCACAGCACACCTGTAACTCCAGCTGCCTCTGATACAGGATCTGGTAAGTGCAAAACAATCACACACACTAATAATAAGTGCCATATATTTCAACTGCCTGGCCCTCAAGTTAGGATAACTTGTGTTATGAGTAATCAAATAACACTTTGCTAATTATAAATTAATATTTAGGAATACAAACATTTTTTGCAATTTTAAACCTTAAATCATCATAACAAAGCAGTTACTAATTGTAGATACATATATTAAAATAATATGTATTTTTATGATTTGTATGTTGTAACTTATATATGTTTTATACACATTTATTTATCATATTAAGATGTTAAATAATTAGATATAACAAATAAAAAGAACTTATTGTTTAGCTTAGAAAACAACATGTCATAATTGTGTTTCCCAAGGTTGGTGTACGTCAGTATTCTATAATTTTGTTTCTATAGAAAATTAGGTTTGAGATGTCCAATTTAAATAAAATTGCTGTACATTTTATGGGTTCATCACTATTTTTTTTTTGATGGAGTAAAAATGGTATGGTAACAGTAACTCTGCCTGCTTTAATGGGATACGCTGGCGGAGCACCAGTGAAGGGTGATAGATGAGAATGAAAACAGGCCAGTTAGTCCATCATGATAAATTCATCAGGAATTAACCATGATAGTTTCCAGGGAGAACCGCGAGGATGTCGACCTGGTTGGGTATATTGCTAGCAATGGGATTCTCAGTCTCCATTACTAACAATCCCTTTCCCCCCAAGGTTCATCACTATTGATATATGATCCATCACTATGGGTTCCAAGTTGAATACAAATATATATTGTTTGAATTTAGGCACTTGGCTTGTATTCAAGGTCAAAAGTGCGATGAACTTTCAATATCATATTACCTATTATTGTAGCCACTTGGTTGATTGCACAAGTAATAAACAAGTTCGCGTCATCATATTTTTTTTTTGTTCTGAAAAATAAAAGTTAAGAAAATAACATTTGTAATCTCTGATATAGTACATTTATTTTATATATTGATTTATAGATTAAAATATCTTCTAAGTGTCATGTAGTTTACTATATTACCATTTAATTTATATTTTGAAACTTAATTATGTGTGTAGCTAGTAGAATTGCAAATAAAATATCTTCAGTGTCATGTAGTTTACATATTACAATGTAGGATTGTAAATCCGCAATTCACAATTGTTTACAATCTCACAAATTACGTGTACCCGCGATATTGGTGGCCTCAGTGCCGTAAGCATGTGAATTCCATTTTTAGTATATTTTTGATGTAAATATCACATTTACATCAAAAATATTAGGCCTCTAAATGTCTTAATCTCCCTGTTCCCGAAAATATCGCTATTTAATTTAGGTGATGCTTATCATTTTGGCGACGGCGGGGCCTTAGCCTCTTTCCTGTTCTAAGTTGTATAAAAATTCTTAAGTTGATTTTGCAGTCATGAGAAAATGTAATTAACTAAAGCCGATTATCCTACTTTGGTATACATACATAGGACGAAATCGATATGATCATCCTTTTAAAAAATACGGATCGAAAAACAACAAAAAATGTTCAACTTCTCATATGAACTTGACAGCTGTATGGGCCATGTTATTATTTTTTATCATTTTTTAAACTAGCTTTCTAATATTAAGTATTACTAGGATGTTTTTTGGGAAAAATATTCTAGAATGCTTGTTAAAAAAGTTTTCAATTTCTTTATGGTTGGGAGATGTTAACAGCGCTCTCTGGTTTTACAGGCATGCCCACTGTGGAGGAGGTGTGTTCCTCCTTTGGCCTCACAGACGTCGACATTCAGTACACAGATGCAGACTTCGAGAACCTCACCTCTTACAAGTTATTTCAGCAACACGTGCGCCCAATGCTTGTGAAGGAAAATCCTAAGGTGAGTTTAAGTCCTTTTATATATTTACTTAGACTAGACCAATGTCCCAATATATTCATGTATATTTTTTTCTAATGGATGATAATGGAATGGAAACTTTGCTTGCGCTATCAGTATACAGTAGTATATTATTATATATTGTTATGTATTTGTGGAGGTAAACATCTACACAAATACATAATATCCATGTGTATATATATACATATATAATGATTAGGGATATATATTTATATTTTATTACATATATCACATCTTCATATTTAGAATTAACAGTATTTTTCAAGCTGTCTGCGTTCAAATTATTTATAATTACTCCTCTCCATCTGAAGGTTGCCTGGAAGAGATCGCTTTTAGCGATAAGGTCGCCCACTGTTTTCTCATTGTGATTGTTTCTTATAATTGTGTTTATATTTATAATTAGTTTACTATTGTAATCTTTTGGAGGAAACGATAAAGAGTATCTATCTATCTATATGCTGGCGGGGCACCAGGGAGCGATGATAGGAGAGAATGAAAGCTAGTCGGTTTGTTTATCGTAATGAATTCATTAAGAATAATTCATGATAGTTTCTAGTAATAATTCATTCTTCTTTATACAAGTTTATTAAAAATACAATACAAACAACAAATATTAATTATGGTACTATATAGTAAAGTAATATGCATAATAACTTAAAGAAAACTTGGCCTTGCTAATTTTAACTATTTTCGAATACATACCATATTCCATGGTCATACTGCAAAATTCTAACAAAAGGCAAATGTCATAAGTTCATGGTGACATTACGATCGTATTTTCGAAAATAATCAAAGTGGATGGAGTTTGTAATGAGTGAATAGCTAATTAAATAATAACTACGGTGTATTATGAAACAAAATTAAATTAAGATTAAAAAAGTATTCTTATTCAATTCCCATCTATATATAATATCAATGTTTCAAATTATTGTCTTAACCAATAAACAATAATATTATCCGAAGGTAAAATTTTACACCCTGAAGTTTTAGAAATACAAGATTTGCATTTTTAAATGTTTACAATTACTTTTCAACAGGTTCCAGTATCTAAACTTATGATGCTGGTGGCAGCAAAGTGGCGTCTATTTTGCGAGATAAATCCTAATCTCGGTGGGGGCACACAGAATATGGGTTCCGAAGAGAACACTAACACCTCCACAGCTTCTGACTATGTGAGTAAGGGCAAGCCTGGCCGCACTCCTAAAGATTCTAAGGTGAGTTCATCAGACTTACTCTTTTTTACAGTGCAAAAATATTAGTGATATTAGATGTTGGTAATTAAATAGTCTTGAGAGGTGTAATCTGATGTTAATGGTGTTTTTATGTCTATAGATGACTGTATTTTTTTATTATCTATTATATTCACCATAGATAAAAACAATTCATTCAATTATCAAGGACTTAAAGAAGTATGTGCTTTAAAATAAGTATTTTCTAGAGTATCACCTCTTTTTTATGCAACTTAAAATGGCAAACAAGCTGACCTGATGGTAAGTGGTAATTGTCGCCTATAGACGAGACGGTACCATATACATAACAGAGTATATTGTGTCGCCCATGATACCCCTCATGTCTTGCTACTCCTGGGGAACAAAGTGCTGTGCCTTTGTATCTTGTAATTTCATTGCCTTTCTTAGCCTTTTCCATGATATTAATATTTGAATATTTTTTTCATAGAATGAGGATGGTGCTGATGAACAAGATGAGGAGGAGGAAGAGGAAGCAAGCGATGAAGGCACCCCGGCCCCGCGCAAGCGAGGCCGCAAGCCGAAGCATCCGGGCGGCAGTAGCAGCACCCCGCGCGGGAAGCCTGGACGGAAGCCCAAAGTTCCCACCCTCAAAATCAAATTTAGCAAGAGAAAGCGCACAAGCAGTGTATGTATATGAATATCAATAATTTAAAATCGTGTTTTACAAAAACCAACATTAGCTGTGGCAGTTATTTAAAAACTAAACTACTGAACTGATTTTGATAAAATATAGAACCAATATATAAGTAGTTTTCAAATCGGTTTATAGCTGATAGAGTTATGAGGTAACAAACAAAAAAAATATAACCTAATTGAGAACCCCCTAATAACTACTTACTCTTAATAAAAACTTAATTTTATTACAATAGATAAAAAATATAGGTCATGCTGTCCCATTCGTGTTTAAACCTGAATAAGTTGTTTTCACTGTGTTTTGCTTGTATTACAGAGGAATTTTGAGTCCTCAGGAATGGCAAATATCATCGAAAAAATATACTTGTTCATGTAAAGAAATAATCAATCTTGTTTATTAAATCATCTGGTGGGAGTCATGTTTTTGCATTGCAATGTATAAAAAAAAAAAAAACATATTAAAACTTATGCTAAAAAATCTCTTTGGATAAGCTGTTATATGTACAAATCTGTTTTTTTTTTGATGTCTTTTCCTAACTGGTTTCAAATATGTTGGCTATTGGGTATTCATGATACTGATATCTTTATTATATACAATTAAAGGAGGATGAACCGGAAGGCAGTGCTGGAGCTAACACAGATTCTGATGCTGAATTCGAGCAGATGTTGGCTGAAGCAGATGAGCCTAAACCTTCAGGCTCGACTGCCACCGCCACTGAGGTCGGTGCTCAGCCAAAAGAAGAAGACCCCAATGCACCGGTTTGTAGTTATTTACAGTTGCATTAATACTATTATGAGATAGATAGAGAGGGACCAAGTATTTGGACATAAATCATTTTACATAGGTCCTTTTTTTTTTCATTTTAATGCACGTCTTCTCTTGAATACACGTTAATTCTGGAAACTCTTAACTTATCCATCATATAGAACATAGTATATCACTATAGGTCAGTCTAGACTTCCCGCCATTTGTATTCTTTCACAGTTTCATTTTTTATCCGTTTCCCCAAACTTTCATTTGATAACAACTAAATTAGTGCTAGTGAAATGTAACCAGAAGAAAAAATTTCCGTTTCGTTCTTTTTTTTAAAGATATTATTAATTAATAAAACATATTATATTTTTATTTTCCAGCAAGTACCGAAGAAGAAGGCTAAAACTAAAATTGGTAATAAAAGCAAGAAGAGGAGGAAACTGAAGACCACCAATAAGTTCCCAGATGGCGCAGAAGGTGAACAGGAGCACCAGGATTACTGCGAAGTGAATATTTACATATTATATATTATTTAATCAAGTAGCATTATCTATAATAAGTTTACTACTATAATCTTTTAGAGGAAACAAAAAGATAATATTTTATTTATTTTTAATGAAAATTTAAACAAATGAATAATTTTAATAATACTTGGTTACTTATTCCTTAAGTTTTTTTGAAATCCACTTTAATAATAATAATAAAGCCTGTTTATTCTCATATCCATACAATAATTTTCATTTGTATTAATTACATTACGATTAGTACTAGAAATCTTAATATCTATGTTAGTTTATTTGTTATATAGTATTTTTAGATATGAGCCTCATATTGGGTATAGACATCCTCTATCTGGTTCCATTTTTCTTTTATTTTTGCTGTATTATATATATTTTTTTCACCCTCCAAAATACATTAAAATATTGAAATAATTAAATGTATTTTATAAGGTATGCCAACAAGGCGGCGAGATTATCCTGTGCGACACATGTCCGCGCGCGTACCACTTGGTGTGCCTGGAGCCCGAGCTCGAGGAAACTCCAGAGGGCCGTTGGTCGTGTCCCCATTGCGAGGCCGAGGGCAATCAGGATCAGGACGATGATGACGAGCACCAGGAGTTCTGCAGGTGAGTGTACACATCACCTTTGTATTTAGCATATGTTCCAAATGATGGTAAGTACCGTAGCATGTGATATTAGGGTATAATATGCGCATGTACAGTAGAACCCACGTAAGTCGCTTCAGAATGGATTAAGCACACATACAAACTTACTAAAAACTACTTTTAAAAGTACGAAACATACTTGTGTTATGTGTTAATGGAATTTTTTATATATTCAATTTTTTTTGGAGTGAAAATTCTTTCTGTTGTGTAATTTTCTCTTATATTTTTAAATTATATGATGTTAAAGTACGGAAGAATGTCACATATATTCCTATAATGTATAAAAAGTGTTTGAAAAAGTTATGATTTGTTCCTTTGTTTTTGAATGGCAATAAAGTAATAAGGTAAAGGGGACCAAAATAGAATGAACCTTAGAGTAAGATTTTGTAAATACTGATATGAACTGCACTACAGTGAAAATGTCCATGATTACAGGATTTGTAAGGACGGTGGCGAATTATTGTGCTGTGATTCCTGTCCATCTGCTTATCATCGGTTCTGTCTGAACCCACCACTGGAAGAGGTGCCTGATGGAGATTGGAAGTGTCCACGATGCAGTGTAAGTATATTATATATTAATATTGTAATTTATTTGTTCATATAATTGTTCATATGAATAACGTATATATATATATATATATATATATATATATATATATATATATATATATATATATATATATCCTGTTTATAAGTGTAGCAAGTTGGGTAGATACAAATGTAATCATCATATGAACTATCAATTGTCCACTGCAGAACCTAAGCCTCCTTCATAAGGGGGAGGCAGGGTTCCAGTGGTTGCCACTTTTGGCAGGCCAGTTGGCAACCACAGGTAGCCTTTGGCGATGTTTTAAAGGTTGCTGCCAATCCCTTACCCATCGAGTTCCCTTAGTCACCTCTTACAACACTCACAGGAAAGTAAATGGTGGCCTATTCTATATACAGACCATACAGCAAATGTAGTAGTTAAGTAATCTTTAAACGTGTATAATTTTACATTTTGTAGTAGTTTTGTGTAGAACAGGCTTGTTTTTATTTACTCATGTAATAATATTTTAATTAGTTGAATATTCTATTGTTACAAAACTGTTTATTAATATATTTATATATTGTTTCCAGTGTCCTCCATTGGAAGGCAAGGTGGCAAAGATTTTGACGTGGCGCTGGAAAGAAGAGTCCTCTAAATCAAAGGCGCCGCGTGCTAGAGAGTTCTTTGTTAAATGGCACGACAAGTCTTATTGGCATTGCAGCTGGATTTCGGAAATACAGGTCATTGTTTGATATTAACTGTATCCAGTAGCTGTGTCTTGGTGTGCCATATATAAAATATATGTTAAGTTAGAATATAATTTTGTCATGTACCAAATTTCATACAAATTCATTTAGTTATTTAAGCATGATTGAATAACAAACTTACAAACATCTTGACAAATTTTCACGTAATCTTAGTGGCATATTTCTTACATTGTGTTAATATTTATCATCATCATCATTATTCCAATATTTAACAGAAAAAATAACTAACCTTTCAATTTGCTTTGCATTTCCGCTTATCAATATCATAACTATTTACTTTTGAATTTTACTAATTAGTTGTTTACTTTTTGTTTAATAAAGTCTGGTAATTTTGAAATATATATTTAAATTAGGTCTTGAATCTGGGGTTACTAAAGTTTGTGGCCCTAGCTATACATTTTTTAAACAACCTATAATCTATTTAATTGCTTTACTTAATAAATTAATAACACCAACAGTTGGACGTATTCCACCCACTGATGTACCGGTACTGCATGCGCAAGACAGACCCCGAGGAGCCTCCCAAGCTGGAGGAGCCTTTGGATGAGCGCGACGGCCGCGTCAAGCGGCTCAAAGACAAGCAGTCGCAGGAGCACGACAACGACGAGCTAGAGGAGAAGTACTACAGGTGGGTAACATACAATTTCAGTGGTTACACATTCAGCTTATTTTGTCACTAAAGGCAGATAAGCGAGTAAAGATTAGCAGCTAAAGATATGCCGATATGGTGCTATGCTAAATTAGTATAAGCTATTATTAGAACTCTCTAGATTCATTTACTAAAGATATAGTTATTCTCTTTGTACAATTATACAGCATGCAGATAGAGAGTACAGTATTATTACAGTATAAGAAAAAACCAGTGGGTAATAATCAGCTTTAGAATATTCCAAGCAATTACATAATAATTTAATATCTATTACTCTGTCTAGATGTGGCCGTTGGATGATTCGTAGGGTTCTTTAGACATGGGAACATAAAAAGAATGTTTATATTACCATAGAAGAAAATTAAAAGAGTATCTTCTTAAAAGGTAACTTATGGGTGTCTTTTCTGATTTTATTAATGTTCATGGGCTGGGTAATCACCATAAGGTGAACCACATGATAATTAATAAAGGGGCAATTTTTACATTACTATTATTTCAGCCATTAACTGTCCACTGCTGAACATAAGCCTTCTCCATAAGGGGAGTTTTGCCAGTAGTTGCCACACTTGGCAGGCGGGTTGGCAACCGCCGTTAGGTTTTTAGAGATGTTTTAAGAGTTCTTTTCTTTCCGCCTTTCTTTAGTCGCTTCTTACTACCCCCATGGAAAAGGAAGGGGTGGCTTATTCCATGCCAGAGTTCACACTGCACACATTTTGCATAAAAAAATATAATGACAATATTGTGATATGGCGTGATGTGTCAGGTACGGCGTGAAGCCGGAGTGGCTGGTGGTGCACCGCGTGATCAACCACCGTACCGCGCGGGATGGCACCACCTACTACCTGGTCAAGTGGAGGGACCTTTCTTACGACCAGGCCACCTGGGAGGCGGAGACAGAGGATGTTGCCGGTCTTAAAGCCGCCATCGAATACTATCAGGTAAATTCGATTTAATAGGCTTATTGTATTTGTTGTTTCTGAAACATTATTTGATTTTATATGAAAATGCATATAAGTTTTAAATATTATATAAGATGTAAGACAATCAAGGTCACATTTAAATTGTACTTGGTTGTTGATATATTTGTAAGGACATATATTATTGTGAAGTTATAGGGCACAGAGACTAGTGTGCTAGTGTGTTCTAAACACACTAGCTTTAATGGATTGTAATTATTTATGCTGTTTGAAGTCCTTGGTGCTGTTCTTATCTATAGGCGACAGTTGCCACTTTTTATCAGGTGGGTCGCGTGCCATTTCGAGTTTCATAAAAATGTATTTAATTGAATAGTTTGTTTTGCAAAATACTGAATTATAGAGAATCTTTAAAAGATTGCATTTAAATAATATATTTTTTATTTGTTTGAAGGATATGCGTGCCTTCATAACTTCTGAAGGCAAAACGAAAGGAAGCAAAGGTAAAAAACTTGGTCGTAAGGGTAAGAATCGCGACGCAACAGATGATGATGACAATAGCGGCAGCTTGTCAATTAAACCCAGAAGGTATAACCCACCACCAGAACGCCCCACTACCAATCTTAATAAAAAATATGAAGATCAGCCACCATTCGTTTATGAAACTGGAATGCAGCTTCATCCGTATCAGTTGGAAGGTCTTAACTGGTTACGGTACTCTTGGGGCCAGGGCATTGACACCATTCTCGCTGATGAGATGGGTCTCGGCAAAACTATTCAAACCGTTACATTCCTGTATTCTCTATTTAAGGAAGGCCATTGCAAAGGCCCATTTTTAGTTTCTGTACCTTTATCTACAATTATTAATTGGGAGAGAGAGTTTGAACTGTGGGCTCCAGATTTGTACTGCATCACTTATGTTGGCGACAAAGACTCTAGAGCCGTCATAAGAGAAAACGAATTGACTTTCGATGATGGCGCGAACAGGGGCGGAAGACCTTCTAAAATTAAATCGCAAGTTAAATTTAATGTGCTGTTAACATCGTACGAGTTGATTTCTATTGACGCTACTTGTCTTGGATCAATCGATTGGGCTGTTCTTGTTGTAGACGAAGCTCACAGGTTGAAAAGTAATCAGTCCAAGTTCTTCAGATTACTAGCTAGTTATCACATTAATTACAAATTGCTCCTCACTGGTACTCCATTACAGAATAATCTAGAAGAATTGTTCCATTTGCTGAACTTCTTAAATAAAGACAAGTTTAATGACTTAGCCGCTTTTCAGAATGAATTTGCGGATGTATCAAAAGAGGAACAAGTAAAGAGGCTTCATGAAATGTTGGGGCCGCATATGTTGCGTCGTCTCAAGGCCGACGTCTTGAAGAATATGCCTACTAAATCTGAGTTTATCGTCCGCGTTGAATTGTCCCCCATGCAAAAGAAATACTACAAATATATTTTAACAAGGAATTACGAAGCTTTGAACCCCAAGAGTGGAGGTCAAACTGTATCACTACTCAATGTAATGATGGACTTGAAGAAATGTTGCAACCACCCTTACTTGTTCCCTGTAGCAGCTGAAGAAGCACCTCTAGGTCCACATGGTAGTTACGACACTCAAGCTTTGATCAAAGCTTCTGGAAAACTCGTACTCATGTCTAAAATGTTAAAACAGTTAAAAGAACAAGGGCACAGAGTGCTTATTTTTTCACAAATGACAAAAATGTTGGACATTCTCGAAGATTTCCTTGAGGGTGAAGGTTATAAATACGAAAGAATTGACGGTGGTATTACCGGAACAATTCGGCAGGAAGCTATTGACAGGTTTAATGCCCCTGGTGCTCAACAATTTGTGTTCCTTTTGTCCACAAGAGCTGGTGGATTGGGTATTAATTTGGCTACTGCTGACACTGTTATTATCTATGATTCTGACTGGAATCCTCATAACGACATCCAGGCGTTTTCACGAGCCCATCGTATCGGTCAGGCAAATAAAGTGATGATCTATCGTTTCGTGACACGTAATAGTGTTGAAGAAAGAGTAACACAGGTGGCCAAAAGAAAGATGATGTTGACACATTTGGTTGTACGGCCTGGTATGGGCGGTAAAGGCGCTAACTTTACTAAACAGGAATTGGATGACATTCTGCGATTTGGTACAGAAGAGTTGTTCAAGGAAGAGGAAGGAAAAGAAGAAGCAATTCATTATGACGACAAAGCTGTAGGAGAATTGCTAGATCGTTCTAAGGAAGGTATTGAACAGAAGGAGTCTTGGGCTAATGAATATCTCAGTTCATTCAAAGTGGCTAGTTACTCAACAAAGGAAGGAGATGGTGAAGAGGAAGTGGATACTGAAATTATTAAACAGGAAGCTGAAAATACTGACCCTGCATATTGGATTAAACTGCTAAGGCATCATTATGAACAACACCAAGAAGATCAGGCGAGGACGTTAGGTAAAGGCAAACGAGTGCGTAAACAAGTTAATTATAACGATGGCAGTGTTGCTCAAACAGAAAACAGGGAAGATAGTACTTGGCAAGAAAATGGTTCTGATTTCAATTCCGATTTCTCCCAAGGAAGCGAGGATGACAAGGAAGATGACGATTTCGATGAAAAGAATGATAATGGAGATCTTCTTAGTCGTCGTAGCAAGAGGCGTCTCGAAAGACGCGAGGAGAGGGATAGGCCATTACCACCATTACTTGCTAGGGTTGGGGGTAACATGGAAGTACTCGGCTTCAATGCGAGGCAAAGGAAATCATTCCTTAACGCTATTATGCGATATGGCATGCCGCCACAGGATGCGTTTAATTCACAATGGTTAGTTAGAGATCTCAGAGGGAAGTCGGAACGAAACTTCAAGGCGTACGTGTCGTTATTCATGCGACATTTATGCGAACCAGGAGCAGATAATGCTGAAACGTTTGCTGATGGTGTGCCACGCGAAGGTCTCTCGAGACAGCATGTTTTAACAAGGATCGGTGTTATGAGCCTAATAAGAAAGAAAGTTCAAGAATTTGAACATATTAATGGTTATTATAGCATGCCAGAGTTGATTCGTAAGCCAGTAGAACCAGTGAAGATAGCTGGTACAGCAGGAGAGAGCGCGGCGCCTAGTCCTGCGCCGTCTACCGCCACGCCCATTACTTCGGCTGCACCCTCACCTGCCCCCACGCAGTTGACTCAAGCTTCTGGGCAAGCACCTACGCCTGGCGGTTCTGAAAAGGATGACAAAGAAGAAACTAAAGATGAGAAATCAGATGTAAAAGATAGTAAAGTTAAGGATGAACCTATGGATACCAGTGACGTAAAAGAAGAAAAGGTAGATGAGAAGGAATCTCCTAAGGAGGTTCAAGAAGAACCGAAGGAGGCAGAACGACGCATGTCCGTCGACGAGGAACCGCCTAAAGAAGAGGATAAAGCTGAGGAGAAGAAATCAGAAGATAAAGATTCTGACAAAGTTAAAGAGGAAGTCAAAGAAGATCCTGATAAGAAGGAAGACGCTAAGAGTGAGAAAGCTGAATCTGAAGCTTCTGAGAAGCCTAAAGATGAAAAGAAGGTAGGTAATCATATTGCAATTATTTACAAGCTTTTATTATTATTTAATGTATATATATATATATATATATATATATATATATATATATATATATATATATATATATATATATATATATATATATGTACAGATGTCGTCTAGTTACAATTTTAGTAAGATATATTTTAATGTAATTAAAAAAATTATGAAGTTTTTAAGCAAACTTAGTTTTATATATTTACTTCAGGAGGAGGAAGATGACGATGTGGTACTAGTGAAAGAGGAGGAGGACCTGAAAGTGGAGAGGCGCAAGTTTATGTTCAACATTGCGGATGGGGGCTTCACAGAGTTACACACGTTATGGCTGAACGAGGAGCGAGCCGCTGCGCCTGGCCGCGAGTATGAGATTTGGCACCGTCGCCACGACTACTGGCTCCTCGCCGGGATTGTCACGCATGGCTACGGCCGTTGGCAGGACATTCAGAACGACCTGCGTTTTGCTATCATCAATGAGCCCTTCAAGATGGACGTCGGCAAGGGTAACTTTTTGGAAATCAAGAATAAGTTCCTCGCGAGGCGTTTCAAGGTTAGTGTACAATGTTTATTATAAGAAATCTAAATTAATAGATTTTATCTTACTCTTGTCTCGATTCTTTGGATAGGATTAAGTCTACATTTAATTTCTTTCTTTTTTAAATGTTTAATGGATTTCAATAATTAGGCTGATGTTGCATTAGCCAGATATAACTTACCAGAAAATGATTTTATATGAAGGTCCTAACGTTTATCTGTCTTAATTTTTTTGCAATTAAGCAGTTGGGGTGGAATAACAGTATTTAGGTTTGTAGAGTAGGGATTTTTTCAAAATAGCAATGATTGAGGAATACCTTGGATATCACTGGCAACTTACCAGAGACTGTACAAAAGTTGATTGCTTGGGTACCTCTATTCTATTCGTGTTTCAACCGTAAAGCAGTTGTGTTTGCATGGCTGCGTTTCGGTTTGAAGGGTGGGCTATGGCGTGAATTTACTGGGTACGGAGGAATAACACCTGAATCCCCAGGAATGGCAACGCATGGGGGGTATCATACACAAAACAGTGTACTCAGTTATGTCCATGGTACTGCTTATGTATATAGGCGACGGTTACCACTTTCCATCAGTTGGGCCGTCAGCTTGTTTGCCATTCTAAGTTGTATGAAAAAAACTACTGGCAAATCCCCCCAAGGGGAGGCTTATGTTTAACAATGGACAGTTAAAGGCTGATATGATGATGATGGATATTACTGTGTTCTATGGCTCAGTTTGTATTGAAAAAAAGAAGAGTTCTACAATTTGGTATATGACATGTATTGTGACTTCTATATGGGTGCATATAAAGTGCAATAACAATGATAATGTTGCACAGCTGCTGGAACAAGCGCTGGTGATCGAGGAGCAGCTGCGGCGCGCGGCGTACCTCAACCTGACGCAGGACCCCAACCACCCCGCCATGTCGCTCAACGCGCGCTTCGCGGAGGTGGAGTGCCTCGCCGAGTCGCACCAGCACCTCAGCAAGGAGTCGCTCGCCGGCAACAAGCCCGCCAACGCGGTGCTGCATAAGGTATGCACTGTCATCTGATATGAGGAGGTAGTGGCCGGCTTCGAGGTCGAGGGGCCTTGCGTATTTATTTTTCAATTGACTCCAAACACGTTCATAATTCGGTTGGATTTTTTATGTTTGCTACTTCAGACTTATGAGAACTATGCCAGTTGTAAACCGATTTGAAAATTTTTCTATCTGCAAGGATATGTTTACAGATTGGTCCCATAGATATTTTATCAAAGTCGGTTCAGTCTTTTACTTTTGAAATAAAAATAATTAAGTAGAGGATCTACTAATAATATGATCTTATTAGAAGTCCTTTTTTTTGCGTTTTTGTTCCTTGCTCTTCTTTTGGTACAACTAACGATTCTGTTTCTGATATAGTGGTAGTAAGATTAATTGTGTTTCCATTACGAGAAACTAATAGTTTTAAAACTCGGTGCAGGTGCTGAATCAGCTAGAAGAGCTGTTGTCAGATATGAAGTCGGACGTGTCGCGGTTGCCGGCGACGCTGGCACGGATTCCGCCGGTGGCGCAGCGCCTGCAGATGTCCGAGCGGTCCATCCTCTCGCGTCTTGCCGCAACCGCCGGCAATCCCGTGCCCGCTGGTACGTTTTTTGGTGTAACGTGGAGACTAAATTTAGCTTTATGTGTTTTAATAAAGGTGTCGTATACATTTATAATAATGTGAGAGTGCTAAAAATGTTGGGTTTGTTACATCCATTTATATTAATACTATGCGTCCAATAAACTTGTCGTAACTATTGAAATATAAATATTTAATTTAAAAAAAATCACAAATCACTAATGGATAAAATAAGTTTGGTTTGTAAAAGTTTGTTTTATAAGTTCGATCTTAAGAGCGTTCATCTCGTCATTTTGTAATGTTTGCATTATTATGATTTTTTTAATACAAATATTTTTCTAAATATTCTAAATATTTATGATTTTTATCATGACAATGATGACACTAAAAACTTGTATAAATACAAAAATCATGGTATAAATTAGATATATGTGTTACAGCTCAAATGCCCCAGTTCCCGGCCGGATTCCAGTCGAGCGGAAGCTTGCCTGGTTTCTCTCCGGCTGCGGCCGCCGCTGCCAACTTTTCAAACTTCCGCCCGCAGTACTCTGTGCCCGGGCAGCCCGCCTCCACTGGATCCTCTAATGTAAGGCATCGACATCACCCTACTATTCGTTGGTCTCCTAATTAAAGGAATATATTAACCTGGGGGGAAAGGGATTGTTAGTAATGGAAACGGAGAATCCCATTGCTAGCAATATATCCAACCAGGTCGACCTCTACGCGGTTCCCCCTGGAAACTATCATGGTTAATTCCTGATGAATTCATCATGATGGGCTAACTGGCCTGTTTTCATTCTCATCTATCACCCTTCACTGGTGCTCCGCCAGCGTATCCCATTAGCGCAGGCGGGGTTACCATATCATTTTCACCCAAAAAAAAAAAATATATATATTAACCTACTATTACCATGTTAGTAGGTAGCTTGATATAAATTTTCGAGTTATTATTAGTGCAAGAGTATTAGCGTATGGTGCTTAATCCCATAGTCGCTTTTTACGAATGAAAAGGAGTATCAACATATTATATACTTACTCCGTCACTACATGGAACACTGCTGCTGTTGTAGTATGTACACTGCAAAAATGCAGCATTGGTAGTTCAGCTTACTACTGATTTGCACAATTTATTGTACTTGCCATGGAAGCTTTATATTTTTCTTAAATTTTGTAATAACTTAATTTATTGTTTTAACTAAGACAAATTTCTTTTTTACAGAAATCATAAGCCTGCATAACTTATAACATCTTATTTCAACTCGACACACCTACAAGTAAGTTTTAATGATTCCATAGACTAATAATAATATATTCATATATTTATTAATATTAAATTTTTAAGCATTTTTGTATATTTTTTGAATTCGTTATTAATCCAATAACATTTATATTTACAACAATATTGAAAATAATAAGTAATTTTGTATTATCATAATGTATCTTTGAATTCCATGTTTTTCATATCTATTGGAGAGATTACTCTTATCCAACAGGCAAGTCGTCCTTTAAAAATATTAATTTGTTATTCACATGTCTAAAAACGACTATAGATTTATATTACTTTTTCTCAAACATGCTTGGAAATGTGAGCATTATTTTGACAATCTTCTTCGAGATAAATCAAAATTGCCGTATTGGCCAAGATACATGCGGGCAGCGGCCGGCAAAAGTTGTATGAAAATCCATATCTGTCGTGTTTTGCGGCCAGATAAATTACTATGTAAACTCATATCTGTCCTGTAATTTAAAAATGGAATGACCTTTTACTTCGAAACATGGCTACCAAGGAGGTAACTAATACAAGGTTTTATTTAAATTTCGAACTGACTTGCAAATAGAAAGCTGATTATTGAAAAAAAAAAACAAGGGAACATTATGGCGCGTGAAAAATTATTATTGTTCGTTATTCGTCATTGAATTTAAAAAGTAAAAAAATTGATGGACTCACGTATGTGTGCCTCGGTTACACCTCGGCCCACATTTGTACGTTCGTCCATCAATGCCTTAGTTGCTGGCCGCTGCAGTAATGTTCTATTAATAGGTTGTACTTCATAGTAATAATATTATTTTTGTTTCAGTGCGTGGATAGTGGTCACATAGATGAATATTTTAGATGTAAGCTTTCCAAGATTCCTGTTCCACCTTGGGTTTGAAGTGATAATTATAGTGATTAGTGCAGTTAGGTAACATGATATGTCATATTGAAGCAGAACTCTCACAATATTATTTATTTCATTCTGATCTGTATGAATCTTGTTTATGTGTAAGTGATTGTGGACTTATGAAATTCTTTATTTTTAATCAACCAAAAATGAAAATTTAATAAACAACACGATTAAGTGATTATGTTGTTATTATTTATGTGACAGAAACTACAAATAAAAATAGCCGAAATGTACAAAAATATTGTTTAATTCATGATCAAAATTCATTCTCACAACCACACAATACAAACGAAAAACGTACTTTATACTATAATAAATATACTTAAATATCTTATAGTGTAAAGAATCACCAAGTATATGTGCCGTCTTCTGTATTGTATTTAACACTATCCAGAGGTTTTACAATACTTGGATCTGGAGAACAGAAATGTTGTAACATCTCTTCACTTATGCCACAGTCTGATAAGTTTTCTTTATTGAACGCTTTTGTGAAGTGATTTGGTTCGTTTTCTTTTGAGGCCTCATCTGAAACAAAGGTGTATTATTGTCACTACTATAGCCATAGTACCATTATCACCAGCTTGGATTTAATATTGTTTTATATGTATAAGAGGTCTAGGCGAAACAAGCTAGCCCACCTTTATAAATACATTGACCATTTTTATAAATCTTGGTCTTTTTTATACTAATATAGTAGCTAACAAGCATACAGCCCGTCTGATAGTAAATCGGAATGGTAGCCTATGGACGCCTGTAATACGAGAGATGTCGATCTTTAAGAAACTTTAATACCGAAATAAAGTGCAATTGAATAAATAGCTATATTAAGAAATTTTTTGTGTTGTATGTTATTTTTGCTATGAAGTCCTATTTAGGTTTAAGGAAAAAAGACAAATTATAAAAACTATTGAGGTCAGAAGGGAGAAAATATTGGGACACTTGATACGATACATGAAAATTATAATAGTAAGATAGAAGGAACGAGGGGAAGGGGTAGACCAAGGCATAGGTTACATCAGGCAGACCAAGAAAGTTGGTATCGTGTCCATACCAAGAGAAGTGACTTGCTGAAAATCGCAGTAGCAAGAGCTTCAGCGATAAGAACGTAGCTCTTAAATAGGAAATGAAATTAAAAAAAAAATGTTAATTTTATAGGGCCAGCTTCGACACACATTTTTTTAGTCAACTAGAATGGCAAACAAGCAGACAGTCCACCCGATGGAAAGTGGTAACCGTTGCCTATAGACATGAACAGTACCATGGTCATAACAGTATAGTTTCGCTCATGATACCCTATGTATTGCCATTTCCGAGGCCTAAGGTGTTATACCCTGTAAATTCACTGCCATATTCCACTCTTCAAATCGAAACACTATGTACCCATATACTAAGGTTTTAAAATATATAATAAGTACCTTCAGCAATTTTCTGGGCAGCCCAAGAGAAAGCAAGCGTAGGCTGGTGATGAGCGAATGTAGCGCTAAACTGCGCCGTTGAACTCGTCTTCAGAACGTTGAATAGTGTATGCACAGTGGTTGGCAGTATTGGCCCTTTCAGTTCTATTGAGTAGTATTTTTTGTTATCGGAATGTAGTGTGTTCTCTCGAACCTGTAAAAGGGAATAAAATATTAAAATTAGTGGCTATTATTATTTGATAATTTTGTAATTTTTAAATGATGCAAACTTGGACTTGAAAATTTAGAAGTTTAGACTGGGATTTCATTAATGTCTAATTTACTGTTCATATGGTGATGGTTAGCGTTTTCATCGATTCCCACTTTAACATAAAAATAATAATAATAAATTGAAGCAAATTAGAGAACCTCATTTTTTAATAAAGTAAAAAGACAAGCTCACATGTAACGACTGTAACGTGGCGCCGTGGAAGGCTGTGGGCGCGAGCAGCGTGGGTGGCACAGCGGCGAGTGGACCGGTGGGACTGGCGAGCGACTTGCAGTTGAGTAGGAAATCGAACAGCGCCTGCGCATCCGCGCCTCGCACCACCACCAGGGACTCCGCTGCACTGTCTACGCTGCTCTCCGCGCTCTGGGTTATGCGTGCCTGAAAATTACATTTTTTTGTTACAATCCCTATTACATTTTTTTTTACAATTCATATAAGTACCTACAAATTGCTATTTTAAACGGATATTCGTGGTATAGAAGTTCAGATCGATTTAGGTAAAATACAAATTTCAGAAATAAATGCTAATAGCGCCAAGAGTGTACCTCTTGCTTGATTGTTCATAATACAGGGTATCCTATGATGAAATCTTTGGGGTGATTGCACTCACATCATTTAATCAAATTTGGCATCATCATCATCATGTCAGCCTAGTAAGAGGGACGCTGCTGTACATCCCTCACCTTATTTATTAATTAAATTAAGTATTTAATAATAAGCCAGACAAAATTAACAAATAAAAAAAGACACACCAAGAATATTTATTAAATACGAGTATGCTAAGTACAAAAATGAATAAAAGAAATATGTCTTGAAAATAGTACCTGTGTGTTGTTAATTTTCTTTATGACGTCCGTCTCAAGTCCCAGCTGTGACAGGAAATGATCGGGATCTTCCTCATCGCCGGAGCCATCATCCTTACGCTGCGACTCTTGGGGTAACTTAGTTTCTTCCATTGTATCATAACAACTGTCGAATGAGGAGTTCTTTGGTCGGTCCTCGTCGGACGTGTTGAATTTTTTCTTGTCGGGACGGAGCGGCATTGTGAATTCTACATCTGGAACGAAAACAAGGACTGATTTTCAACAAAACTTTTAGTAGTTTTTTCCAACCGTCACATAATTACATAACTGTATATTTGTTTATGTATTAATATAATAGTTGTAGCACTTCAGCTGCCCGCTAACGAAATGCTTTCTTACTGTACTGGGTTGACTGGAAGAGATCTCTGTCAGAGATAAGTCCACCCTTGCTTACAACATTTATAAATACATTATTTTATATGTAACTTACAAGTGTACAAATAATTTCCTTAGATATTTACAGAATAGCTTTTGTCTCTCTGCATAGTTCAAGGTTTGTATTATTAAGTTAAAAATGATTTTTTTTTGTTTTTTTTTTGATGCGTAGAAATGGTATGGTAACCTCGCCTGCGCTAACGGTATACGCTGGCGGAGCACCAGTGAAGGGTGATAGATGAGAATGAAAACAGGCCAGTTAGCCCATCATGTTGAATTCATCAGGAATTAATCATGATAGTTTTCAGGGAGAACCGCGAGGAGGTCGACCTGGTTGGGTATATTGCTTGCAATGGGATTCTCAGTCTCCATTACTAACAATCCCTTTCCCCCAGTTAAAAGTGTTAGTCATATAAATGTACCTACCCCCCAAAGGGAGGTCTATTTTGAGCAGTGTATAGTTAACGACTGATATGATGATGATACATAGATATATAAGTTCAGCAGCTAGTTATCAATGGCATAGCTGACGGCCCGCAGATTTCACGGTACGGGCGCCACTACTATACATGACCTCTAAGTAAAGCATAATTCCATAGCGCAAAAGTAACACCATCGAGCCCAATGTGTAATATGGAAAAGCATTAATAGTTGTGGTATAAAACGACAGAAAATGAAGTTATTCAGTTCCACTATTAGTATAAATGTTTGAATTTTTATGAAGTAAATTAAAATATAGTCTATTTGTTATTCGAATTTCACGCGGCTGGAGCTACGGGACATAGCTAGTAATTTTACCTTACCTTCATGCCGTAATGTTTGTCTAAATCCTCGAGTAGTCGGCGCTATGAGGACGCAGGGTTCAGATACGCCGCAGAGTCCGGCCGCCCGGAACAGACATGTGAATGTGTTTGCGCATACGTAGAAGTATGGACAGTGGCGCGCGCGTAGCAGCTGGAACCATTCACGACAATTTCATAAATGCATTATATTTTTTATCTACCAACTTCCTTAGAAGGAAGGGATTGTTACTAATAGGGATTTTAGAAGTCCTATAACTAGCAATAATAATCACTCCAGCTAATCCCTATGAGGTCTTTCCTGGAAGTTATTGTCCTTAATTCCTGGTTGATTCGTCATCATACCTCACTACGGAACTCTATCAGCATGTATTATATTAACAGTTTAGGGTAAATCTTTTAAATAAGTGGCAAATAAATTTAAAAAGAGAAGTTGCCTTACCCGATATATACTAGTGTGATAACATATCTGTCTATAAATTATTTTGCTTAAGGGAGTTGACATGAAGAAAGATAGTTTTATAAAATATATTACCTGGAACAAAGACCTGAAGCTCTCACACCAGTCTCTATGCAATGCTTGTTTGACCTCATCGTTTGTGGCCATAAAATTGGTAGCAGAAACTTTCCCAGAGGAGCGAGGGTATAAATTCAGCCAGGGTAGATGGGGATGTTGCCAGTATAGGCAGGTCTGGTGGAAGAGGGCCCGCGGAGATGTGTCCAAGGTGGGTGACGAAGTCGTATCGAGACATCTTACAAACCTGGCAACAAAGTTTATCTCGTATAAAATTTTATTTATGTATATTGTATATTTTAATTTTTTTTTAAATATTACATAATTAACATATTAATTAAATACTAACAGATAGACAAATCTTTATTGTTTCCTCTAAAAGATTACAATAGTAAACTTATTATAGATATAAACAATTACAAGTAATAATCACAGTGAGAAAACAATGGGTAGCTTTATTGTTAAAAGCAATCTCTTCGGGGCAACCTTTGAGTAATTATAAATAGTTTGATCAGAGGCACGATGAAAATTCTATCATTTCTAAATATGGAGATGTAATGTAATGTACATACAAATCTCTGCTCATTATTGTATATATATACACATGCATATACATATGTACATACATACGTGCATATAAACACACAAATATATAAAAACATATAAATACTGCTCATATAAAATTTTTTGATATCTGAAAAAATAAGCATGCTAACTAGACAAAAATTTATACATATACGTATTTATAACAAATGGGTTACTTTTATCTTGTAATATAATGGCAAAGACTCACTCGTGTAATTTTAAAGTAACACTTTAGTCACATGGTTATGTTGTACACCTTATGTCAAAGGATACAATGGTTGTAGTAGACTTAGCTTAATCCTAACATTATAACATTATAAATGTGAAAGTGACTATTCACTACACATACATAGTATTTAGGAAGAATAACATAGGCTACTTTTTATCCTGGTTAAATGAAGTTGAGAGCTCAACAGCTAGTTTTTACTAATAAAAACTGATAAAGCTAACAATTTCCAAATATTCATTTTAAACATTCCTTTTTATTATAAAAAAATATTAACCCTGTTATTCCCGAAGCCTCTTCACTTGCTTTCAGCATGGATGTCCAAGCAAACGGTTTGGGGGACATTAGTCTCATTTTAGTTTTTAGTGCCCAATCAATAGGTAAGTGTTTGTATTTCTTTTCAACAATTTCCTGAAATAAAGCACATAACTTTATGACTACCTGATTATTATTATCAGTTTCTTTATTTATTTGTTAGCATTTATTTATTCATTAGTACAAATATGTGTACATGGTGGACTTAATGCTAAAAGCATTCTCTCCCAGTTAACCATAGGGAAGTGTCAGAATACTCGAATGCAGTACTACTAATTATTGATATACATACATTCTTATTATTGTAAAATAGTAATGATAAGAATATGAAAGTATATACAGTTTTAGTTACTGTATCAAAGCTATATTAGTTGGGCTGATTTAAACAGCCATCTTAGATGAATTAATGAACTCTGATTAATAAGGGTTTTTACACTAAGGGTGTTATATTTTTTAATGGATGTGAATGGCAGCCCTATCTGCGCTATTGGTATATGCTGGCGGGTCACCAGTGGGTAATAATAGACGAGGATAAAGTCATGGTTAGTTAGCCTACTGTAACCACAATAATTTCTAAAGGGGACCACATGGAGGTCCACTCAATAGGTTATATTAATTGTCATCATCATTTCAGTCATTGGCTGTCTACTGCTGAATATAAGCCTTCGCCATAAGGGGACTTTTCCCAATAGTTGCCTCGCTTGGCAGGCAGGTTGGAAACCAAAGTTGAGGCTTTTAGAGATGTTTTAAGAAGGATATTGCTGCCATCCCTCTACTATTAAGTTCCCTTAGATGTTTCTTACAACACCCATGGATAAGGAAGGGGTGGCCTATTCTATGCTGGGACCACATGGGCCCTTCAGATATTATTAGTAATAGGCACTAATGGTCTTAATACCCTCTATCTAATCTCTTCCTATGCAAGGTGTAATATTAACAGACTATTACATTTGCTTTTTACAACTGACAACCAGCTGTTAGTAATGCAAACTACCAATCACATTGCTAGCAATGTACTCAGTCAGGTCGACCTCCATGTGGTCCCTGGAAACTACTATGTTGAATTCCAAGTGTATACATCACAATGGGCTAACTGGCCTTGCACTTTCATCCTCATATATCATCTATCACTGGTGCCCTGCCAGTGTATGTCATTAGTGTCACCATTCCATTATCATACGAATTAAGTAAAAAATAGAATTAAGTATGAATGAAACAAAAAAAAAAAAATTAAATAGGTTGCCATTCGCCATAAAAATAAGTGGAGAAAGCATAATTAAAGGACCAAATGGAAAAAGAAATGGAAAGATGTGTTGCTAACTTACAAAAATTTCCTTTGAGATTCACTACAAAAAATAGTGGAGTATCAGAGAAATCATAAAAGACAAATTATAAATGACATTTTATCTTTTGGATTTAATTGTTAATTAGTTTAAAAATAACAAATGAGATGATATTTGTGATATTGTGGTGTTGATAATTTAAATAGTCAAGTCAAATAAGGCATAAAAGAAAAAAAAATATACTTACTGTGTGTACTGAATGGTCTGCAGTGAATTTTTGCAATAAGTTTGAGAAGGTGGATAATTTTTGGATATCTTCTGGAGGCTTCTCGATTTTTGCAGGTAACTTTAGTAATGCAAATAATGTTTTGTCATTGGATTCATCTAATGGTAATTCAATGTCAACTTTGGCTTTCTTATTTTGCTCCAAGTTATTTCTGAATCATATAAAAAGGCATATTTAATATAATAAAAATCATACAAGTAAATAACATATAAATTAATTTTTATAGGACTTGAAATGACAAATATGTTGATCCTCTTGAAAACTTGCAACCAACATTTATAGATATGATCATCACAGACATCACAATCAACATTGTGACACCCAGGGTTCACCACATGTATTGCTATTTCTGAGGACTAAGATATTATGCCTCCATATCTTACAATTTTATTGTCATGCCCTGTGACATAGTACAGCAGTTGCTAGCACAGCTGCTTTTGTAACAGAAACATAAATAAATTAAATATTAAGCTATAATTACTTTGAAAATGGATTTTTTCTTTTGTCTCCATTGATAAGTCTGGAAAAATTTAAATCCTCTGCCTTTCCATTTGGTTTAATTTCTTCACTGCCAGATATTGATGGTTGTTTCATGCGTTCCTAAAATATAGAGTTACTTTATACAACCGCATGTATTTAATGGAAATAAAGAGTACTTAAAGTCCACAAAATCATATTAATTAAAGGGCTAGTGATTACGAAGTAAACGTCTTGAAACATAACATAACAAAACAGAAGATTCATAAAGTATACATAAATTCTTTACCTGTAATGCCTTTTTTCGTTTTTTCAGTCTGTGTATTTGCATTACTTCATTTGGTGTTTTCCATGGTGAAGATGGCTCCATTTTATTTGCAAATTAGAAACGAATATTAAAAATTATGTCAGAGGATAGTATAATTTATTTCATAAATACATAAAATAACTAATAAAACAATAAAAGAACATTTTTAAGAAATTGTTTACATTCAGATAAAAAGATGTACAATAGTAATAATGACAAATACTATAAGAGCAACGAATAACGTGTTAAAATTGACAATAGCAATATTTGACATTGACATTGACAAAACGAACTGAAGAAAAAAAAAATTCTCTAAGGCAAAAGAATTATATCTATACAGCCATGTTAAATAAATTTATAAAATTTCTGTCACATGTCTATGTCCAATAGAGTTAAAGTATTCTTAGAACAGAGTATTTTTTAAAGAATTTTATGATATTATAAAATGACAAAATGTCTATTTTATTATTTTAATAAACAATTAAGTCTAAGATTTGAGAACGAATATTTAGCTAATAAAAGTAGATTTTATGACGATTTTATGTAGATAAAATATGAGAGTCGAGAATACTGGAAATAAAAAAATTCTTAGGTTTGCTTAATTCCCTATAACTTTTTTTATCGACTTCTGTAAAAGGATGAGCTACTCAAATCAATACGTGTATATTATTTAAATCAATTCAAACTGTATACTCAATAACATTCTTTTTTTATATATCTTATATATGTGAAGGTGATTATGTCATTACTATTATTATAGGGATGATTACGACTGTAATACCAAATGGAATATTTAGAACATAGACACTATTTCTCTAAAAACTCTAAATCAATATCTAAAATTAAAATATAGTTTTCATATTACAGCGAAATTTTTATTGTAGGGACCAATATAAGCTAATTTTCTAATAGATTTATTTAAATCAAAATTATTATAATTTTATGTTTATGATTTTTTTATGCAACTTACAATGGCAAAAAAGCTAACGGCCTACCTGATATAAAGTGATAACCAAAGCTTATAAATATGAACAGTACCATGGACATAAGAGAATATACAATCTCGTCTATGATATATAAAACAGTAATTTCGCAAAATAAGGTTAAGAGATAAATTAAGAGAGAGATGACACCTTAGATCGGCTTCATTATGTAGTGGTTTGTCGTAATTTTACGGAGTCTTCTTGAAACTTATTTGTTTATAATCAATCAAGAAATCAATTATATTTAAAAGCATCGGTTTCAACTTTGTGAGTCTATTTTGTTAATTAAGCCATACCCTATTGCGGCTGGTTTGTGTCTCATGCAACTTAGGACAGTAGGTATACAAGCTATCACATAAATGTGGAACTAGTAACTATTGCCTACACAGAACAAGTACCTAATCACTACATTATATTTGCCATATAAGGAACAGCACTATAGTGTCTATCAACGCCACGAATATTACAGATTACTTATCTCTAAAATCCACTTTATGGTGGGATCGATCGAATATTGAATTGAATATTTTTTCCTAAAGTTTTCATGATTATGATTAATGAAAAGCAGGAACAAAATATTGCAGAATATCTGTATGACCAAATCCTAAATAGGTGTTTATAACAATAGACGAGCTTTATCAATTTGGTGACTAATATATTACCTATATTCAAAAGTCAAAGTTAAATACCGAAGTAGTTATTAGGTATTCTGTGACTAAAGTAACAGCCGACTATAGCGACATTCAGCTCAGTCAGCCAGCCAAACCAGTCACATTAGTCACATGTTGCATATTCTCGTTTACGCGCGCTGGTCATGGCAGCTCAATACACATTCGAGACTTTTATTACTATCGAGTGAAAAATAAAATAAAAAAATGCAGGAATTTTTTTAATTTTTGAATTTAGAAATTTAGGAAATGATTTTTCTTCGGGGGAAAAAATATAAATAGAACAAAAGATAAAGAATGAGATTAATACCACTTTTAAAAGATAGTTATTATTTTTTCAAGAGACGTTTTTTTTTGGTAAGTTTTAAATAAGTATTTATTGTTTTTTCTATATACAATTTATACTTATTATAATTTTTATATCATATACATATATGTTTCTAAAGTCAATTTGTTTAAAGTCCTTAGATTATATAGATAGTGTCCTTATATGTTTCGAGAAAAACGTAAATTTTTTTATACAATTTTATGTGATAAATATGTAGTTATGAGTGGCTTCTTTATGACTTCTATATTTATTTTGGTTTATAAATTCTGCATCTTTTTAATGCGTAAATACTAATTTTATTTATTAAATAGTATATCAAGATACATAATGTTCGTAACTATGTAGAATATTGTTAAAAAAAAAAAAAACGAGTCGGCTAATTTGAAAATTTGCTGATAAAAAGTTGACCCATTTTGAGGCTCGAAGCTTTATCTATATAATCTAAGGTTAAGACATTATATTTTTATGTAGTAATAATGAAAGAGTCTTAATATATTATAAGACAGATAAGTAAAAGACCCAAATAAATAAAAGTAGACCTAAATAAAAGGGTCACGCGAAGAGTGCATTCTGAGAATTTCGCGATGATGTCAACAATCTGTTGTAACATTTATAATTATAGCTAGTATTATTTAGTATCTACATATATAATATTTGAACTTTTTGTTTCAGTTACGTAGATCAAATTTAAACTTAGGTATATATAATATGTACTAAAATTTAAATAATTTTTTTTTAAGAGATTTTGTTTCGTTACAAGATAGCTATGAATCATATAGCGTAAATTCTTGTAAACCTACGATGAATTGAATTGAAACAAAGAATTTAGGCAAAGATTCAGATCATCATAATACAGGGCACAGATTCAGTAGATGCATGCATTAGCTGTTACCACGTAAAGTGAAAAGTATTTTTTTATACCGTGCTGTTACTATGTATATATTTTATTTCGATATTTAGGTAATGCTCAATATATTATTGCGCTTTGTTACTCTAGTCGCCTTCTATGACATCCTGTGGATGAAAAGGTATAATGATGTCATAAGAATAAATACTATTTTTATTTTTATAGTATCATTACACCTTTTTATTTTTTTAAAAGATTTATTATTATTTATTCTTACTTCTTCACCATGCGGCCTTCTATCATAACCTTCGGAAAGTTGTAAAAATACTTTCCAAAGAAAAAAGTCTTTTTTTTGTGATAATTTTGGTTAACTTGGTTAACTTATTATTAAGTTTTATTGAAATATTTACTAATACTATAAATGTGAAAGTGTGTTAGTTTATTACCTTATTTGTGTCCCATTACTAAATAGGGAGGTTAGTCCCCATTGCTATCGATATACTCTATCAGGTCGACCTCCATGCGGTTTCTCTTGGAAACTGTCGTGACTAATTTATCGTTGAATTGGTCACGATGGGCTAACTGATTTGTCTTTTCATTCTCATCTATCACCTCTCATTGGTGCCCTGCCAGCTTATACCGATAGCGCGAGCAGGGTTACAATGCCATTTCCACCCATTAAAAAAAAAGCGCCATAACCAATTACTATGATATTTGGTACAGTTACACGTCTTATATAGGCCGGAGAAGGATACAGACTATTTTTTATCTCGGTTAGTAAACATATCCCGGTCACGAGGACAAAGTCGCGGGTAAAGGCTAATAGACTATAAGTAGGTATGCACATGCATAGTTTTCATACTTATCTCATTGTACATTTTTTATTAGTATCTATACATAGATATCAATGGTGCCAAATTGATTAGAATATACCTAAATGAAAGTAATCATATAAAATATGCAATTCGATCTTTATCTTATCGTTGGTTCGATTTTTGGGTGAACCTACTTATTATATGAATTTAATAATAATTTATATAGTTATTTTGTATTAATTATTAACGATAATGACTTAATTATAATCTGACTGTGGTCCATCAGTAGCCAGACAAAAAGGATTTTCTTGTTATATAAATTGTAAAATTGTAAAAATCTTTATTGTACATAAGTCAGATTAAATACTAGTAAATGATTTAGTATACAATGGCGGACTTATCCCATAAAGGGATCTCTTACAGTCAACCTTTGAGAAGCTGAAAGAAAACTGTAGAATGTATAAGGGTAATAACCGTACAATTAAAGATAAACTAAATAATACCCAGTAAAAAAAAAAATTGAATATATAACACAATAAAAACAGCTCTATATACCTACATATGTAAATAATAAAAGTAAATTAATTATAATATAACATTAATAAATAAAAACTTATACACATACACATACATATATACACTCCTACATACACATACATGTATACATAATAAATACATATATTCACAATTGGCTCAATAGGGATTTTCAAAATAAAATTTTATGATACCTGCTTTAAAAGATTTCAGCGACTGTGCCATCTTTAAGTTATTAGGAAGTGAATTCCAGAGACGTGCAGCATGTACAGTAAATGACATGGCATAGCTTTGAGTATTAAAACAAGGCAAATCTATAATGAAGTCATTACTGCATCTCAGGCGAACATCAATTTCGCGAAATTTGAATCTTTCCTGAAGGTAATGTGGACATGTTGGATTAAAAAGGATATTGAAAAGAAGAGTAAGAATGTGGACATTTCTCCGTAGCCTGATAGGAAGCCATTTGAGTTGACTGCGATAACTAGATATGTGGTCATACTTTCGAAGGTTATAGATGTATCTAATACATTGATTTTGCAGTCGCTCAAGTTTATCAACAAGCTCCTGTGTGGGATCTAGGTAGGCAACATCAGCATAGTCTAGAAGAGGAAGAAGAAGAGATTGAGCCAGTAAAAGTCTAGTTCCTAAAGGGAGGAAGTTCTGCAGGCGCTTTAAGGAATGTAGTGATGCGTGGATTTTTCGACTTACTTCACCTATATGAGGACCCCATGACAGTGTCTGGTCTATAACAATTCCCAAATTTTTAACAGTAGTGGAATATGGGATTATTTTTCCGTCATAAATAACGTTGGGAACTGTTAAATACCGAAGTTTAGCAATAAAATGAGAACTACCCATAATGACCGCTTGAGATTTATCTGCGTTAACTAAAAGCTCAAAATCCTTCGTCCACTTAGCAATTACGTTCAAATCATTATTAATTACATCTACAGCATTAGTAAGGTTGTAGATGGGAGCAGCAGTATATAATTGCATGTCGTCTGCATACAAATGAAATGAAGAGAGGAGAGCAGACGTAATTCCGTTGATGAAAATTGAGAAAAGTACAGGCGAAAGAACTCCACCCTGAGGGACACCTGCATTAATCGCGCACCAGTCAGAACAACAGTCATCCACACGTACCAATTGGCGCCGGCCAGAAAGATATGATCGGAACCATGCCAGAGCCAATGATGAGAATCTAAATTTGGAGAGAATGCCGAGAAGTACATCAAAGTCCACAGTATTAAAAGCACTGGTAAAATCAAGTAGCACTAATATTAAAATATTCTTTTTGTCAATATTAAGTCGAATATCCTCAGTAATTTTTACCAGTGCAGTAACCGCGCTATGACCGGTACGAAAACCAGACTGATACTGACTCAAGAGATCATTACGATAAAGATATTTAGTAAGGCGTCGATGAACAAAATGTTCCAATACCTTTGAAAGTACGGGAAGGATTGAGATAGGTCGGTATTCCGAGAAAGTAGACGGATTGGATTTTTTAGGGAGAGGAATAACATGCGCTAGTTTCCAGGATGTGGGAAAAGTACCAGTAGAAAGAGAAAAGTTTATAATGACGGCTAATATATGTGCTATAAGATCCTTGATAGGATCCAACATATCCAGACTGATATTATCATTGCCCACTGCCTTAGATTTGATAGAATTCAAAATGTCTATTACCTCTTGTGATAATATAGCTCCCAACTCAAATAAGTCTGCATCGGAACATACACTACAACTACCGGCTATCTGTGCTAGTGTAGACTGTTTGGTTGCAGGATCATAGTAGATAGGTGAGGTACTAAAATGTTTGTTAATCGCATTCAAGTCCAGGTTACGACCTACTGTGTGTTGCTGTTTGCCCACACCCAAACCTTTCAAGAACTTCCACAGTTTATTCGGTGGACAGTTCTCAATTCCCGAATGAACATACTTCCGTCTAGCAGCCCTACATAGTTTGCTGCACTTGTTACGCAACTGCACGTATCTATCACGCTCTACCTCGGAGGGATGATGTCGCAAACGTATTTTAGCTCTATCCCTGAGTGCCATAATTTTTTTCAAGTCGTCTGTTAACCAGGGTGCAGGTAGATGTCTTACCCGAACTGGTCGAAGTGGGGCATGCTTATCATAGATTGTCAACAAAATTGAGTTGAACACTTCCACTTTGGAATCAATATCTGCCGCAGCCTCCACCGCAGCCCAATCCGCACCAGCGACATCGTTCCGAAGCGAAACGACATCAACAGTCTTATAGTTGCGCAACATCATAACCCTATATTTACGTTTTGGAGGTCTTAATTTATATGATGCGAAGACAAAGTCATGTGCTGAGAAAGCTGTTGCATTGAACTGTCCATATAATGAACACATTTCGGGTGAGGATGTAATAATATGATCTAGTCGCGAGGGAGGACCATTATGTGGATAGTGAGTGGGGCCAAGAGGAAGACAATGCAGGTCAAAAGATTGAAGAAGTGATAGAAATTTATTTGAGCGATGATCATTTTTTATAATACAAGTATTGAAGTCACCCATTAAAATAAAATGCTCAAATCGTGGACAAAAGTCTGTCAATAAAGCTTCTAAAGAATTGAAGAAATTTACATGCAAAGATGGACTATAGTACACACCCAGCAAGATTTTAGTGTGATGCAGTGAAACTTCTAAGAATAAATGTTCAGGCGTCTGCGCAATTGACTGAGAATGTGATATTATATTGCATTCGATATCACCCCGTAAGTAGATCGCAACACCGCCGCCACCCACCATTCTAGAACTACTATTATTGGACACTAAATATGTCCTATCATTACGAAGC